GTGTCAGCAGCTGATTGGCGATATCAAACATACCTGAAAAAATACGATATTATATCTCTTTTCAGGGCTCGGAATCCTTGTATAACGCCGTACTTTATATGATAAAATGCAATAATATAAAGAAGGCTTTCAATCAGTATGTCATTTAGTCAAACATGTAGTCATTGACCGTCAATTTAGGTAGAGTTCATCCCCCGACAATAGACTGGCGTGGACTTTTCAATCAAGCACAATTTGTCGATTTGTTAAGCGAGTGTATGATCTATACATTAAGTTGGACGGTAGCTAGCTATAGTTCTTAAGTAATTTTTCAACACCTGAACTGCATAAATGGACCATTCAATCACTTACAGGTCTTTAACGCCACCGATCGCGCAGGGCTTATAGATGATTCATTCAACTTGGCCAGGTGATAAAATTATAATCCTCAAACTTACATTGGTTGGTAGATTGTTAACTAAAGTTTTACGGGTTTTTTAGCTTGTCTCTGTCTGATTACTTCCATGTGTGATATGGCTGTTTTCCCATTAGAAACTGTGTGTAAATGCAAGTTTTGAGAATTTTCTTCGATCAGATAAAATGATAAATGATTCAAAACCTTTTTATTCCTAGGAGAGAATTTCTCCTCGCAACATCGATAAATTTTCATGCAGAAAGCTCCTGTTAGACGATATCATGAAATGTAATTAAATTAAATAAAAAGGCAGACAATGGATATAATTTATCTTAAGGATTCGGATGTGAAAGAGTTCATAACATTCTTAGTTGTGACTCATGTTGAGCGCTATGGTTTGAAAAAAAAAACATGTTCTGTTCTTGATTTTAGAGCCAACTTATTAAATCACACAAAACCTCTTAGTATATCAAGTTATCTGGACAAGGAAGAGGACTACGTTCCAATGCTATCCGCGTTGAGAAAATTTTCACATATATTAGAGATCGTTCCCTCCACGAGACCAGCCCACAAATATTTACAGGTAGGGATGTAAGCTCGATTTAATATTTTCTTTTCTAGCTCTGGATTTTCAAGCTGGCGATTTAAGTCAGAAATTTTCAGCGGTATTTAAATGAATTTAGAGGGTATGATAAGATAAAGCTGAAGTTTTACTCAGCATGAGCAGCCTTAAAAAAAAATTAACGCTCCTAGCTTACCATTTTTTTTACCAAAGAAAGGAAGTCTTTCGGTGGCATTATTTCATCTGTTTTTAAGACGATAGACAAGAACCACCAGTTCTTGATAAACCCTCTTCAGTACTATTAATTAGAGGGCTGTCTTTTTTCTTTTAGATGTATGTGGAATATTTAACAAAGACTCAGTACGACAAGCTTGGAATCAAAGATCAAGGAACGCATCTTGACAAGTATGAATCCATACATACATCATCTTATTTACACATTCATTCATTTATCCATCCATATCAGATCATGATTTGTTGCAAGTCAATTTTTCAATCCTTATACACTTCGTTCTAATCTATTTCTTGGTAGCTGAGTTTAAAAATGTATGAAGCAAAGAACTCACTTTAGGGGAAAATGCATGGTTATCCTCGTTGTTAGACTAAACTGCCTGTAGAAGACACACACCCAAGATGCAGAGTATTTTGTTCGTTTTTTTTTCAAGATTTCTGAGAACTATTCTCCTCGATGCTAATTGTGAGGCTGGGGTCAGGTCATGTCTGGGAAATATGACGAAAATGTTTCAAGAATGGATGAATGACCCGGTCAAGAACGCGTGAGTACTCTCCATTACATTCACCAATTCTAGAACTGCTACAGTTTCTCGTTGAAGCTGCTGACTAACGAGATTTTCTCGGCTGTGGGTTTTGCTTTCCGATAGTTTTCATATCCTCCAGCTGTTCTTTTCATCGATTGTACCGAAAGGTCGGTAACTCCTCCAGTTTCTTCGATAGGTCAACAGCTTTAAAAAAAAACGCCCAAGCATTGTGATAGGTTACACGTTGTGGAGAAACATTTATTTATTATGAAGGCGACTTTCAAATTGTTGAACCCTTAAGGCACAGACATGGCGGAAGTTGTGCCGTTCATATAATGCTCCTCTCAAATGTCAAATTCGCTTCATTTTCAATCTACATCTCCATACATCAGAGTTGTGACTTTCACCCAGCTGACTTTAGATCAATTCTTTTTCCTCTCATGTGAAATCAAAGTCAGCGATGATTTGAACAATGATTTAGATGTCTGTGATTGACCTGCCACTTTCATTAGAGCCTTACTTACATATTATTGGACGGCTTCACTTTGTAGTGTACCAGCGGATCTCAAAGCCTTAGTTTACCATTTTGGAATAGAGACTGGTGGAGAGAAGGAATGGAACTTCGCTTACAATCAGTTTAAAACTACGACTGTAATCTCAGATAAAAATACACTGCTTTACGCCATGGCAGGATCACAACAGCCTTGGATTATCCAGAGGTAAACGCTAATCAATTTTCAAATAGCTGTTGTTGAAGCAATACCAAGGATCCTTATTTTGAACGAATATTATTCATTTTTTTCCTCGGTTTTTTCATGAGTTTTGGTATGATCAAAAAAGGGAACACCTACGATAAAAACTTTGTATTCCTAAAGTTCCACGGCTAAGAAAAATTTGGTCGATTCTTGGAGAAAAGTATTCAGTCCAGGAGGTGTTAGCTGCAGTTCCAACCAAACCCTTCATTTTTTGGAGATATCTACACTGCTTTGAGTGACAAGGTTGGCCAGATCCTTGTAAAGTAACGTAACCAGCAAGCACGTTACTTTGTAAAGTGACGTAACTAGTGAACATTTTACCTTAAAAAGTGAAGTAACTGCTAAACGCGTGAAACGGCCCAATTCACGGAAACATTTTAAATTAGAAGTAGGTCAATAGATATGGCCTCGAGGCTAATTCGATGATGATTTTTTAAATTGGGCTATTTGGAAACAGCGTGAACAACTAGAAATCTGTGTTTCGTTTTCCTTCTAAAGGATATCAGATCTTTGTTTAAAAATGTCAAACAATTCCAAAAATGAAATTGGTTCTAGTGGAAAATTCTCTGAGTTTGTGCATGCTTGAATGTTAATGTATTTTAGTATGTTACTGAAAAACAAACAGTTCTAAACAAACATTGAATATATTCAAAAGGTTTGTATGAAGTTTTCAGCGGTATTTTGGTAAAAATTTCCGACTGCCGGACGTTTAGTCCGTTTGAGAACGTACCGGCAATCTGATCCGAAGTGTACAATTTCTAAGGTCGACAATCAAGCTCGGAAAAATTGTCCACTTAAACCCAAATTAGTTTTTGGAATCGTGTGACATTTCTATACCAAAATCTGATACTCTTAAGAAGTTTCAGAGAAGCTTTCAATAGAACTTTGGTGAAAATGTCAAACTGCCGGGCATCTTATCCATTCGAGACCGTGCCAGATTGTCTGATCAGAAGCGTAGAATTCCTAAGTGTCGACAACCCAGCGATAATAAAATATACTTCTTTACATTTTCAGGTACTTAGAGTATACTTTGGATCCCTCGAAAATCTCTCCCCGCAATCTAGTTTATGTGATGTACTACATTGCTAAAAGTAATGAAATGGGTGCCAACGTAGCGTGGAATTTCTTCCAGTTGAAATGGAGTGTAATATCCAAAATGTGAGTATGAGAAAAGTGATTGCTGTAAAAATCACTTGCAAGATACTTAAAATAGATTTGACACTTAATTTCCATTAAGGATAAGCTGGTGATATCTCTCTATTTAAATTCCAAGGAACAAAGATTTTTGTTCTTGTTCACTCGAGAAAATGAAATTGCGCACATTGAAAATAACCAAAAAAATTGATAAAAAAAATGTATGTGTGTATCTCAGTTATCTAATTAATTTCCAATTATTATTGCAGGTATGGAGGTTCGTATATGACTTTAAGGCGTTTTATTCCTTTCGTGTCCAGGCGATTCTCTACAGATTTCGAGTTACAGCAGGTAAACTTAACGATATTATTTTGCTTAAGGTTAATATCTTATCAAGCTATATCATTTTATTTGACATGCGAAAAAAACCTTGCGTGTTTTATGAGCCACAATTCGGCCAGATTTCACTGGACATTTCATTTTCAGATTCTGTATTAAGACTACGAAATTCCGGCAATATGTTAGATTAGACTTGCTGAACTATTTTAGTTTGTGAACTACTGCAGATTGTGAACTTTGATGGTTTGCGAACTTTTGAACTCTTGTTTAACTCGTTCAACCAATCGGATTATTTAAACCTCTCTAACAAGGATTCTGATTGGCTTATTGTGGCGTGCTTTATGAGAATAGAGAGCTTGCTGACGACACTGTTGTTCGCTCTGGAAATAAAATATTGTATGGAAAATTGAAGTAATGCTTGGGGAATTTCACAGACTCTTTATTATAAAACAAGTAGAGAAGCCTAAACTGTGCTCTGCTTTGTTGTAAAGCACTTAGGAAGCGGCTAGAGCACCCCAGAGGTGGAGAGACACACTCGACTACGTATTTCTCCTTACACTTCCTGCGTGCTTTATAACTTGAAACATAACAGAGCGCAGCACAGGCTTCCCTATTTGTTAAATTGTGTCGTTAAGTTGTGTTTACCAGTAATTTACTTCCAGAATTACAGCTTGATGAGTTTTTGGGAATATGTTGCGCCATGGTTTTCCGTCAGATTTGAACAAACTTCACCTGAAAAGTTTAAAAGGAGTTTCGTAATTACTGCACTGTTTCCCCTTTTTTCTCTTTCAGCTGCTTGATTTCATCCAGACGGTAAATAAGGGTGGACCCTTATCATGGACGGTGCAACAGTCGATAGAAAAAGTAAAAGAAAATATACAATGGCGAAAAACCAATGAGAATGACGTTGAGTCCTGGTTAAAGGATTTCTTTGCTCAAAAGTCCAAGAAAGATACTGATGACGGTTTTACTGATCCGGCAAAATAGGCGACGAATTCCTCTGAATAATCATGATTACACTACCTTCAAAAACTCATTAATAATTCATAATCCCATTAACCTATCAAATGGTAGATAATACATCACGTGCAGTGACTTTATATCGATAAACCTCATCCTTATTAGTATGCGGTGTTTTATCAGATATAAAGACACTGCACGTGACTTATGAATATTAATTAATTATCAACACAGAAACTGACACAACAAATGGTGGGAACATATTTAATGTTCTTTCAACAAATTTCACACAGTAAATTTACTTTTGTACCAAATTAATAGTACAGTTGTGAAATACACATCTGGAAAAATTCTCTATTCCATTAGTACAGTAATCTGGTAAAGGCATATTAGACAATACATCATCTGAAACTTCGAATTCAAGATTAGTTGGCAGAAGTGACTCCAACTCGTTTTCGCTAACCTCTGCGTTTGACCTTTTCGTATGCTAATTTATAACGTTCACAAAAGCATAATTGTTATGAACTCTCTTGACACACGCTTTTCCAAGAATGTTTTTGAAGCCGTTCAAAAAACTCGCAGCACGTGTTTTATCGGGTCAAAAACCCGATAAAACACTCCTGCTCGTTTTTTAAACATTACATAAATTTAGACGCAAAAATATTGCTTCGCGTGCAAGAAGTTCAAGAACTTTATCACTGTGACCCACTTGTTTATTTAAGGCTTTATGTGCGAGTTTACCACTTCAATTATTTCTTGTATCCTTTGATGTTTTCATATGAATAGTAGCTAAAATTATCAATTGTATCAAGTTTCCTTTTGTGATAGTTTTTAAATCATTGTTCTTCAGTACATCACTTTCGCTTGTTGAAAATAATTTGCTATCCGTCACAAGAATCACTGTTTTGGTTGATGCAGTAATCAAAAAGGAGATAGCAAGGCAGAAGGTTGTGTTGACACGTTTATTCTGGTCTGTTCCTTCCAAGTCGATCATGCGCACTTGCAAACTGATCACTGGCTATTGCTGACAACGCAGATATTTCCATCGCTAGTGCAAATGACGCGATTATTTCTGCAAAGCGATAAATGCGACCCTGAAAGATGGAAAAATACATTGACATAATATTTGGTAATGCAAATATAGATACATCAAGTTTACGTGTACTTTATGGGGAAGTGTTCTGAAAAAGTGCTCAGAAATTTACAGCGCGATTGTGATGGCGAAAGAACTGTGTACATTGGAAAATACTCTCAAAATCACATGGCGCCTACGAAATATCTCAGTAGTTTACGCCGAAAATCTGTGCAGGTTTTAGGGTTAATGCCTAATCGTTTTACTATTACAATGCATGAGATAAAAAAGTCAACAGCCTCCTTATCACCTTTCCTAAGCATCCTAGCATATTCAGCGATTCTTTGGCGGTCGGTGTGTATGTTCCACCTCCAACTGTTCCAATTAACAGGGTGGGGAGAACGAGACACGCATAGATACCAGCTTCACTTTTCATTCCAGCATTCCCTAAAATAACAAAGGTTGGTCTCCATCTCAATCAAATTAAAAAGGTACATCACTTAGTTATAGGGTCCACTGTCCAGTGTTGATCAAAAAATTGCGTGTTACTAATAAATGTGTTTACGGGTTGTTTGTGATCAAAACTATACAAAGACAATCCTCTTCTCTTACGGTGCTCAGTTGACTGAATCTTTATTTCTTCTTCCGCTGATATCTCAAACACAGACCAAGAACTCTCATGAACACAGGCAATATCCTGCCCAGTTGCAGTAAATATGGCCGCCAAAGTGTTGCTTACAACTTGATTGATACCACAGGACCCAGACCTCTGCGCACTCAATGCAAGAGCATTAAAGGCTTTAACCAACTTCTTGGAGTCAATCTGATGTGCGCAAAAAGGTATTAGAGAAAGTGACATAAATGGTGTCCTGTAAGCACGAATTATACTCAGACAGGTGTTCACATCATCAGCGAAAAGGTCTGTGAACGGTCATATCTTGAAATGAGTTAAAAACCTCATCATTCCTTAAGTAGCATCCTTCTGGTGTTCCAGACAGAATTTAGGGTATTAGGACACGAAACAAGCTGAAAGCTGAAGGATATTCCTTTATGCTTTGCTCGTGAAGCGTAACTGGGACCCTTTGACACGAGAAAAGGCTATGTATTTTCATGTGATTGAATCTTTCATATTCACGAGACATACAGAATCGTCAAACCATCACATTCACTTACTTTCAAAACACTTTTAAGGGTTGACTCGGTAATATAAGTTTCGGCCTGAACTTCAATTCCCCGCCCAGTGACATAGTTTTTGGGAATGTTATTTTTATCGCCACTGAACTTAGTTTCAATGTAATATTCCCTGATATTGATATCAGGGCACTCTTGAGCGATCCTCTCTTTGGCCCAGTTACAAGCGTACCAAGTGGTAACGGTGACAGCGTTTTGGCCAGCGGCATCAGCAGAATCGTAGACAAATTCCATCATGACGTTGCGACCTAAAATTTTCAGAATGTTTCACTTTTTGACAGCATTACGGTACTAACTTCATAAAAATATTAAAAACTATCCAAACAGTTCGTTTTTCACAAATGAAACTAACATGAGGCTTATCTCACAAACTTAGATCTTCATCATACCTCAGCTGATCCATGAGAGCATCAAACCGTTACATCGGAATCACGAGAGGTTCGAACCTAGGCAGTCGTAAGTTTTCCTTGTCCATCGATAACGGTGCAAATTAAAATTCTTAAAGCTTAAAACTGTCCTTAGCAAAACAAAGACATATTTCGTAGAGTCAAACTTTATTTCCCGAATTTCCCCCCCTTTAAGCTACTTCTTCATATGCCGGTGATGATTGGCTTGTAGATGAAATTACAAAATAAAAGGTATAATAAACATCAGATAATAAGCCATCATCATTTAGATTTTGTACAACTAAGAAATTAAAAAATGTCATAGTACTACCAACCAATAAATCAGGGCTGCAGAGACTGAAGCTTGCAGTGTTGGCTGACCTCCCCTGCTTTGGCTTTCAGTTCATCAAAATGAGACAGAAGCCAATGTGATAATTTCTGGGCTTGTTGCATGGAATCTGTCACAAAATATGGTACTCTTTGGATCCTGCGCTTTATGACGCGTGTGGAGACCCCACCGCACCTGTAAGTAAACAGAATAGGTGTACGAAGACAGCCTTCAGTATATGTAGGTAATGGATGGTTTACATCGGGAAGAATGTAAACGGAAATTTCCTCTGGTAAAATAGGCATTGTGGGCGATAATGTATGAGAATTATTTACATAGTTGCCTAGCAGAGCTCATCCCGATTTCTGTAGCAGGAAGCAATTACAAATGTTGCGTTTCCTCCACAAAGGATCTACGTCGCAAATTTTCTCCCCTCACCCTGCCTCGTTGCATTTGAAACTCCTTTTGCTGCTTGCTATTGCTTGCTTGTCAGACTTATAAACAATAGCGAGGCTGAGATCGACCTCATTAAGATAGACACGAGAAGATAGTTACTGTAATAACACCGAAAAATACAAATGAAAAGTAGCAAGGTTTGTATTATGATGTAACCTTCAGCCTTACTCCCGTTAAATGTCTGGGCAGCTGGTCACACAACTTACCTTGTGATGGCCTTGGCACCCCTTGACGTAGAGGCAACGATCGCCCCTTCGGTTGTGGCGATAGGACATAGAATCATTTCATTGTGCACATGATCTCCTTTGATGAGCAAGGGCCCAGCTATACCTTGGGGAATCTTAGCGAGTCCTATCGGATTTTCTATGTTCCCTTTGAGATTTTCAGTTGTATACCCCTGGGATAGTTTAGGATTCCACCACTGTCCAACGTTTGATAGAGACGCGGAAGTAACTTGTTCAACCCATTCTCTTCTTTTGTCGCAGTCTTCGAGACGATAACTTCCTTTGTGAGGAACCTGAAGTTTTTTAACCGGGGAGGAAGAGTACTTGCTTAACAAATAAATGATAATTATCAACTTTATCGAATGTCGAAACGTAGGGAGACGTAACCCAGACTCCTGAGCCGTTGCTTATGGATAAGCGAGAAACGTTCGACGAACAAAATAGACATAAAGTATGTGAAAACAACTGAGACAAAAAAAATTATGCAGGATGAAAATTAACGGCAAGTATACCAATTAAGATATCAACACATATTAATTACCTCAGCAGTTATTAAAATATGTCCAAGGGCACTCCGAGAGCAGGACTTCGTTCAGAGTGGAACAAAATAGTTTCAAATGAGTTGAGGATTTAATTAAAAGTGGTCACCGATTTCACCGAGGAAGTCATATGAAGGAGTTGAGAATGACAAGGCCATTGGAGGATGTCTGAATGGTTTGAAGCCAGAACAGCGAATATACTCGACTCAATCTTAATCGCATGCTTAGTGGCTACAGAACGCTTGTACATAATTCGTTTGGTCAATTTGCTAAAAGCTCACATAACGACTATTGCAACTATTGCAACCTGCCAAACGTAGAGCCTCTGTTCTCCAACTTCTTGGAAATTGAAAATCGAGTTTGATCAATTCTGTTCAATCCTGAGATGTTGTGACAACCGAAAACGGGTGAAACTATTTCACTGATGCGTCCAAGTCAACTTATGGTGCAAGCTGGAAAGGATGGAACGTTTTAGTAGCCATTTACATGCGATGGTTTTGCTTGAGTAGGGCAAGACGAGTCAGAAGACCAAATCTCTAAAAAAATACAGGAGGAAAGCCTTTTTCTTATAGATTACATGTACTAATTCAAGAATATGTTGGCGAGTGGTAGGAACATTCGAAGCCCTTTGCAGCTTTTTTAGTCGATATGTAACCACGCAATATTGGCTTAGAGTTGCTGCAGATTCAGGTTTTTCAAATCTATCCTTTCTCCAGTTCATTGGGGAAGAAACTCACGTCACGATTTCACTCCCTGCATCTTACTTGTGGTCACAGCACACTAAAAAGAATATTGAAAAACTGGAAAGAGTACAGAGGAGAGCAACCAGATTTATTTTAAAAAACTGATGACCCTTTGGAGACTTGTTTATGTGAATTTTTTATTTATGGCCCTAAATGGCTATATTAAAATTAGTGTCCATTCTTACATAGATTTTTATTCAGAGATTGACCAATTTTCATTAAGACATAAAGATAACTTAACCTTAAAAAAGAAGTATGCTAAAACAAATGTCTTAAAATATAGCCTTTTCCATAGAATATATGATAGTTGGAATCTTTTACCTAGAGAAATTTGCAATGCTGCTGAGTTAAAAATATTTAAGACTAGAGCTAAGAAATTTCTATTAGAGTTATGAGTACTTTGATCTGATTATTTCTGTCTGTCCTGTTTTCTGGATGTTACATATGTTTGTCAGACAGAGATACTTCAAATATCTCTTTTATTGGATAATCTATAGATATTTTTACATCATAGATCTACATTCCATTTAAATTCTGACTCAGTTTTTCAGGAGTATTTCATCTATTCATCTTATTATTCATAGTCTTATTTTTTATATAGTTTTTATATATATATATTTTTATTATGGTGATCCGTCTTTGTATGGGGTCTATGAATTCTTCACGGATTATCCATTGGCTGTAATATCTATCATTTATAATTATTTTAGTTTAGTTTTATTTAGTTTTGCATTGTATATGCCAAGAATTGCAATAAATAAAAATAAAAATAAATAAAATTACCTGAATTTCTTGTCCTGAATTATTACCGCTGACATGATCACTAAGACATCGCTTTGTCAAATTGAGCTGCTTCTCAAGAGGAAATTCATTATGGAATAATTTGATTCTCCGAAACGAAAGCCTCAGCATCATTCAATTTATCTGTAGAGTAGATCAGTTATAAAGTTAACTTTTTCTCTAAATCTTGTTCAACTGATCTCTACCTTGAATTACATATGATAAACAGAGTACAGTTATCTCAATGACTCCCGGTAGCCTGGCGTCACGCAACACCTCCTCAAGTTTGCGAACCCGGTTCATTTCAATTGGCAGAGAAAAATTAGCGTTTCGAGCGCTCAGACGTTTCCAGCCTCACTGCTTAACTCTTCAACCCCTCGGTGTGATTGCCATCTAATTTCTCCGTACAGATCACCCACGGATCAAACATCGCTACCTAACGGAGCTCTTGATTGTTTGTAATATTCTCTATGTAAATAGAGACACACGAGAATAGAATAAAGACACAGATAGAATACCACACGAGAAAAGTGTGGATAATATTCATACTGATGTTAGGGTGCAAAAGGTGAACTTAATAATATGTCAACGCTTATCAGAAAGCTTAAAGCGGTCAGTGTTCGTTATTATATCACGAATTTTACGCATCCATTTCACAAAAAAACAATTTTATAATTCAAATTACCATAACATGCTTGAGAAACATCGTAGAAGAAATACTCCCCTTCGACGACCAAAACATTCGTCCTCAGTGGAATTCACTGAGACCGATAACAGAACGAATATAGAAAAAAATCACCAAACTCGACAGGACAGATTTATTCCGGAAAAAACGTTTAGCGATTGCTGTCGAGGCACTGAGCAAGCTGCCAGTTAATACAATAAAACAAAAGTAAACATTTTTCTACCGTAGAAAATCAAAACGCAAGAAACCACGTCGATCAATAATTTAGCACTCCTCTAACTTACCACCCAGATGTCTTCTGTCTGCTTTTAATTCCAATGATATGTGACAACAACACCCACTACATCAGCATTGCTGCAGGCAAGTTGCGCCCGCGGTACCTTAGGGGATGGGATTAATATAATATTAGATTTTGGTTCCACACCATGACATTTCGTTTCACGAAGTCTCAAACCAGTAAACCTCAGTGCACATTCACAATTACTGTTGTGAAGTAATTTGACTACAAGACGTTAATACCTAACATGTATGTCTGCTTTTCTCATCGAATGGTTTGATAACAATGATCTGCACTCAATCCGAACTGACGTGTGTGCGATGTTTTGTTTTACGTGACTGATTTGCGTGACGGCAGTCTCAACGCCAACACCAACTGAACTGTTGAAGACTTTTCGTGTCAGGTTTATGAATAAATAAGTAAAATTCGGCAGCAGTGTAACTCAATATCACAAAAACATTTGACGAAGTTGTAACCGAAAAAAACTCGAAACAAGCGAAGGCGCTTGTCTATAATTACGACGTCAAACTGACAGGCTCTTTCCGAGAATTTCATGCGGAAGTTAGAATTCTGAGAAACATTCCCTTCTAGGAATTGGTCCTAATTGGTTTGAGTCTGCGCATTAACACTCACATTGTTTTGACGGCCTTTAAATGTGCTTGGATGGCATAAAAACTTGAAGGCAGTTGAAATATCGTCGACGAGGACAAGTTTCAACGAGAAACTTCGTCGACAGAGGATTCACAATAATGAGTGTTTTGCGAAATCTCTAAATTTCTGTCAAACTGGGTACTTGTGTTAGCATGGCACATCGTCGAAATAAGCAATCGAAGCACAAACTTCCGCCTAAAACTAGAGATATCGAACTGAGCATAAATATATGGGGAGATCGTTTTCAATCAGAGGGAGAAAGAGGACGCCGTCATCAACTGAAAGATTTCAAAGGTTTACTGGAGGCTGCTGGGTTCCAAGTTGCGAAAGCGCAGGAGCCAGTGAATTCTCCGGCCGGGAATGCCAGAATTATCAACATCGTGTTGAAGACAACGGAATCTAGAAAATCGAAGTTTTTTGAGCGATTTCGACGAGAATGGTGTTCCTCTATTTGTCAGCGTGGCGACTCGTTCTGGATGGAGTCAGAGACTCCCAAAGATACTTTCAAATACAAGACAGATGAGACACGGCAAATGATTGGAGTCGCTTCCTTCAGCTTTGGAACATTTACTACTCTTGGTACGTACGTACAGCACTGGTCAAGTGAACAAGATTCTGCATCTATTCAAGAAGGAAGCATTGAAAGCGAGTTCCAACATGATCTGGGGACTTTCACGATCTTCATTTTTAAGGAAGGCGCCATTGAAGGATCTAAAGAAATTAAATTTGAAATGGAACACAGGCAGTTTGAAAATTATGTCGTCGTTGATGAAAACGTTGTCAGTAGAAAAATTAGCTTCTATTTTCCCCTTCAGTGGCCACCAAAAATCTTCGAAGGTAAGTAAAAGAATATAACATTGCCTTTTCAAGAAAAAGGAATGTTATTTCCTTTTCATAAATCACGATAAGAAATGTCCAAAGCAAGTAGGTGAGATAATGAAGGCACTTCCTTTTTTCAAGTTCTCTGGGTCTTTTGAATTCAAGAAATTACAAAATGAGGTTAGAAAAATAGCCTGCGCTAAGTTTTCAGTCTTGAATTAAAAACTTACGTTGCCAACCATCTTAATCAAATGTTTTAGTATCGCATGAGAAGAATTACCGTGAAACGTCTGCCATCACTCACTTGTCTTGGTGATCTTAGTAAATGACGAAGGAGAATTAAAGATCCTTATAGTGTAATATTATCAGTCGTTCTGAAATTTAGATTTATCACCTTGAGGTTTAATCAAAATTCCATTTGGTAAGGAGTATCTCCATTCCTTTTATAAACAATATCCTGGTGTGAGATATGTTCATAATGTTTTAATTCTCTATCGACTGCAGAGGTGACAATCAATGACCACACAAACTACGATCGTTTGACGCATTTCCTCGGGTGCAGTCGAGAAATTCTAGGCTCCAGCTCGGTGTTATGTTTAAATTTTCCTCTGAAAGAAAGAATCCTCGAAAGAGATGAGGCAGATTCCCCTCTTGGATTAATGACTGGCCTTTCACGAAGAGGTAAGCACTAATCATGTTTATACTGATGACTCTGCTTAATCACATCGACCGTGACCAACTTCACCATTGGGTGTTTTTTTGGTTTTTTTTTTGTTTTTGTTTTCGTTTTGTTTTTGTTATTTTTTTCATTCTCCAGCTCGTGTTTATTTTCAAGATGATAACAGAAAAAACGAATCAATCTGAGCTTTTTAATTCTTAGTTTACTCTGTCGAAAAACTTGCAAGGAAATTATTCCAGTTTAAAGTAATATTTCGAGCCTGAAAACTCTTGGTAATTCTTTTACACTATTTCTTGGGATATTTCTGATAATGCAATTTTTTTTATACAACTGTCATTAATTTACTTTCCCTTATTTTTAAGTTATATCGTTATTTTCACGTTATTTAGGGACCAGTCAATATTTATTGTCTTGGCAGGGGGGGAGGCATGTTTATATCGTTATTTTTTACGTTATTTAGGGACTAGTCAATTTTTATTGCCTTGGCAGGGGGGGAGGCATGTTTATATCATTATTTTTTACGTTATTTAGGGACTAGTCAATATTTTTTGCCTTGGCAGGGGGGGAGGATTTTATGGGGGATCACTTGGATTTAGGGTTTGGGGGAAACGAAGTGGGGACCAGTCGTCGCTTATCATAGAAAATTGACAGTCAACGAGGGGTGATCATTGGAATAATACAGAGCTAAGGGGGAATCAGGTAAATTTTATTGGGAGACAAACAAATTCCTACGACCATTCACTTTTCCCACCCCCCTCCCCCCCAGGCAATAAATAATGAGCAGTCCTTTATTAAATAACTTTTTCTTCTGTGATTTCTCATGCAGTTTATTTATTTACTTTTCATACGATTATATGTTAAATATTTTGTTGCTTTATCTTTAAATTAATTACTTATCTGCTTATTTTCCCAGCTATCTGTTCATAAATATATATTCACTCATTTCCAGGCTTTTCTCTTTGTTTTGCGAATATAAAGACAAACTTTCCCCGAGGAATCACGGAGGTTCCAAGGAAACCGACGCTCTCTGACCCTAAAATCATGTACGCTTTAGAATGTCTTCTGTCTCGAGGCTTCAAAGTTCGTGATCGTATTTCTCGAAAGTTTTACGACTTGTTAAGAAACGCCACAGACAGGTACGGCTCACTCCAAGAGAATAACCTTGTATCTCCTGAAAAAGTTTGCAAAGCTCTGTACAGATTGGTCAGCATTGTGGAGACGGATCGATTCTGCCCTTTAGTGCATTACCTTGAAAAGTTGCTCTATGGAGACATGATGCATCTGACGGCATTTGAATTTGAGATTCCGAAGCATTACGCATACGTACCTCGACTCATCGTTACTCCCACTCAAGATTACCTCCTGCCCGCAGAATTGGTGGCAGAGAACCGTGTCATCAGGGAGTATGGGCACGAGAGAGCGATGCGCATTGCATTCCGGGAGGAAGACTTTTCTAAGCTCTCATCAACTCACCCAGAAGGTCTAAAACACGTGTTAAAAGAACGCGTGGTAGAACTGCTCTCCAAAGACGTCCACATTGCTGGGAGAAAGTTCGAGTTCCTGGCTTGTTCCAATAGTCAGTTACGTGATCATGGTGCATGGCTGTACGACACGGAAGGAGAGCACAGAGCCGCTGACATAAGAGGATCGCTAGGACAGCTTAATGAAATCAGATGCGTTGCCACCTATGTATCTCGCATGGGTCAGTGTTTCTCGTCCACAAAAGAGGCTGTCACAGTCAGTATTGAAGTGGGTTGCAAGGTGGAAAAAATTCCAGATGTAGAAGTAGAATACAACAATGTTTATTTTGAATGTTGTCGCAACTTAAGATCTGGAAAATACACCTTTAGCGATGGAGTTGGGAAAATCAGCAGGGCTTTGGCTGAGAAGGTATGTAACAACAATATATCGATCAGATTTTTTCTGGCCTTTTTTTACACCTAAAATTTTACGATATAAGTCGTATTTTTTCAGTGTTAGGAAACAGTTCTTTTTTCACGTCACTTCATCAGATTCAAGAATCCAAAATGGAAAATTCGTGATAGGAGCGTTTTGACAAATATCTGAGTTTGGGATATATCACTGACCTGCCGATATCCTCTTTTCAATGTCAGGTAGCAGATAGCCTCAGTTTAGAACCTACTCCCTCAGCTTATCAGATTCGTTACGGTGGTTGTAAAGGAATGCTGGCAATAGATCCCAGGCTCCCAAACGGAGATAACCAGGAAATCCTGCAATATCGTAAGAGTATGGAGAAGTTCAACTCAAAGCATTCTGCTCTGGAGATATGTGAGGCAACGAAGCCGAGTAAGTTACCCTGTGATTGTTATTCGTTGGAGTGTCTTTGAATGTTGCAATTCGATCATTGAACTCTAAAATGGCATTTGAACCTAAATTTCTTGAATAAATTCTCCATGTTCGGTACATAAACTAAACTTCTATTACTAGTAATAAATGCAAATGCTAAAGGATATAAGCAATATGGTCTCGTGGTTGCAATCCAAATCAAACCGTGCCTCTACATCTGCAGATTTCGAATGCAACCAGACATGACCTAGTAATTAAAATTTTCCTTTGTTGCAACTGATAACGAGCACTTCCTGTAGAAATTCTGTGTTTTTCGCAGATTTTAATAATCAATCCCCAGTTTAGTCATATTACAGAGCTGTTATCCGACTTAGATGAAACTGCTGATGAAATTATTATTGCCTTCTATTCATATCAAATTTTAGATCTTTTGTACCTTAACCGTCAGTGTATCATCCTGTTGAATGGCCTCGGAGTTCCGGATGAGTCGTTTATCAGTCTTCAAGACAAAATGCTCCGTAGCTTGGCCTTAATGTTGCTGTTTGAAACAGTAGCACTGGAAACTCTTCAACGAGCCAACATTCCAGGTGGTTTGAAGATTACAGCCTTATCACGCAGTGGTTTGAACGTTACCCGAGAACCGTTCTTCCGCTCTTTGTTGCTGGCCATATATAAAAGTCGGCTGGGGGATTTATTACGAAGGGCCCGGATTGCTATCCCAGAAACCCATGGTCGTCTCTTGATGGGCGTCATAGACGAGACCGGTTCTTTAGAATATGGTCAGGTGTTTGTTCGATACTCGAAGCTGGTCAGTCAACCAGGAAAGCAGCTGGAAATACTGAAAGGCAAAGTGGTAATAAGCAAGAATCCTTGTTTTCACCCAGGTCAGTATATGACTGGTTCTTAAAAGGATTTTCTTCCATTTCTAGGGTTCTTTTGATTACAATTCTCAAATCATTAATTAGGATTTCTGTTATTTACCTTTCCATCATACATAACACCTTACAAAGGATTTTGACACCCTACAAAGGATTTTGACACCCTACAAAGGATTTTAATACCTTACAAAGGATTTTGACTTCGTAAAGTGTAAAGTGAACCTCAACCTCACTTTTGCCACTTAATTTGTGTTTGTTTATAGGTGACATGCGCATATTTGAAGCAGTGGATATCCCAGCTCTTCACCATTTGGTCGACTGCCTTGTTTTTCCCGCCAAAGGCCACAGGCCTCACTCAGATGAAATGTCTGGTTCAGATCTCGATGGAGATAAGTATTTTGTTACGTGGTATGAAAAGCTTCTCCCACGAAAAGATAACGTTGCCCCAATGGACTTCACATCCCCGGAGAAGATGGAGCTACAAAGACCCATAGAAGTGTCTGACATGATTCAGTTTGTGGCGGAATACATTAAAAATGATCAACTTGGTATCATTGCAAATGCTCATCTTGTCCATGCAGACCACGATGAGGAAGGTAAGCTGTTTTAATTAACGTATTAAGATGAACTGAATGAACTTTCATCATACTAAGAATGCATGGATGACAATATCCAGAGAAAAAATTAAAACATTGAAGAGATGTAACCTTTTTAAACTAATATACAGTCAGAGTTCCAATTAAAAATTGTTAGTATCTTTTTTCAGTTTATTTTACATCAAGCATCGACACCTCAAAATATTTCAAACCAATAACCTCGTGTAACTGACCGTAGTAGTGTGCATGACGCGTGGACGCGTATCGTGTGTGAACTTAGGTAGCGATCTGTCAATTATGGGGGGGAACCGTTGGTGCGAATGGGGGAAGGGTCATGACATTTTATGCAACCAAAACGAGTAGGGTTACCATCAATTTGTGCAGTGCTCTTGGGGTTATGGTGTTGAGTTCAAAAGATAAGACAACTGTGGCGACAGTGATGCGAATCACCGATCATCTGAGATAATAATTGCATGTGTCTTGTTCAAATTGTAACAGATCTTCCACAATCAGTTTGTATATAAGTGAGGCGCTCACTCGAAGCTTTCAATAATGTAACATTCCTTCATTTAAGGTGTGTTTTCGGACGCCTGTATCCGTTTGGCTCACATGCACTCGGATGCCGTAGATTTTCCAAAAACAGGAAAGTGTCCGTCTTTGCCCAAAGAGTTGAGGCCAGATCAGTACCCAGACTTCATGATGAAATCCGGGAAACCCCGCTACAAGTAAGTTTTGCCGATGACAACCAAAATTGGACGAAAGATATCTAACTCTTTTTTTTAATTCGAATCATGGTTTGTATCTCATTTAGAATCCAGCTCCCAGTTGGCTTGTTAGCTCAGTTGTTAGGGCACTACACTGGTATCGCAGAAGTCATGAGTTCAAATCCCGTACAGGCCCGAATTTTTTTCAGGCCTTATTTTCGCTACTGCTCAAGTAGTGTTAGGAACCCAATGGGCTTTTAGTAGTGTTTATTACCGCGAAGATCGCTTTCATGTTTACGTCTTTATCTGCAGTCCACATGTATGATTTTCATATGTTCACTGTGACTGTAGCCAGCCCAGTCCGCGATTAGGGGATTTACGCTCGTTTAGAGTGCTTTTTTCTTCCCTTTCGCGGTCCTAAGGCTGGACAAGATAAAGAAGTATATTTCTAATATACTACTAAGTTTAATTAGTTTCTGTATTATCTCGAATTTTCTTTTTACGTTTTTTTTGTAGCGTCGTTCGATAAACATTGGCATCATGTCATAAGTAGACCTTTTCCATTTATTTAATTTTTACGGCTTCCGCTTGAGGTCAGTAAAGTCTACCATCCATAACTTCAGTTGTTTTTTTAATCTATGTAGTTACATTCACAGTCAGTAACACTTTACGATGATGCTATATAAAGTATACCCAAACGACCTCATGGCAGCATGTAGACGAATTATAGCGATCCACTTCCGAGAAATGGCTACACCATAAGACAAATAATAATTTCCTACGCGTCCATGAAGAAAATGGACTTTTTTATAATATTTCTGCTCCAGCCAGCAGATTGTTGTGTTGAATACGCTATTACATCGAAGATTAAATCTCTTGAAGGACTATGTTGAGTGTTCTACAAGGCGAAAAATTTAACGCTGTAGATGTGTTCTGCCACACTTCAACAACAACAAATAAAATATTCTTTTTTTTAATTTTCAGTTCTCAAAGGATCCTGGGAAAACTCTTTCGCAAGTGTAAATCCCTTGATCGTGCCCAGCAGTTCTCAGCCGAGGCCTCTCAGAGCCAGATCATTCCCGACCCCGACCTGATCGTTCAAGGGTATGAGCACTATCTTGAAGAGGCCGAAGCAGTGAAAATTCACTACAACACCAAGCTCGATGGGCTGATGTCTTTATATGGCTTAAGAAATGAGGGAGAAGTGATAACCGGCTGCCTTGTTAAGGTAAACACTCGCCTCGCTGGAAAAACCGATGAAAAATTTGAAGTGGCGCAGATGATTCAAGCAAGTCTATCCACGCTACGTGCAAAAACGCGGCACGATTTTTATGATGAATTTGGCGGGGAAGATGAAGTGATGGAGGAGTTTGAAGAAAATGGTCATTTTGCCGAAGAGATTTTGCAGAAAGCCTCGGCATGGTACATGACAACTTATGGAGACAGAGGTGAAGGTGAAGTCCAGAGAACAGCTTCGTCTACAGATCCAAATCAGCAACGGGAGAAAGGAGACCGGAAAAGATTGCTCAGCTTTCCTTGGGTGGTCGACCGTATCCTGGCAAATATCAAAAAAGGTAAAAAACAAGAGCGGGAGAGGGATGGAACCCAAGCCCAACATGCCATGGGTGCAGTCGGTGACCTCATAACAGATCAAGCAGCTTACTTTTTTGATAAGTTGAAATCAGAGCTTGTTGATATTCGGAAGGTTCAAATTGAAGAGCGAGATAAGCTGAAGGATACGCTTAACCTTCTATTTGGAGAGGCCCGGGCGCCGCGGCTGGCTTTGTTCGACTCGTCGTTGACCGGAATCTCCGTGGGCGACGAACAACAGACGTCTGTCGGGATTTATATCCATGTCAAGTGGAATGCATCTGAGAAGGAGCAATATGAGTACCTCCAATGGCTAGGCAGAGCACTCAGCCGGGAGGGTGAAGTCAAGATGCAACGACATCCTTTGGTTCTGCATTTTCAACGCGGCTCCTCTCAAGGTACATAAATTAAATTATATTCAAAGATTCACAACAAGATGATATTGTTTTCAACATTACCTCTAATTTCTATGGATTAAATGTCTCTGTTATACCACATTGGAATGGTCTCGAGAGCTTTGAAATACATCCTGATATTTTAATCTAACTCGCCAAGTAGTAGAAAAAAGAAAACATCCTTTCTTTGCATAACTATCTAGGTCTCAAGTTATTGAGGCAGGACTTCTACATCACAGCAGACTCTAACAGATTTCAAAAGAGTGCTTATGTCAGTATGCAGGTTCAGCGGTGTCCTCGACTCCTCCATCTGCTGCTGATTTTGATCCACTGGGGGCGTCGACGGCGTATTATTGGGAACTCGAGGAACAGCTTCCTGTCAGACGAAAATCTGGCCACCATTTTTCTCGTATTTTGTGAGGAATCTGACTTTATTAATAAGGTAAGTCTCATGTACCCGTGCATCAGTGATTTTCGGAAAGAGAAAATGAAAGTTACTAGTTGCAGAGCGTAAGGGTGCGTTCCTTTGGGAGGATCCGGATTTGAATTTGTGATCCAAGATCACACAGATCACGGTGCATCAAAGGAACGGAGCTTTAGTTCATCGGATTAGTTACCATGACAGCAGGCGCGAAATTGTAGAGCGCGTCAGCGGAATCGCGCGATAAATTTAAAAACAAAAACAAGATGGCCGTCGCGTATAGAGCAGCTGTTGTTTCGTGAGTAGAGGAACTTTCTGATCATTCAATACTACAAGAAGCGAGAAGCAGTGAAGATGAAGAATTTCTATTTTTTCTCTTGAAAAGGGAGATGCAAAGCCATGTCCGCTCTGAGAATTATTTCGAACGTATTAAACAATTCTCCTGTGTTGGGAACCCTGAATGCCGGCGATCAGTGGCCGATCGATTTAACATTACAAAATTGAGTGTATTTCGTGTTTATCACAGAATTTGTGGAGCGATCCCCAACAATCTTTCCGGTCAATATATGAGGTACCTACATGTTTGAAATTGGGCACCGCTGGGCAAAATGATTAATTTCTGATCCTTCTCCCAAAGGAACGCGTTGGATCAATGATCCAATGATCCAATGATCCGTCTTTAGATCGCGCAGACCGGTGGTCCGATGAATCCTTATCCAGAGTGGATTTGATAGATAACTGATCTTAAAATGAATTTTCTCGAAAGGAACGCCGCAGATCAGAAATCCTGATCCGGATTCTCCTAAAGGAACGCACCCAAACTTTCAATTATTATCTGGAAACGAAAGTAACGGAAAATGATTTAGAGGGAGGACTTTATGCGTCCTGAGAAAGGGTATCACCGCCTTTAGAAAAATTTCGATAAAACATCTTCATGTCATTCTTTCATTCAGTCTAAAAATGAAAGTTTTCTTTTTTCACTTTTACCGCCAGGACGTCAGTGACATTCATCTTTTTATCATACTTTTTTTATTAGCTAAGCAGCGCTGATATGCAGAACTTCTCTTCACGCCATCTTGGTTTACCGTCCAGCGTCGAACAAACCGAGGCTGAGAGGGTGTGGAGCAATGAAGTGCTGGGAGAAGATTATCAGGAAAGACTAAAAGGTCTCAAAGGCGACAAAACTCCAGGTCATCTGTTGATCAAATTTTTTGAGCATTACAGTTTAGTAGCAGACGATGATCCCCTTCATATACGAATTATGACAAATCCAGTGAAAAGCCTGGAAACGCTTTGTCCAAACGTTTCTACAGAAGAAAGTAATCGCTTTTCCGATGCTGCTCTTCATGCGTTCCATGAACTTGCACAGTGTTGTGGTCTGGATAGTTTTACTGCATCAAGTCATACAGAGAGCACGCGTGAGCTAAAAGAAACGCTGTCCATGCCCAACACGACTTGGGGCGCGCTCCGCTTTGCTGAAGAATTCGTGAGAGTCAAGTTATCGACTCTAACGTCAGCTCAGATCTCCTTAAGACCAGGTAATTTGTTTCGATTTCAAGAACTTTTAGATCATTTAATCTGGTGTTTTGGTACGCGTAAAAAGAGAATCAATCGAGGGAAATAAAACGTGGAATCTTGCACATTCTTCAACATACCGGTATGGATGACGGTTTTGATGGAGAGGGCTGGTTGCTAGGTTAATATTTGATTTGATCATCCAGGATGCCGGTTACCTAATTTAAATGGTTCATTTAGTTGCGCAGGATGCCAGTTAGCTAATTTGAATGGTTCATTTGGTCGCCCAGGATACCGGCTAGCTAATTTGAATGCTTCATTTGGTTGCTCAGGATACCGGCTAGCTAATTTGAATGCTTCATTTGGTCGCTCAGGATACCGGTTAGTTAATTTAAATGCTTCATTTGGTTGCTCAGGATACCGGCTAGCTAATTTGAATGCTTCATTTGGTCGCCCAGGATGCCGGTTAGTTAATTTAAATGCTTCATTTGGTTGCTCAGGATACCGGCTAGCTAATTTGAATGCTTCATATGGTTGGTGGATGGCTGTTCAAATGATGGATTGGTTGGTTGCTTGGTTGATGTGGTCATTTCATTAATTGTTTTGTTTTAATGGGTTATTAAGTTGAAGGGTTGATCCATATTTTGAGTTGGTTTGTTGGTTGGCTGGCTGCCTTGCATTTATTTTTTCGTAGATGTTCTGGCTGGTTGTATCATTTGTTGGTTTGGTTGCTTGGTTGTTTTTTAAGCTGTCAGCTTTTATTGCTTTATTCATTTGTTTCCTTTTTGTATTTCATAGATGGTTTGGTTAGTTGAATCATTTGCTTGTTTGGTTGGTTGTCTGGTTTTTCGGTTGGTTGCGTCTGATTGTTTCTTCATTTATTTCATTTATTTATTTCGTAAATGGTTTGGTTGTTTGTTTCATTAATTATTTTGTTGCTTGATTGTTTGGTTGGAAATATTTGGATATTGCTAGATTGATCGGTAAATTAATTTAGTCGGTCAGTATGTTGATTCAGTTGATACAGTTGGTCCTGATTGGCTGATTAACCGATTCGGTCTGTTGATAAGAACCAAGTGACAAAGAAACTAGATACAACGTCTCCGAATGTATACATAAGCTTTTCTTCATGCGCAAATCTTCTCACCTATCCACAATTTCAGAGTTTAGAGTGCTTATGATCATAATATTTTTTCTGGATCGCGATTCGGTTGCTGAATTAGTCCGCTTGCACTAAACGCCAAAATGATAACAAGATATCTGTTATCAATGGGTGTAACCTGACATTATGAAGCTGGTCAAAAGCCTCTCTTTTTTTATGTAACTCCCTCCATTTGGTACGCTCTATGCAAGACTTCAAAGAACTCCTGTTAGTTCAAGATGATGTATGCATTATTGATCTCCCCAAATGATATGTTATGGCCTTTTTTTCCTGGACACGACACCAGTAAACTTACCTCGTGAATGAGTTCTAATAGGACTGTTATTTTTTATTTTCAGCTCAGAATGGTTACATTCTTGAGGCCACAGGAAATTACCTTACGTTGCACGCGGTTCAAAATGAATTGGAGAAGATTGAAACGACTTGCAGGTCCTACATTTATGACCATACCGTGAGTGGGGCTAGTCGGTTTCTGTTCTTGGACCAAAATGGGCCAAATGATATGGTCAATTTTAAGCAGCTGCAACGAGGGGACTATGCGGTGAATCTAGACCCGTTGAATGGATTACTACGGCATGGCCTCGGCCTTGACGATGGGCCCAACAGCGATTTGGTAGAACAGAAATTTCTAAGCTTGATTTCCTCTCAAATGGGGGTTTTTAAGCAGGAGTATCTACCCTACGTTCACGGTGCTGATAGACTAATGATCAGGGTGGAATTTGGTAGCATTTATGTCCAAAACGCACGATTTGATGCACCAAGGGTTGGAGCCGTTGAGGATATGCTGAGTCAGAACGCAGATTCCACAAACCGGCCCGGGTCTAGTCAGGCCCAAAAACGGAAGTTGATGACACATAAGTTCATACCAGTTTTAGATTGCGGTGAGAGCTGGACTGCGGCGTTCCCGACAATCTTACATGATAGCTTTGCAGAAACGTACACCCTGGGAATAAAGGAAGGTAGAAACCACACCAAAACCGTTCGCTATGACAGCGAGTTGCAGTTCTGTGACGTAGACATTCCACCTATTAACTGGGTGGTAGCAGACGTCAAAGCCCCGCGCCATGCACGTGCGAAGTCACGTGACATAGATTTCCGCGTCACCGTCTGCTCTCAAAGAAAACTTGAAGATGATAAAGACGAAGTCATGAGCTCACCTGGTTACGAAATGTTTAGCACAAAATCAATCCTCAGCAAACCAGGCAATATGAGTTTGGATTTGGAGCTGGCAAGCGGCTTCCAAACGAAAGTTTCTTATGTCAGACATGATAAGACCTCGATCTATAAAATCTCTGACGGAAATCTGTTCCTTCAAGTAAAGGAAGTAATGAAATATGAAGGAAAAGGTTCGAGGTTTCTTAAACCCTCCAAAAACTCCACAGAAGTTCAAATATTTGGATTTTTTGATGGTAAAGGTGACCCGGAAGAGGCAATGAAGGTGTCCAGGAACTTATGGTCAGCGGCTAAAAGGCTGAGACCACACATTAGATAAATTACTCACTTTTAAGCAATGCAAATATCGCACAATTTTCAGCTTTTTGTAAAACTATTTTCATGGAAAACGAGAAATTTTCTATTTTTTGGCACAATTACAATCAAATTGATCGAAGTTTTTACATAATTTTACCATTCTGTGACTTTTTTCCCACGGTGATTGTAGAAAAAGATTCGTGGACTAACAGTTATTAATTATCAGTATTAGGTGAACTTAAGGCCTGAGGATTAATAACGAAAAACACGCCCACGTTAAGGTCGTGTTTTGTTGATTGACTTGACGTGGATGTGTGTTTTTTTCCCTACCTTCTTCGTTTTTTCTTTTTTTTTTTTTCATCACTTAGAGTTCAGCTGAATTTGCTCCGAAAGTCTTTGATTTCATATAGTTTGTAAACTTTTCAGAAACAATTTATTTGACCGCCCGTGTCTGAAGAATTGGCGAGATTTCACTCTCCGTAGATTCTTTTTTGTAGGGTCTAAATTTGACAAAGTCATATCGATTCAAACCAACTTTTTGATATCATTTAAAATGACAAAACGATACTAATCAAACAGAGTCTGATGTTTTTTCAAGCTGACATAATCTATAATTTTTGCTTTGTCCATTAAACTGTGCATTATATGTAACAGTCTCTTTTATCAGATTTGCACGTGTTGATTGAGCCAGTTGGTAACATCTTCCTCATGCCGACTGAGCCAATGTATATTTGCGTGGATTCGCTCTATTCCCATTTTCACCTGGCGATAGGCTGCGTCTGTGGGCTTATAATCCTTGAAGAATTTCTTAACCTGTAACGAATCAAGAAAAATTCACAAGCAAACTTAAAAAGTCGGTTGAAAAACGCACATCTGCCTACAAAGTTACTTTTAGTAGGCTTTACACGTTAACCCCCATGAGTGACCAAAACAGAATTTCTCCTTTCAAAGTTAATACATTATCAAGTAGACAAGTGAAGAGAATAAAGAAAAAAAAAATTAGGGGATTGTTATCTGATCCAATCCATAATTCCCCGAACTACCATGATAAGAATTGTAACGAGGCAGACAGTGCGGAGAATTACTATTGAGATCTTAGGAGTGAAAGGACTAAGGTAAGTAGCAATTATTCTTCCCGTCGTTCCCTGTGTGAAGCAGCCAAGGGGAAGCCTAAAAAGAATAGTTTTTTAATATTACTTCAAGTCAGCCAGAATGAAATGAGCCTAAATAATAACGAAATAATTTATTTTGTTTTAGTAACTTTGCGTTCAATTAAGAGGCACGTCTAAATACTGGGAAGAGCCCGTCAACACTGGCTAACTTTGGATTTCGCGAAAGCGGCAACAAGGCATGTGCTGAACATCAAGAGGAACACCGTGACATGCGTGGATGGATAACGCCATATAACCGTCCAAGACTGCTAGTTCAAGTTGTGTAATGCATCAAGAAATCCAGAAGATTGTTATTATAAAAAAACATCTTTCACAACCCTGGCATTTTATTTCTTATCGAATACGGAAAATAATCTACATCTATATCAAATATCCTACCTGGCTCAGTTGTGCGGGAGTATTGCATTTAAACATCAAAGATTCAATCAACACTGGCCATTCATCGGATCCACGACTATACCTAAGGTAAAACATTTTAGTTAATTTTAAATTGACAGGTCAGTTTTCATCATTCAGAAAGATGTTACAATTTACTTTTCGAATAACGTTTTAAATGGCGCTTCATACCGCTTTCAAACGCTATTGTCCTGTTTAAGAAGGATACTTTTTTGATGTCGGACGCTGTTTTTTATCTCAGTCGAAAATTAAAGCTGCATGCAATTGTATGCATGTTCCGATGAAATTTACTTTATCCGTTATTGTAATTTATGTTTCATTTTCTTTCCAAGCTTCAAAATGCAACTCATTTTCTTTCCATATGAAACTCGTGCACATAAAAATAATAGTCGAAGAGAATCATATCCCATGTTCGCACAGAGCAAGGGTTTTTAGTCGAAGTTGCCTTACAATTTAATCGAATTCTGTGATTCAAAGTGTTTTAGGCCAAAAAAAAATGTCAAATTTGCTTTTCAAATTACTTTTGTTTCAGGTGGCTTAGCCAGAACAAAATATGGTTTGTGATGACGCAAAAAAAAAAGGAGAACAGGAAGATAATTCCTTTTGAAATATTTGTCTGAAACGCTTTTCATCGACAGAAAATAATGAAAGAAGACTTGTCGAGAAGACTGCTTTAGTTGGAGCGCCATTTAGGTCCTGCGAAGAGATGATTAGGAAGAGTTGTGAGATTTGAGATTGCAAGATAAGCGTCAAGGAGACAAAGGAACAACGTTTTGCAGTAGAGATCATATCGCCTCCAAGTGCGATTTTATGAGTTGATATTCTTCATACCTTTCGTTCAGAATGTGCCAGTGTTCACGAAAAAAATCCCAAGCCATTTTCCATGATTCGGGGTTAGACGCCACCCCGCTGATTACTGAAAGTGTGTCTTGAGGGGAAATTTTTGTCTTATCCAACGAATAATTTAAGCACCTGTTGACGAAAAATTGAGAGGAGTAAGAGAGACGAGGGAATCTATTTCAATTGGGAAAAGGAATTTGAAAACCTCGCTTAGAGCTTGTTTTCGAGTTCCAAAATTTTAGAATTATGAGTTTATTTGCTCCCCAAACAAATTTTTCGTACCTGACTGCGTATCAATTCAGATTCAAATCAGAAACTGCAAGGGGAATCTCGGAGATGTGCTATTTCTAGTGTTGCCAGTGAAGTTTAATAAGTTAAAGTTGTCATTTAAGGGCTGCAAACGATTGTGAAGATCTTAGTTGAGAGCAACAGAGAGACTTAGAATAATTGGTGTAAAAAATACAATTTGCCCTAAGGGTTTTTTGGAGGCCTGTTGGTTTATGGTGATATGAAGATCCGATCGATCGGGCAGATATTGCGGGCTCATTTCACAAGGAGCGCAAAGCTTGTCCCACTGTAGGATACACTCCAGTGTGGGATACTCGCCTTTACACTCACTTTTGTATCATTTGAGTATTTCTTGTGTAAGTGAGTGCATCCAAAAGAATATCTTTTTCGGAGGCGACGTGAGTAGTTGAGTACTTTTTGAAAGCCTGGTTCCATTCTTCGGCGCCACCTTCTTTGACACCAACTGAATACACTAAAGAACGAAGGTTTGATGGGATCCTGTGAAAATAAGTACTATCAGTGGCTTTGCCTTTTAGGATGTATGTTGTATCGGGAAAAAGAAAAACGAATCAAAGAACTTATTTGATCATTTTCATAATAGGGCCTTTTGGGAGACATTCAACAATACGCGATTCAGAGTAATCTTGACTCCTTATTAACATAAAGTAGTTTTGAACCTAAACAGAGAAATTAATCAGTTTGCTTTTTGTAAAGCTCAGCAAATCACACACAAACGAGAAGAAAGCTGTCAGAAGAGAGACACTTACATTTTGTTCTCTTCCATCGCAAGTTTAAACATGTTCTTGATCTTCAAGATGGTGTCCTGATCTGAATAGTCACAAGCCTTAAAGAGAATCTTTGGACGCAGCATTCTGGAAAAACAATAATAGGCCATGATCAAGACGCATGAATTAGCAAGGGAATCAGAAAAAGAATGAATTAGAATCATTAACAATGAATTTTCTTGTTTTTTTTTTCACATTTACAAAGTCTAGAGGGAAGAAATTGATTTTAAATTGATTTTTTAAGACAAAGTATTTGGGAAAAACAAAAGAAGTCAAGTGCTTACTTTTGTAAATGCGTTCCTTTGTCATTCCATCCCAGTCTACTTATTGATGGTCGAAGTTGTTGAAGCATGTATCTCTGTAGTGGACAAATGATTGTAGTTTATAACTTCTCTTCTATCACACTCGGCTCAGCTATTTCAAGTTTACCATAAAAAATAATCACAAAGTGTTTCCGCCACTTTTTGGTCATAAGTACTTTCAAAAGCGCTTCCTCACGATGCAAAACTTGTCCTTTCATTCATAACGTAGAGAAAATGTCCGGACCTAAGAGATCCATGAATACTACTGATCACTATACATGCACCTCCGCCTATGTCATCTATTACATAACTTGCACTTATTGCAGAAATTTATACGTTGGTGAAACAGGAGGACAACTAGGCGACCGATTCCGGGAACATCTTTGCGACGCAAAAAAGAAATGACAGGGACACATCCAAACCAGTCGCTAGACTCTCGAATCTCCCTAATAATTCTAAGAAGCATACGGCAGTTTGCGGCCTTTCCCTACATCTAGACAGTTCGGAAAGCTGCAAAACTCTAGAAAAACTCTTTAATCTTTCAAATCGGCACTCTCAATCCTCACAGTATCAACAAGTGCTTTTCATTCAACTAATTTGTTCCTGTTTTCTCGTCATCTTATTCCGACCAATAGTGTAGCTCCATTCTCTGCATATAAACACACACAACCCACAATTCCTGCATTCGTTCCGACGGAGGGCTAACGCTCGAAACTTCAGCTTTGAAACTCTTTATGGTGGCCAATTTACGTTATCAACTCAGTTGCTAATACTAAATTACCCCATTATACTCTCCCACCGACGCAGCCCTACAGTCTCTTAAGAAACGTACCCCCTTTATTATAAGTGTTTCCGTTAGTTCTACTGCAAATGAAGTCCAAATTCAAACTTAATTATGAACAAGAACTTGTATTTTATTTCTTCTAATCTTATACGCAACGATATCTCTTTGCTGAAGCTGAAATAATAAGGCCTCCCAGAAAGCGCAAGTGATATAGATAGGACACAAATTATATTACCTTAAAGACATCATAAGACTTGCGTAGAGTAAACTGGTCGCCAAGGTACTCCATGTTTCGTAAGAAAGTTATTAACGGTGAAAACTCTGCCTCATTCCTTATGTATTCAATCATTTCTAAGGCTAGTTCATATCCGAGCTCGTCACTCCTAAGAAAATGTTACATTTGGACTTATCACGAAAAGAGATTGGCGCAAAGTTACACGTTACAGAAACTTACAATAATAATCGGATAAAGAGCGAAATAAGCTTAACACTATTGCAGAAAATGAGGATGGAGAGGAAAAAATTAATAAGTAAATGAAAAGAAATTTTAAAATATGAAAATAACCAACGGGAAGCTGGGCGAATAGAATCTCAGTAGTAAATAGTAAATATACTGAGATGCGAAAAGAAGCATGTGAAATGGAATAGTTTACCTCGCCAGATGAAATGCATCATCAATCAGTCCAGAGCGGTCGGCTGGACTCATTACCTGCAGTGTTGCATAATACAAAATCATTCTAACTTCGTCATAAGTGCTCAGGATTTTCTACAAACGTGGTCATTACGACCACGAGTTTGGTAATTGTTCAGCCAATTAAAGTAAATAAAAATGTAAACTAATTGTAAACATCTACTGTTCCCTAAGAGAATAATCGTACTTACGGTATGGTCTGTGTTAAGTTGGTTGTTAAGAGCTTTCCAGTTGTCGATGTCGTAATTAACTCTGTAATAACCAATCTGATCAACATTAGCTTTAATCCACCCAGATGTCTTTGACCAATCAAGCGAAGCTGGAAAAAAAGATTCACGTTACTACCATCTATCTTGAAGAATGGAAAACTAGAATAAACATTAGAATCAATTTAAAACGTTATCCCTTATATCACATAGATAGTGTGTTGTTTCTTTTGCAGCTATCCACAGAACTCTTTTGGGGGATTGATTATTTCCTATCTGGATTTGTAGATTAAACTTGATCAGCCACCTGGAGAAATGTCTTGACCTCAGCTGAGAAAAAATTTTTAAGACAACATTTACATACCACTTCCCCTCTTCAGCCAAACATGTTTGGTTGTGTTGTCCTTCTCAGTTTCATAAGTCAGCGGAATGTTCCATGTATAACTATGAAAAATAACAGAAGATTGACCAAGATGAAGTTCGAGGGAATATTTAGAAGCGTAAGGATGATAGAGGATAGAGTTGGTAAGTTAGATGCAGTTTTAGTGATAAAAAAGAGCGACTTGGCTTGTAAAATGAGAGTTACACTTTTTCTGGTAGACGTATATGGCATCTTAGATTGACTGCTAAGCAGATGCTAAGTCGAAACCAAAAAAAATCGTGTTCTCTTTTTTTGCCTATCATACCTATGTGAGGTTAACCGCCATTCAATTGCCGTGAAAACCAAAATTATTAAACATCATTTCTTTATATAGGATTCCTTAGCAGTGACTCCTTATCACGAACAACTGACCATAAAGGTGCCATTGTTTTTCTGTATGATGGCACTCAAGTAACACGAGCGAGGAGGAATGCAAGTCTGTAGGGTATAACTTACTTAAATGGAGAACTCTTTTGTGGTCTGGCACCAGGATCGATAAGGAATACTTTTTGGTCAGCGGTCGCCTTGTGTTGGTTCAGGCGCCTGATAGTAACAACTGGTAAACCCATTTGAAGTGTCCAGGTGTCCATAACTTCTTTTACGTTAATGCCACTTTTCTGCGGAGATGAACCAATATAAAAGGGAAAAAAGTAGAACATAATGAAGCGTCAAAACCAATGTCAATTCGGCGTGGCCAATCAGAAACAAAGATTGTCGTCAAAAGGAGCTAATGGAAACTCTAACTTAACTCACCTAACCGGCCGGCCTCAAGCTCAGGAGAAAGCCGAGCAACAAAGACGCCATTGATTTAAATTAGTTAAAATTGGTGAACTGATTTGTTGATAGAGTGGTGTAATACATATACAAACCAAAAGCAATTCGGAAGTACTTTCGTCATCATTTTGAACAATTTCCGGCATGTTTGTGATAATTGGAGGGTGGAAAAACGAAACGTTATCGTTATGATCATCGAAAACTTACTTCTGACAAAGCTAACCAAAGTTCGTCTGTATCTGCGTTGCTAGAGGAATATCTTTGGAGGTATGACCGCAGACCAGCAGTGAAGTGATCATGGCCAATAGTATTCTTTAACATCCGTATTACAGATGCTCCCTACAAGGCAAATAACACTTGTTGTGATGTTGCTTAGGGCTGTTGTTGTCATGTGCTTGTCATATCTTAATTGTTTGCATCACTCGTCATATTCCTAGTTTAAGCACTTTTTCGGAGGGGTTTATTCAAACCTTTTCGTAAGATATAGAGTCAAACATGCTGTCAATGTCCTTGGGATCTTTTACATCAACTGAGATTGGATGAGAGTAACTCGACTGATCTTCACTGAAAGCCACTTGAAGTTTCTTCACGACAAATTGGTCCATCATACTCCAGTTAGGTTCAACAAAGCTTGCTCCCATGTTTTCCATGAATGTAGCAAAACCTTCATTCAACCAAAGATCGTTCCACCATTTCATAGTTACGAGATTCCCAAACCACTGAAACGAAACTCGTTCAAGGTTAGATGATGACCAAAAACATTATAGTATTAGGGAAACCCTACGCTGGCGGGTTATCTTACATTGCAAAGTTCGGTTATATTAATCATAATCCAGCTTCTCGTCGCTTGCTTGTCTAGCGGTTGTCAACATTGAGAGCTGGATCAGGGTGGGTCAATGAGTGGCAATAAATACGATTTGGGCTTTCAACCCTCATAATCTGACTGGGCTTGCAAATACTTTATAGGGAAGGGTGTCAACTTGACTTTGGGCCTGGAGTTAAGTTTAGTGTCGAAGTAGGTCAAATAGGTGTATGTTGCCAATTCAATAACCAATAATTATTGATGATTTATCCACCACAAATCCTTTTTTTTTTACAGTTATTTACATCCCAGGAATATAATTTTCTCTTTACTGACCTGATGAGCCAACTCATGTGTTACAGTCTCGCAAATACTTTGTCGTAATTCATCTGATGTCTTTTTAGGATCAAAGAGGAGCATTGAGCTGGTAAACCCGATTAGCCCCCAGTTTTCCTCAGCACCGGTCGAAAAGTCAGGAATAGCAACAAGATCTGCAGAGATGGTGATAAACAATGAGAAGGACCAAAGGAATTGCCAAGGAAGTCCATGGATGCTATAAGAAAACATCAGTTCTGAAGCCTCGTAAATTTGATAGGCACCGAAGCACAATTGTGTATTGACACTCACATGCATGCAACTGCCGGAAATTTTTTTCAACTTTTCTTACCTTGCTTGGGAAGAGGAAATTTTATCTGGAAGAATTTTTCATAATTTGAGAGAGTATTTGAAGCAATATCCAGTGCATATGAAGCCTGAGCCAGTTGCGATGGTGGGGTCCAAATACGAACCTAAAAGGCGACAGAGAAAGTAATTAGAGACATTTTTACCTTTGTGTCCTTCATTCCCTCGTGAGTGAAGCAAACACTAGAACTTAAGGCTTCAAAAAAAAAAAAGGTGAAACTCTGGATTGTTCAGGACCTTAATACCACCGCTCGTTGTCGTCTCTATGTGGGCGAAGTCGCTCACAAGAAATGCCACCAGGTATGTGCTCATTTTAACTGATTCTTGGAAATGGTCTGCGAATAAATCATCTCCAACCTTCACCTGAAAGCAAAGGTCAAAACTTTTAGAAGAATCTGAGGGTATATACATTTTACTTGTAAGTATGTAAGTGAACCCAACCCCAGACCTTGCGTCCCATTAAAATAAAAACAAGTAACAAACAAAGGAAAACCAAAGAAACAAAAAAACTTATAATTGTGTGAGCAGGGATCAGGGATTAGGATGGATCCTTCAACAAATGTGCAAAGTGACACGAGATTTCCACATTACACACTTTACTCTGTGTGTTTTTAAGGATCTTGTGAACTTGCACATCATCAGCATTCAGTTTTCGCAAAATGCGATATTGAAATAATAAGCAATGACTGCCAATCCATTATCTTGCTGAAATTATCCAACTTTTAACGGTGAGAGTTTTGTCCGCGAGGGGAGATTTCCCCCAAAAAGAATATCATCTCTGCATGTGCAGATTGAGCAACAGACACTCATTCTGGAGGACATAGACCCTTTTCTCCTCACAATGTCAAAATAATCCTCCTCACAATATGAAAATAATCTTAGCCAGACAAGTTATGAGAATTCTTAGAAAACATCATAGAAATCGTATGAGAGACAGTAAGGATAATTACAATTAAGACATTGGGACTGAAAGGGTTAACACACCTTTTTATTCTTACCGTTTGCATGAGGGGCATATTTGAGAGAGAAGAATATTTTCCTTCCCTGATAATGGTAACAGAAAACTTTGCCTTCATTTCCGGTTCATCGAAGCATGGAAACGCCGCTCGAGCGAAAGTCGCCTCAAATAGTGTAGCTGCCAGATAACTAAGAAGAAAAAAATAACTGGGTACAAGTGATCGTCGAGTCGTGTCTATATAAAGCATTGAGAGTTAAAATATAAAACATTAAAAACAACCGGATTGAGAACGTTATTTTTACAATTACTTCATGTGTCAGCTGTGCGTTCATCGTCACATGAAGCACCTGGGATATTTGAGAGCACTCACGAAAGTAGAGTTGCTATCGATAACGACTCTAGAAACTCTTAAGCATGTTTCGTGCTTTCCAATCTTACCACGTGCTTCATATCTCAATAAACGCACCCTGGCGCACGAACCAATTGTAAAATGCATACAGTTCAATTTATCATACACCTTAGGCCTTTGACTTTTTGAAACATCGCATAAATGCTCTTGTGCATGATGAAATCATTAAGCCTCTTTGTGCTAGAATGTTCATAAGTCTTTGTCACTTTCTTTATGTTTTCATGAGGGTATTCTTTTGATTCCAGTGTTCTGGGAATACTCTCCGATCAAAATTCAACAGTCCGCTCCTTGAAAGCAAGGCCGGCTCAGGGTGAAACTGCGTATTTTGACGTGAACCTACAAAAGGCCTATTACCGCTATTTACAGAGAAGAAATCTGAAAAGGCTCGAATTTAAAGGAGCTAATCATTCTTGATCGAGCGCCTTTTATAAGGCAACTAAATAAAGAAGAAAATTAAGACATTTAAGAGGCAATAAATTAGAGAACAAATCAAACGAGTTAGTCAAGTACTTGCTAAGTACTTGTACCACTGTATGTGGTCACTAAGAATGAACTGGGCAACCATTCATAGCTGAAATTATCTTTGGAGCTTTACTCATTATGATGAGTCAACAAAAAAAACTACTCATGTTTTGCAAATAATGCTGAGTGACGCTCAACTGCAGAGACACTGTCATTAACTTGCCTGCTATAAATTAGGAAGAAATATTCAAATCTGGTTTGTCATGCAAATAACTTTAAACTTGCTGAATTGGTTTTGTTATGAACCGTCTTGATGATGTGAAATAGCCGCCGTAAAGAGATTAGAAAGCTGACTTTTCGAGCTTAAGCCCTTCGTCAGAGCGAGTGAATTCGCGGTAAAATTTCCGCACAGCCCCATACTACATTATGCATTCAGTTCTTGGATAGAGAAAACAATGACAAAAACAATACATTGCCTTGGGAAAACAGATTTGTTTTACAATAGGATGGGACTGTGCGGAAATTTTACCGAATTCGCTCTGACTCGCAATTTTTCTAACAAAACAAGCTTGCGTTAGGCTGTGACTTCACAGTCGCTAATATTAGAGACTTCGTCTAAAATAATCTCAATATAACGAATGATATCACTTATCACCAAAAGACTTTAATTTGTTTTACTGACCTTTTCTCACCACTTTTTGTCATGTAAGAACTTCTGTAAAATCCGAGAAGTTTGTCTGTCAGTGGATACTCAAATTCGATGTAAATTGCGTAGTTTTGATGTGGCGTGAGCTCTTCACTTACTTCAATGAGAAACATTTCAAGAGTTCTATTTTGCATTGTCTCCGTGACTCTTATATCGCGATCCTTGCCTCTTCTTCCGCTTTTTACCCTCGATTGCTCCAGTTCTTTAACACTTCCAGCTGATAAAAGGGGAAAGAATTCTCTCTCTTGTGTAGTTTTAAGCACGGTTGTCCCTGATACGTTCATGTCTTTTAAATGAAGAATAATATGTGTTGTTGGCTTTTCACAATTAACTCGTATTGTAACATTCCCTTTAACATTGAATGATTTCAAATCAGTTTGTAATGTGATTTTATAGCTGGTGGGCAAAAGAGTGCGTGGAAGTCGTATTGAATGCCATGGAAATTCCTGACCCTGTGGAGTCCTTTCATTAAGAGCGAGCCTTCGGTGTTCAAGGTACGACTCTGATAAGGTTAAACTCGCCCAATGAAGAAGAGGCCAGACCATCCAAATTAGCCGTATGTTCGACAGCAGCATTTCATCAGTTCGTATTATGTCCGCATGGAAAACAAATAATGGGTTCAAGGCAGTTCATGAAATACAGTTGATAAAGTCGTTGGTGCTGGGTAATTTCATATGCTTTTAACTGCGACTAGTTTTTTGTTTTGTGCAGAACAGTTACGGAAAATTTGCATTGCAGATTATCAGGTGACAAGTAAACAGCACTTGAGTTGTCTAGCAATCAACACTGGCACCACTAATACAAAGAAGAAATCATCTTGCGTAAGAGTGTTCATCTGACCGGTTAAAAGTTATAACAAACAATAGCTTTGGGTTCCGGTCGAGCCCACTGACTATGATGTAAAGTGAGAGATGGAAAATATCCCGAGTTGGGGGCAAAGTAGGAAGATTACTATCCGTTTTAAACTATCTGGGAATATGCTCCCCCAGGAGAAATATTTTTATAACCGTTCTTATAATCGGTCTTAAAGCATGTATGGATTTTGATCTTTGATTCTGGTATGGTTTAATAAGAAAATGAGATGTACCAAAGATATGTCATTGGACCTGAAATTTAGAGCAAGTTTTACCAATTGTTGACTATGGCACTGCTGCGAAGTTTACACGCAACGACAGAGTATCTGAAACTGGATTTGCAAGTCAATGACAATGTTTAGAAGTGGGACTGAAAATGGGTATGGATCATGTTTATATCTGAAAACGGCTGAGAAAATTTCATTTTTTGATTTGGGACTGGATTTGAGAACCGATCATCAGAGTAAAGATTTCTATAGGTAATCACATGATTTCGAGAGCAATTTGGAATAAATGAGCACGAGTAAATTTTTTTAAAGACTAACAAAATTGTACGAGCCCGTAGGGCGAGTGCAATTTGTGGTCTTTGAAAAAATTAATAAGTGCTTATTTATTCCAGATTGCACGAGAAAAATCATGTGACTACGTGTTAATAATAAACATGAAAAAATATGAGATAGCTTATCATAATAAAGCATAAGCAAAGCGCGCGCATCAAGTGCAAAAATAATTTATTCACACCGTGCGTTCGGTCAAAATAACCGCGTACGATCAAAACAATAATATGCAATGATATCTTCACATCTTTAAGGCGCAAAAAAGTTCAAAGTCCGGCTAAACATTTCAAGGAATTGTCCAGTCTGTGTCAAATCACTTTCGATGAAATGGAATCGTCGTTTCTGAGGTTTAACCATGTTTGTTTTTAATTTCGGCGTTGGATCGCTCGAGCAAAGTGCTAAGCTGGGTCGGCTCGTAATTTTCGATTTCCTTGGCAATTCCCTTCTCTAAACACCATTTTTTCCAAACCGACAACCAAAATGCAGTGCCTTTAACAGAGTTTTCGTTGTTTGAGCTGTTCTTCAGCCGCGGTGGCGAAAGAAAACCTTCCTAAAACGCCGGCTATTGTTTCGCTCGCAAATTTTCAAATTTTGTTGCGACATCCAAGGCTCGCATTTGATTGGCTGTCTATGAGTTTCTTTGATTATTGACCAATCAGAATGTATGATTTGTTTCTTTGTACTAAATTAACCCTCTCTGCACTGGATTAACTCACTTCTACACTGAATTACCTGAAAACTGCATTTATCTTAACTAATCAGAACTGAGTGGTTTTTTTCATGTACATTATTAGCAAATTAAAAGCGTGAAAACGATAAATAAGGAAGAACTGTGCTCTTTTAAAAAGAGAGGAGTTATTGTCTGCCTCATTAGTGTTAGCGGTGTGCCGTGACTTCAAAGCCTGAAGTGGCCTTATCTAAAATAAATGCAGGCATGGGCTAAACTTTTGAAGAAAAACACCTTCCATTTCCACCAATAAACCTTTAATTGGCGCAAGGAATTCTACATATCATATTGCTCAGAAGAACAATGTGTAGCCTTAGTAAATTGAAAAAAAGGGAATTCTTGTCCGGCAGGTTTAGTGAGTCTTTTTTTTTTTCTTCAGCGAAGATGAGCTATTCTGTGATTACGAATAGCAACATAACGAAACAAACTGTGGCATTGGCTTTAATTTCAATTATACTTAAGTACCCTGTAAAAATAGCTCAATTGCTCTCTGATTAGCATTTGAATGTTATCAGACCTCCGATTTACATATATTTTCTAGCTTGGCCTTCTACATTTTCCAGCCGAAAGCTTGCTTTTTCAACAAATTTTTGACCAGGAGGTTTTTATGTAACATGATAGACGATAGTCTTTTACCACGAGCTTTTTAAAATACCTTTTAAGAAAACATTTGAATCAAAAGGCGCGTGAGCGATAAGGTTTTTATGTCAAGTGAGTCAAAACTATATCAAGCTCTTAAAGAGCAGTAGTTTTGCCAAACGCACAGCTTAGTAGGTTTAAACGAGAATACGAACCAGAAAATTAGCAAATGCATATGATCCAACGCGCTATACTGTCCGAAAGGGCAAATTATTCGACATCAACCATTTGATCGGTCTGTTCAAAGGATGTTTGGTGCTATCAGTTCATAACAATGCTCTTGATTTTACGCTTTCATGACAAACTGTACCGGCCCCGGAAAAAACAACACGGCTGTGAACAAACTGTGTTGTCGTGTGCAGAGTATAAGCAAAACAATTAACAACGCTGCATCGTCAACATGAATAGAGCGACATGAAGAGGAGAGAAAGAGTCATTTATTTCATAACATTGTGCAACAAGTTCAACTTGAACCACATGAGTTAAAGACATTAAAAGCAAGGAAGAAGTGTTCCTAAAAGAACACTTCAATTCGTCAAAGAAGCCCGCAACCTTACTGTAAAGGATTACATCATCTAACATTATCAAGAAGAGAAGCTGACGAGGTCACCTTAGTCTTACCACCATAAGATGTCAAATACCATTCTATCCTTCAGGGTAAAGGTGGTTTTTAGTTCATCCCTAGCTGTGTATAAAAATTAGCTCTCTTCTTCTTTCTTTATTTTTTGATGGACAGTGCTATATTTTTCCTGGAACCCCAGAATAAGAATTATCTGATTGTATGCAATTTCCTTTTGCTCCAGCCATTACTCAAAACGGCTTTCCCTTCAATTTGCCATTACTAGGGAGTGGCCATATTATTCTTTGAAAGAGGAAACAATTTGTTTCTGTTCCTGTTCACCCAAATTATCCTTTTTCGGCCGCATCTTTCTTTTCATATTTTTTTTCATGACTTTTTTCTCTAAAGCATATATATTTGAGCTACTCCGCTGCTACGAACATTTTCTAGAGGAAATTAATCTCTGCTCCCTAAAGAATGGCGCCTCCCTGAAGAAATTTAACACTCAAAATATTAGGACAATGAAACTGCTGACAAATTGAGATCAAACTTACTATTACTTACGATTTAAACTCACCCCTTACCCACACGAGAGATTATAAACAAAATCAAGATCCAAAACTTAACGAATACAAGAGCAGTTCTTGATTATAATATATTTTTCACTCATTAAAATTTGCTTAGAAATGGGCGACTATGTTGACTTCCCTACGAAACCTTACCGTTATCACTATTTCACTTTTAAATCTCCACGAGCGATGAAAACAATCAAGTGTGGCTGACTCAAAGTTTTAAAGTCGCCGCCACAGCCAAAACTAAACACCGAAAGGCATTTAAACCCAGCTGAAGCTAACCCTTATTGTCGTTATTCTAAACATTTTTTTTCAATTAATGAATTGAAAAATAAATTGTAATACATTTTTAATATTTCTCCGATCCCATTACAATCTCTTTTATTCCACTCAACGAAATAAAAAAATAAAAAAGCGCCTCCGTTGTGGAAAAGAAAATGTACAACACCTTAAACCAAAACATATAAGCAATCCTGACTTAAAAAATAAAAGTTAAGCCACATAGGCTAGTATTATATAAATATTTTTAAATTCATATTTTCACAATCCAGTGAATGCACTTTCCAAGTAAGTTAATACATTAAAAACAAGACTATGACCCTAATGAAAGATTTCAATTGGGATAAATTAAATTCACTGTAGTAAATCCCGAGCAAACCATAGTCATTCTTATATTCACACTAGATCCCTTCCGGGTTGCCGTTAAACTGTAATCCTCCACCGGGATAATCTTAAATCAACTAACGATTTTAAAAATTTCACAATTTAACTGATTTAAAGGAAGTGATCATCAATTTCCATCTTTGGGTGAAAAATGACCTTGTAAACGAAAACTGAAAAAAGAAAGAAAGAAAGAAAGAAAGGCAACCCGAGAGATGCGAGTCAGATTGTAAGAACTTCAGTGGTTCACTGCATGATTTACTATAGCCGAAGGGGTGAAAGTACAGTCCAGCTTATTTAGAAGGTATACCTCTGTCGAGTGCGAAGTGCAGAGGTTTTATTGTCAGTCGACGGTAGGTTTTGACTGGTTCAAGTTTTAAGTCACACAAGGCAATTATATTGATGCACTTCTAGCATACCTGGCACAAAGTTATACCTTCTAAATTTACCTTGACCGGGTGAATGAGAATTCGATATTCAAGGCCGTCCATATTTGTATCTCTCGTCTAAACTTGTTACATGTACAGGGTGATGTGGGTTATTGATAGGTAAGTGAACGTGAGAGCTGACGAAATCTTGAAGCCAGGCAACGACAGTGTGGCGGTAGGCTTTCAGCCATTTTATATTGGCTTTAATACTTTCCAAACTTTGAAGTACAGCCAGCTTGCCTGACCCTGTGTCTTTATTCGCAAAAAAAGACTTCACCTGGAAAAAAAAAAGATTAAAATTTTAGGGAAATCGCACTAAACGCGCTCTACATGGTGTAACAAGTTAACGGTTAACAAGTGTGTTTCAGCTCGATAAACATGGACAACTTACAGTGATTTTTATTTCATAAACTTCACTCACTTTTGAATAAACCACGTTGTAAGTGTTTAAATTATCCGTCGATGCAGTTTCTTAAAAGAAACAACTTACTTAAATTCAAACTTAGCTAAACTAGTTAGGTTATAATGTTGCCAGTAGTCGTTTTATTACTATGGTTGTTTGATGGACAATTTTGATTCGTGAATTTTTTTCTTTTCCATCGCCTCGTTTATTTTCACTCTGTATTTATTTCAACTTATAGACATTGTTCGCTAATTTTACCATTTTCCTTATACATTTTAACTGATAGAGGTAATTGTTTCTCTTGGGCCTTCACTGCTAACAGCACGTTTTTTAATTAATTAATTAATCAATCAATAATTAATTGAAGGAGTTACCAAAAATCTATCTATCAAGCTACACATAATCTCTGCAGACAGCTAGATAACAAAGCTTAACAAAGAAAAAGGTTAACCAAGTTCGATAGAAGAAACAGCGAGTTGAAACATTTCCTTACATCCTCTAATTTCTTCTCCGTGTTGAAGTGCGCTGTAGTAGCCTTGATGAGACGACTGAATTCAAAAGAACCTGTACCATATCTTGATAGAGGGAGCAAAAAAACACATTAGCATCATACAGTAGATGGCTGATGCCATTCACGGCCGAGAAATGCATTTTCATTCAATTTCCATGACGCTTCCGAAGTATTTCCTCAACTTTTTTTTCGACGATTTGGCTTTAAATTTCCGTACCTTTTGAACAGTAAATCGTAGTTCTGCTGCACAAACTCCCACGCCATTATGCGACCTTCTGGATTGTGAGCTATCGAGTTGATAACAGCCACGGAGTCCTGGGAACGAATCTTTCCCGGGTCCAAAGAATAACGAAGAAGCCTGAAAGAAACCATAAGAGTGGGAGAGAAGGTCAATCAAAAGAACAAGGGAGCGATTAAATAAAAAAGGTAATAAGAATAATTTGATGCCGGCAATTTCGCATAAAACCTGGAAAGCCTTCAAACCTTTTCTCGAGAGAGGAATTCAAACAGAACTATTTGCATCAGAGAGTGAGCAATGGGTTACTATCACCGACAAAGATAACAACCTCTGACTGATGAACAGTCAACTCTGGAGTCCCCCAAAAGGTCTGTACTAGGACAGCCTCTATTTCTCATTTACACAAATTATATTATTGATGGTCTCGCCTCTCTTCCTTTGAATTATGTCCATGATACTACACTGTTTCAGGTTGTTGATAAGCCAGCCGTATCAGCTGGTCGCCTCAATTATGATTTAAATAAGACCTCTGAGTGAGCTGAAAAATGGTTAGTACCGGTAATTATAGATCCTGTTAAATCTCGAAATTTTATTATTTTCTCTTAAACGTTACAAGGAACACCAGCCCCCTCTATTTTTTTAAGTCCAAGGTCGTCAAAAACGTTGAGTCTCATACGCACTTAGGCTTAAGTTTACACAGTAAAATGTCGATGAGAAATCAAACAGTTAAGATTTACGAGAAGGCTTCTAAGCGATAAAAATACTCTGAAATTTGTTAATCACAAAGTTGATAGCTTCACGTCAACATGTTTGTACAAAAGTCTGATAAGACCACTCATGGAATATGGGATGTCATCTGGAACTGTCATGACTGTGATTCAGCTATATTGGATACAGCTCAATATAAAGTCGCAATGGTGGCATCAGGGAGTCATGCAGAGAACCAGCTCTAGTTTACGCGAGGAGCTTGCTTGGGAGCTTCTTAGTATTAGGAGAGAATTACAGTAATCGAGCCAATTTAACAAATAAATAAGAATGCTGCTCCACGTTATTAAAATGAACTATTGACCAAACTCGCTCTGGCGAAAGGCTATCGCTCAAAACGTCAGCTTAGAAATTCTTTACGGTATATAGCCAATTAACATTACCAGCTAAGTTTTTTTTTCTTTTTTTTTTCAAGGCATGCATCTATCGATGACACTCGTCTCAGACATGGGTTTTATTGTCTTAGAGAACGTCTTTTCAAAATAAATAGTAGTGCGTCGCCTATTTGCGAGTGCGGTCTTGACTCTGACTCAGTGAAACACTTTTTGTATTACCTAAGGTATGGTACCCTTGGCAATGTCCTCCTTATTTCTGCTGGTAATATTCTCAGCGAAACGTGGTAATCGTGCAGCGATGTAACGAAAACACATTTTATATTGTTCCGTTTTAAGTCTGTAAATTACGATGTCAACTGTGCTTTTTTCACGAAGTATAAAGTTCTATAAAATCGCTTTTCGCTGGCTAATGTTTGATTGCTTAAATAATCCCAAACTATGTAAGTTTAAAGGGGGTAAGTTTCTAAGGAAACTGTGGTGCTGCGTCGGTGGGAGAGTATAACAGGGTAATTTAGTGTTATCAATTGAGTTGAAAACGTAAATTGGCCATCGTAAAGAGTTTAAAGCCTGACGTTTCGAGCGCTAGCCCTTCGTCAGGGCGATTGATGAAGGGCTAACGCGTTAGCCCTCTCTGGCGAAGAGCTAACGCTCGAAATGTCAGCCTTCAAACCCTTTACGGTGGCCAATTTACGTTTTCAACTCAGTTGATATGTGAGTTTAACTCGTTATTATCGTAATTTGCTTGTTGTTTGTATCTGTTTGTGTGTGAGCCTGTATAAATTGAATTAAAGTTTGTAAAATTGTGATCCCCTTGATAGGTCTGAGTGCTTTTGGGAAAAAACAACGACAAATATGTTTAAATGAAAGGGGAAAAAACCGGTCTTTACCTCTTTAAAATTCCTGGGTTCCGACTGCTTGTGAGTGCGTACATCAACTTTCTCTTTTCAGTCGCGACTTTCTCAGCTTGGAAACGATGGAAAACCTCCGTCCACGTTTGTTCATCTGCATACTTCACACCCACGGAATAAACTACGTTTCTCAAGTTTGGTCGAATCCTAGGGACGACCACAACTTTGTTATTATCTATATAATTAAAACTTGCATATACAGCTGAAGCACACGGCTAATGGAGCTTTACTAGCGTCTTCTTAATACAGGATGTACCCTCGGATCAAGTTACTAAGATAGTAACATAGTGTAGCGTTTCTGGAAGTGTGTTAAATTTTTCCAAAAATATCAAGCTTCCTTTATCTTTTACAACAACAGTATAAAGTGAGCAATTCGACGAAAACACCATGTTCTGCGGCATTTTGTGATAACGACGCATTTTTTTAAATAACCTACGCATTTTGTGACACATAACGCATTTTTTAATAACCTCCGCATTTTGTAATAACTAACGCACTTTCTGATAAGTGTTGCGACGTTTTGTAATAAAGGCTGCGGTATCTTGTAATAATCGTCGGTCTACGTGATTTGGAATTACATTCTGCAGCAGTCAAACGAAACAAAAACACTGAAAATATCACATGGGTAGCTGCTTCAGCATAAATAAACAGAACAAATAAAAATACTAACGGTTTTCCGCCGTTCAACCAGCCATCAAACTGCCGTAACGCTTCTCTCGTATTTTCTAATAATTTCGGTCTATCCTCAGGAAACACATCTTCATAATCACTTGCGAGGTGCAATATTGTGGCACGAAGATATCTGTAAGGCAAAAATACATCAGGATTTTTCAGTACCTCGCGAATACCCACAATCGACGGCTTTGAGGTAGAAGATTAACAAACTCATCTGAAGGAAACATATGAAAAAAAAAATAAAGACATATCCGGGATGGCGGAAGGGGGGAGGGGAATTGTAAAGACCAACCAAAGTAAGTTCATGATTGTGGCCATAAGTTCGAGATTACAGCAACAGCAAATGCGCCAAAAAAAATAATAAAATGTTTCTCCAAGTCATGCAGACATTCCCTTTTGTTTCTATAATATTCACCTCTTCAAATGCGGATCCTGGTCAGTTTCTTCCCAACCTAACTCGGATGCTATCCTGTGAATCTGATGCAAGATATAAAGCTAAAAAAAAAAAGATAAAATGCATGAGGATGTCAGTAAAAAAAAATTAAAGAGAAGGTCCCTTACCTATTAAAACCTGGTGAAACTCTTATTACATAACAATTTATTGCCTAGACACAAGTGTTTGTAAGATTTTTACGAAACTACATTTGGGAACTCGTCAGCCTATTGAGCAAATCACGACCAGTGCGCAAACTGATGACGCTATTGCATGGTGGGTAATAGAAAATCGTAGTTAAGTTCTCTAATGCTCGCATAGAATCCTGCTCCGAGGAACTTAAAACTCTTTGAAGTGTTTCTTGCAAGTGAAAGGAAAGAAGAAAAATTGAGGAAATTTTAGCTTCCGAGCTGCAGGTGTTTGCGACGAAATAGAAAAGAAAATATAAATGGCTAAAAGATATGAAGTTTACTTTCTCGTTTTAAAAACAATGTTTTACTCACTCGCAACGCTCTTTCGTCAAATATCGTCAAGTAACTTCTCTAAAAATGTTGCATTTGTCTTGACGCCGCCGTGCAAGACCCTCGCTCTTAGCGCATGAAAATGTTGTATTAATCTTCAGGCCGCCGTGCAACTGAGACCTTCTTGGTGCATGAATTTTTGGTCCTTTAATATGCAAGGCGCGAGTGAATTTTTTCCACTAAATATCTCGAATCAGTCTCCCATCATGACACAACAAAACTAACCTTGTATATGCGATAGTGCTGGGTATTTCTTTCCATGTCGTATGTTGAAAACTGTGTGGCAAAATAGGCCAAGCCGTTAAGCGCTGATATCCATGGAACATATTCCTGCTCTTGACTGAGATAATCAGTGAGACCTAACGCCAGGTCATAATCCAGATTACCAGCGCTATAGCATACAAACCAAACATAACTGACGTTAGATTGTTTCTCTGCAGCTATGAAATAAGAGACAGGAGCAGAGGTCTGCATGTTATAGTTACTTACCGAGCAAGATTAAGAGCGTCATTCAGCAAGCCTGCGCGATCGGCACCGAGCAATTTCTAGAGAAAAAAAAATTAAGCTAGTTTAATGCTTCGCCTTAGTTGGTAACCATGGATATGGTTATCACAAAGCACTCACAGAGGGTAAAATTTCACTTAGAGGTCTTTTTGAAAATCATTTACTTGGTCTACTGAACGGGAAGTGTTTCTCATCCCACTTAACTATGCTTTAGTCTGTTGATAATTTACCGTATGGTCGGAGTTCAGTTGTTTTTTGAGGTTGTTCCAGTTTCCCTCATCATAGTTCACACGGTAATATCCACTTTGTCCGGCATTCATCTTAATCCAAGAATTACCAGTGGCATCGGGAGATACACCGCGTAACAAAACTAAAAACCAAATACACAGAGATAGTTCTGAACGACAAAACGAGAAAAAGCTCACGCACAACACGTCATTAAAGGGGTAAATATGCACACATTTCTGTTTGTCTTGAACCTTATCTAAGTGTGTGCATCGCCACGCTCCGAAAGTATACCACTTGTTTTCTCATTTGTAGATAGCCACAATACAATACTAGATTTTCTACTATTGCAGTAGCTTTTAATAGGCGTTCAGCAAGCAAAACGGAGCGAAAACCGTGCGAATTAACGGACGGCGCGAAAGTAGCGGCAGAGAAAAAACAGCAAGGCTTCGGTCGGGTTTTACTAGCTTGATAGCAGGGGCCGATCTTGCAAAGAAACTGCATCAGTAACGAGGGAAGGGAGGTAAATAGTCCTTAAAACCCATCAAACTACTCGTGAAAATGGGTGGGTAAACTTTATGTATCTGGCCCCGGTTGTTCGAAGGACGAATAACGCTATCCGGTGGATAGCGCAGTATGTTTTGTCACCATTAATCCGCGCTTTGAACAACTGCATGGGCCTTGGCTGTCAGTTATGTTGATTTGTTACAAACCGCTATATTAATGGAACAACTCGAACAACTCAAGGACTGGAATCAAGCTGAAATCGTCCGTTAAATATTACAGGAAATCTGTAGCCGTATAAAGTGGCCTTGAAGACTAAGGTCAGTGTTTAGTCATAGACCTGTATAGCCTTACCATCATCAGCTTGGCGCTCTAACAACTGAACATGTCTTTCGGAAGGATTCTGCTGAGTCACATATGTTAAAGGAATTACCCAGCGATAGCTGTAACAAAAATAAGAGCGTTATATGAAAAAGCTCTCCTGATTAAACCCCAAAGAAAATTGCATAACAAAACAGTTCAATGACTAACCAGTCAAACAAAACTTACGCAGGATCTGATGGGGATCTAGTATCGGGATGGACAAGGAAGCGCTCCTGTTGGTAATGAAGCATTGCTTTGCCATTGGCGTCTCTCCTAACTGTTACATTAATAACAGGAAAGCCCATTTGACTCGTCCATGTTGTCATCATTTTTCTAACATCAAGGTTTACACCACTTTCCTGTCAACATTACAAAGTTAATGGTCAGGAAGGAGAGGAAATTGGAACTAAATGGAATCTATGACAAAATGTTGGGCAGCTATTTTTCCAGCTAGATAATTTGGTTTTCTCAAATGAGTTGAAATGTTAATTGGCCACCGTAAAGAGTTTCCAAGCTGACTTTTCGAGCGTTAGCCCTTCGCCAGAGCGAATTTTTTGCCACTGTTTGCTTCACTGTACCACGCTATCCAAGCTAAGCCCTTAACTAAACCCATTTTAGCAACTTTTTCTCTGCCACAAGCGTCCACAGAAACAAAACAAATCGAGCACACTATCGTTACACAGGGTATTTCTAAGACTGGGCTGTTCATGTGTACCTTAACTTCATCTGTGAGGCACTGCCAAAGGTCATTAGTCTCTGCATTACTAAACTTGTACTTATTGAGGTAGTTCTGTAATCCTTTGAAGAAAAGTTTACTTCCGAGAACATCTTCCAACATCCTAATAATAGCAGCACCCTATTATAAAAATTTAAAGTATTAGATGTAAAAATTTTACGTTTAAGAGAGATAGAAAAATGTAAATATTCGGGAAATTGGATTAGTAAATAAATGAAAAATAGTGACAGGTCATGATGCTACAGCAACATCTTTTAAAGTCAGAACAAAACTGAAATAAATGCAGTAAAAGTACACTGCAATGATAAATGAAGTAAAATAAACTGGTTACTGTTTTTGCATATTTTATACAAAAAAGAAGATAAATTTTGTATTAAAGAACAAAAAATGATAAACTGCATCCTTTCTTTCCAATTACAATCATTTTAATTTAGAAACTACATGTAGCACATTATATTATAAAACATTCATTGTGCCAAGCAATTATCAAACAAGAAGCAGTTTTAAAAGGGAAGATAAACCATATGCCAGTGTTCTCCAGAAGCACCAGCAGCCAGCATTTTCACCAGCTATTTGTTTCTGAAGAGCTATCTTCTTCAGAAAACATGCCACTGAGCGAAATAGTTGCTCATGCCCTTTGGGGACCCACATATCTCCCTCTGGTTACTGTTTTTTCATTGCTGGTTAGAGAAAATACCCTGATCAGTTATTACCTTATAGCCTTTGCTGAAAAAATTTCTGCTTGTGCCTACCTTGTCATAGGAAATTGAATCAAACAAAGAACTAATCTCAGCAGGGTCTCTCACTTCAGCCATGATTGGATGAGAATTACTGAGTTGATCCAAACCCATTGCAACTTGAAATTTGTCCAAGAAGAACTGGTCCATCATTTTCCATTCTGGGTGGACATGCCTCACTCCAACATTTTCCATAAAACTAGCAAATCCTTCATTGAGCCATAAGTCATTCCACCATTCCATGGTAACCAAATTACCAAACCACTGTAAAACAATTATCAACAGATGTTTATGTGTAACATCAGTGAGGTTGTAAATTTTTTATCTTAAAGCCACAGACACATTCACACATCCAGTAAAGTATCTGTTGGTCTAATGAAAATAGAAAGCAAGAGTATTCCAAAGCATGCTTCTTAAAGTTTGGTGTAAATCAGACATTTCTCTTTTTTTAGCGCATTTCACAATCAATACCTGGAGGAAAGAGTTGTTTTGATTCTTAGCTGATATGACTATATATGATATGATGAGTTGAGTCATACACACAATGGATTGGTTCTTACTTATGGTGTATTGGACAATTTGTTTTTTTAATATTCAAAAGGTTGAAATAGATTCCATGTTACAGTGAGTCTGTAAGGTTATATAAGATCACAGAACATTAGTCAAAATGTGGTAAGAACATCAGTGGCTGCCTTATGTGCAACTTTTTCGTTCTTACCACATTTTGACATCATCTGTTATCTATAATGAAAGCAGAAGAAAAAATTTGGACCTGTCCAAAAAATCAAACACGAACTTAAACTGGCCATCACTTTTTCAACTAAAATATCAAGTTTTACTATTGCCTGGGGTATACTGAACAATGAAAACTTTACAGATTTAACCTGATGAGCCAACTCATGAGCAACAACCACTGCGACCCATTGTCTGTTGCTGTCTGATGACTTGCCGGGATTATACAGGATTGAAGTCAAGCGAAATGTAATAAGACCCCAGTTTTCCATTGCTCCAGTGGGAAAATCCGGAATGGCAATGAGGTCTGTGTACAATATCACCAGAGTCACGACAAAAGATTAGACTTCATTGTTTCAAAGTTAAGAACTTTTTACAAAATTATCCTTTACAGTGTATGTTAACATTTGCTATCTTATAATAACTTTTACAAAATGATTACAGCAAAAGCCTGCATATAGGCAAGAGCGTGTTTAAGATAAGCCTAACTTGTTACTGTATAATCAGTCAATGACAATTCCTAAAAAATTTTAGGTGAAATTTTTTTTTTTAGTGCAGGATTCATTTAGAAATCTAATGCAGCATGGTACATATACAGTACAACATGCAGCTGAAATTATATGTCACTTGATGAAACGCCATGACATTGTCAATGTTGTCCACACCGATAACTGCTCGAAGGGTCATAAATGCCAAGCCAAAAATGTCTTCAAGTCATCAAGATGTAATAACTTGGTCCCTTATCAACTTCTGAAAAGTTCTCATATGCAGGATTTTACAATAGTTTAAAAAGTCAATATTTATATTGAATCCATTCTCTTAAATTGTTGAATATTTGCTTCTAAGAGCTTGGTTACATCCATGGATTACATGAGCCTAACAATAGTCCATATCATCTAAATTTAGGGCTTGATCACTACCACTGAGTACATCAATTGAAAAAAATGCTCATGTTTTTCTTGTGAAATTTTTTAATGGTCTAGTTTTAACACCAATTTGAAGAGTTAAAACTCTCTTAAAAATTCTTGCTAGATTAGTGAAGACAATTGTAACTTTAGACTTGACATTTAAGCTAGGAGAGCTTCAAATTGTGTTTTAAGCCCTAGCAAGTATGTGATTCTGCTCATGAAAGTGAAGGAAAAATTTCTTCTATTTTAAATTTAGTGTTGACTTTACAAGTCTATTGTAAGTGAAAAAATGTATTTCCTAATGATTTGCATTTATATTCTCAAAATAATGTTTAAAGAAATTTAAACCAAAAAAGGGTTAGTTAAAAAAGGTTTCCTCCTATTTAACTTAAATTAAATCAACATAAATGTTATGAAATAGTTAGTAATGTCATTTTTAATTGAAGTTCATTTAGAGTACTTATCATTTGAAGTTAAATGAAGTTTAATGCTACAGAGATTTTATATAGGAAGTGCCAAAGGAAACAAAGAGACAAAAAAAAATGCCAATCACAGTGGTCCTTGCAGCAACAAACAAACTGTCAGCAGTGGTTGTTTTCTGAAGATGTTACAAGTCAATGACAAGACAACAACAAAAAATTAGACATACACCTGAATTGGAGACTTTTATCCAAGGAAAATTTGAAATAAACAAAAGATAAAGACAATTTGAAATTTGTTCCTTCTTTTTTTCTGTTTGTAAAATAAACAAACCTGGTGAGCAAGCTCATGAGCAACAACCACAGCAACCCACTGCTTGTTAGAGTCAGACGATTTTCCCTCATCATACAACAATGAAGTCAAGCGGTAAGTGATCAAACCCCAGTTCTCCATGGCTCCAGCAGAAAAGTCAGGTATAGCTATGAGATCTATTATACATAATGCCATGACATCATCATATTGACAAGATTTCCATTAGATTAAATACCCTTATCTGCATAAATAAACAAGTAACTTAATAGGTTAGCTTCTGAGGGGAATTAATTTACTCATCTTTGTAAACTTCCACTTAGCATTTTCATTAAACTCTAGAGACTGATTACCTTATATTATTTGTAATCATGAAGAACATGTAAATAAATAACCCTTGTAGGATAACTGACCACATTCTGTCAGTTTAGTGTAACCAGCACTGACTTCAAACTTTCCGTGGATTTCCCTACATACAGATAGGATGTTTGAAAGATACAAAAAGAACAAAAGTGAATCAACATGTACCTTGCTTTGGAAGTGGATAGTCCACCTTGAATTTCTGTTCATAATATTCCAGAACCTCTACAGCAACATCTAAAGCAAATTGGCCTTGATCAATCTGCTCTGGTGGGGCCCATACACTGACCTTGAAAAAAAATAAATATTGCCAAACCTGAATAAATGGCCAACCATGGACATGTCAGGATAGAAGCCAGAAAAAATCAGATTTACTACATGAACTCTGAGCTTGTAGTCTTTCCACACATAAAATAATAACCATGTCAGCAACCTTATTTTTAAATATGAAAGTAATCTTCCTAGTCATGAACATTACTTAAGCAGTTGTAAAAAACAACGCCTGAAAAAAGTTCAGGCCGGTACAGGATTTGAACCCATGACCTCAGTACTGGGTTCAAATAAGGTCATAAGTTTTAATCCCATACAGGCCTGAATTTTTTTCAGGCCCTATTTTCACAACTGCTTAAGTAGTGTTCATTACTGCAAAGATCGCTTTCATATTCATGTCTTAAACTGCAGTTAATATATATGATTTTCATATATAAACACAGTCACTGATTCATCACATCATGGGGTTTATCATGAACCAACATAATGATCAGCTCCTAGTTGGCTTGTTATCTCAGTTGGTAGAGCAGTGCACCAGTATTGCAGAGGTCACTGGTTCAAATCAGGTCATAAGTTCAAATCTTAAACTGGCCTGATTTTATTTCAGGCCTTAATTTTCACTACTGCTGAAGCAGGGTTTAGTACTGCAAAGATCACTTTTTTTCTTACACTGCTGTTCACATTTACGATTTTCATATATTCACATTTAACCCAATTCTTCTTTCCTGTTTTGACCTGTTTCAATTACCCAGGGAACAAATGGGTCTCTAAAATGTTCTCTTTGTGAAATTTTTGACACACAGCAAAATATACATGAACAATGCCTTTTAATTTAAACCTCTTTTTCCTTAAAATAAATTGATATTCATTACCAATCACTAATTGAATATGTATGGAGCACAAAGGAAAAACAAAGAAGGTTTAGTTTCCTGAGTATTATTTTGGGTAGAGAACATTGCCAAAAAGATTTAAGTCACCTACATGGGCAATCAAATATCAGTTGTGTTGTCATTGGAGGTTGAGTGTGAGCTAGGCTAAACACCTGAGATGATTATGGAAACTGCCAGCAAGCAAATTCTATTTTTCACTAGCAAGAGAACTGTATAAATGAGGGTAACAGCACCCGGTGAGTCTCATGTTACCACTGCCACCTTTACTGTTGACTTGCTGCTGCACCAACATGCACAATGCCCACCCAATCCTCTACACCATTCAAAGTTATGAATCAAATCAGTAGTGATTAGCTACGACATACATGCCCACTTGACTATAAGTTTAAGTGACATCCAAACTTTTAGTGAACATACATCTTGGATGAACTTTTGGTAATATTTTAAAAACATACCTGAACACCTCTGCTGGTTGTATTTGTTATGCTCTTGAAGTCACAAACAACAAATGCCACAAGGTACGTGCTCATTTCAACACTTTTTTGAAAATGGTCTGTGCAGAGCTCAACATCACTGTTGCACTGGAATAAAAGGAATTTGATAAGCTATGATAAAGAAGCTATAAGGCAAACAGTGCAGAGCTCAACATCACTGTTGCACTGGAATAAAAGGAATTTGATAAGCTATGATAAAGAAGCTATACGGCAAACAGTGCAGAGCTCAACATCACTGTTGCACTGGAATAAAAGGAATTTGATAAGCTATGATAAAGAAGCTATAAGGCAAACAGGGAAGAGATGGTAAATCTATCAAGCATCTGCAGACAAGTTACAATACCACAAAATTGTGTATACTAAATGCTTTTACTTTACTGGTTTTAAAAATTGATAGAATTAACTTACCCCTTCAGTGTAATTCAGTGGCATGTTTGCCAAGGCCACATGGCGTTTTTCTCTTGTAATGACAATGGTGAACTTTGCTTTCATGTTAGGTTCATCAAAGCAAGGGAAGGCATTTCTTGCATCTGTTGGTTCAAAATGGGTTGTCGCAAGATATCTAGAAACCAAACATAGTAATTAATGCAGCCATATGAGTATCAACTGAAAGCTTGTAGAAACTACATGCAAAATGACATGTGTTGGTATATCAAGATCTCTGGGAAAGAACATGTTTGGTAAGTGAATATTTTCAAAAGTAAAATAGATGAGGATTTTGTATTAAAAAAATCAGATAAGATGATAAAATATCCAAATCTGTGCCTGGCTCAGGAGTAACAACTGGTATTGAGTTGTTTAGTCAGGGCCTTCCATGAACCCTTTAACTCCCATGAGTCAGCCCTAGAAAGAATTTCTCCTTTCAATATCAGTACAATATCAAGAAGACAAGTGTTGAGAATAAAGAAAAATATCAATTATGGGATTGTAAATTGATCCAATCCCAAATTCTCAAAACTAACATCACAAGAATTGTATGGCAGACAGTAAGGAGAATTACTGATGAGATCTTGGGAGTGAAAGGGTTAAAGGAAACCTCCAGTGGTAGAACAAGTTTCATTAAATCAATGATGAAAATGTCTCAAATTATAAGGATTGATTTTAAAATTGGGAAACAAATACAAGGAAAATTAACGCTTGGATTTCCTCTAAGGTACCATATTGGTTTGTATGATATGACACAGTTGCCACTATTACCATCAGAAAAGAGTTCTTTTGTTCACACAAGTTCCGAGGGGATTATGCAGAGGATGGGGGAAACCATAATACATACTACAAGCCAACGTGACAACACACCCAGAATTCCAGTTAGGAAAAGGGCAATTTGTTCTTCTATTAAGTACTACATTATGACAACAAATTTTAACTTAAAGATTATTTTGGAGAATTTAACAACTGTATGTTCCACCATGAGGTTCCTTTAAGGTTCACAAATCATTAATTTATCAAAAGAACTAAATATAGACAAAAATACATGTAAAACAAGTGAGTGATTCTCCAGTGATCCAAAATTCAGTTAAAACTCTAAGGGAGTGCATGATAACATGGCTTTATACTCAGTGTTTGGCTTTTTTCATTTTTGATGGAAAATGCAGAATTTTACAATTACTTCCTGTTAACTGATAACCACAGTGAAATATATTAAGACAATGTGAAATGCTTCCTTGTGGGGGAATTAATAGCTGCAATAAGACTGTAGAATGCAGTACAGAATATAAGCACAATTTACATCAAAGATTGAAAGATACTTGCACAAACCATGGTACATTGACTATTATTTTTATTATTTTATTATTATTTACCTCCCTTTAAGAGAAGAAAATGTTTAAAACAAAAATGAGCATAGGCTAACTTTTCAATGCTGCCCTTATGTCTTATCACAAATCTTCAACATTTAATTAATAAATTAAACTGCATGAGGTGTTTTTCATCTTTAGCCAGACGGGTATGAATTGGTTATCAAATGATAAACTTTAAAGCACTAATATATTTGGGTAAGTTCAAAGTAATCTATGGACAAAGACCTAATGTTAAGAAGTTTTATGCGCTTTATTCTACATATTTATTTACATCTTTATACTTATCTATTTCATACCATCAGAGAATCTTTCCAGTGAGCCAAAGTATAGTCCAATCTGTCGAATGCGCTTTGATTTATACATTTATTTGCTTACTTCATGCCAATGTAAATTTTCTTACTAATCCGAGTTTCGTTCGATGTCTCTTCCTAGCGTATTTAAATTAATTTAACGGCACATTTAAATTTTCTTTCCCGTGAGTTTCTTACTGCGCTATACTTCATATCTTTAAATAGAAGAATATCAGAAAAATAAAAGTGCGAGGAAAAATAAAGAACTTTTTCACACTTCCTATAAGCAAAGCTATTTCGTAAATACTGAAATCAAAAATACGATTACACAAGGTTGGTCATGAAAATACAATTAAACAAGAAGAAACGAGATATACCTCTTTGAAAGCAAATACCCGTGTCTAAGCAAACACGACAAAAACCTTAATTTCTGTTCAAAAACATCTTTACACGAAGTCTTAACTAAACATCAATTCGTATTTCAAGAAAAATTTTTCTACATCAGAGCCATACATTTTTAGCAAGGAAAGATGAAGCCAATCATACAGCAAATGAAAGGGATTCCCGCGATTTATTTCTTCTAAGGTCAATAATTGTCTGGTTAAACTACGAAAAAGAAACTTACCTCGTTTCGCCAGATGCACGATATTTGCTTAGGTAGAATCCAGCAAGTCCCCTACTTAACTTCGACTTGAACTTCATCACAAGAAAGTAATGACTCCCTTTTTGAAGTTCAGTGGCGAGACTTATGACAACCATTTCTCCCGGCAGTCGAGAAGTTTCCGTCACAGTTAACGTCTCTAGAATGTTTTCGCCTTCGACTCTTGCAACCGCCACATCAAAGTAATCCATTTTTGTTCCTACATGAAGGGTTATGTTGGTAGAGGTTTCATGACAGAGGAGAAGAATATCAACCTTCCCAGAGAAATCAAAATTTGTTAGATCAGGATGTAAATATAGGAGATATTCGATCGGTGCTAGGTGTCTTGGAAGCCGTAGTGAATGCGAGCCTTTCTGTTCTTTTCCATGTCCCAGACTAGAAGGATTTTTAGCCTGTTCATAACGAGAATTCTTTCTACTGTTCTTGTTTGCAGTTTCGTAAGAAGACGATGGCCGAGCGAACGCGACGATAAGAAACACTGAAACCAACAACACAGCTGTCGCAACGCCGTAAGCGGCGTTCTTCCCGCCGAACATTTGCCAAATTCCGCACACGAACTTTGAATCTCGGATTCTTTTTCTTCTATGGTGTTTCTTGTCGGGAAGAAGCGAAATATCGATATGATCTTCAAATTCTACGCTTGAGGAGTCAGATTCCTCTGTGCTATTTGATTTCATAGTCCGGAATAGATATTAGCATTTTGAATAAATAAGTTGACAGGCGGCGCACGCAGCTGCATCCTCTTGTTAGTGCGTGCGACGTTATCTGTGATCTAATCTCACGTTAAGCTTTGCAAAAAACGCATTTACGACCTTTGTTGGACCAAGAGAGAGCCAAAAAATTTAATACCTTTAAATTAAGACTTTTTCTATAAATGTGTTGAGCAAAGATGATATTTGCAAAGGAAGAAAAAAATAGTAAAAAACATTTACCGTCAAGATAATTATAGGTACTTTCGCTGAATATTTTAGAGATGATCCCCTAGGGAGGGATATTTACAACAATCAATCAGCGTCTTTCTTCTTCTCTTTTTCATTTGATCTTAAAACCTAGTCTTTGATTTCTTCTAGTTTTATCTTAAGGACACTGGATCAGTTTATTCCAATATTTTTCCATCTCTGAAAGTCGGTTCGCCCACGCAGGTGAATTTGCGTACGTAAACCATCAACAAAATCAGCGAGTGATGGACGGAATAATTTTAAAACTGACACGATAATATTCCGAGGAAGTTTTAAGTTAAGTAGGTTATATTTGATCTTTTGTGGGTGGCCAATATTTCTTCCTTGATGTCTTAAATATCAGAATCAAGAAAAGAGTTTTGCAGTTACCAGCAACCGTATTAGCAACAAGGCATCTCTGACTGTACTTCGTTTACTTGGAACATAGAAATAAGCAAAGACACAAAGAACGAGTATTGTAATTTCAAAAAGTTGGAAATTAAAAACTGAGGGCGAAATTTCAAAAAACGAATGACAAAACTTTTTCACATGACAGTAGGAGTGTTTTGATCTCCGGTTGTTTTTCACAAAAGAGGAACAAATATCATCAGCCGTCACTGAATTTTTCTAAATATTCTATTTTAACCTACTCTCAACGTTCCATTTTCACGCGAACAGAGGCTTGCTACGTTCGTCACGAATTAAGAAGTTAATATCAAATAGCAGACGTCAGTCCCTAAAGGGAAACTCATATCTATTTAATTCCATGGCACTATTTAGTCTCCTAAACTACGCAGCCTTTTTGGTTTGGTGGGTTGTGATCTCACAGAAACTCACTAAATCAACGTGTTGGGAAGACCTTCCAAATACCTGTATATGATAAAAACTATGAATTAATATCACGCTCGTATCTGGAGGATGAACTGTTGTTCTTAATAATTTTCTTGTATTTAAGTAATTCTTTTTTACTTCAGTCAAAATCAATTGACGACTTCGGTATCTTAGCGACAAGCACATGCTTTCGAAAATACGAGCTGTTTAGATGACAGTACGCTGAGCTGCATCTTATAATGCACACTCACACATGACACAGTTCAATTTTTCTTTGAATTCTCTTTTCCCTTGAATTTCCTTGCGGTCCTCCGAATGAAAGTTCACGAAATAAGGCATCAGTTGAGAGTGTTCTGTCTGTTTTACGCCCCCGTCCTCCCCCAACCCCCTCATTAGCAAGACTCTTGCGCACAACCCTCATTTTAAGAGCACGTCTGACGTCAAACTGCTCTATGGTGTTGTTCCTTAGTTGAAGTATAATAAAAACGGTGCCATGTCAAATCCAATATATGATCACGGCAAACTTTGTCTATTTTTGCGCGTCAGATATTTCAGGAGAGTTTTATGGACAAAATATTCCATTGCAAAAGGTGAATAAGCCTTTCAGTGAAGCCAAACCAAAGAAGGACGCTCTTAAAGTCCCTGAAGAGCTAAAGCTGTGAAGGAAAGCTAATAACATTTACCGCCAGCTGATTAGAGTAAAATGAATTGATGCCCATCAATAGATGATCAGCCGTCTTAGTACTTGTCCTTTGAAGCTGGAGTTTCCTTAGATTTTCTACCAAATAGTATGCTTTATTCTACATTTTGAATCCATTCATTTATTCAGTAGCATTTGAACATTTCTCAGTGAGCAGGAGTTTACTTCGATCCACCTACTGTGCTTTACTCTATACATTCAAATTTATCAACTTTAAAATGCCAGATGTAAATTTTCCTGGTTAGCCGAAGTTTTCTTCGGCCTACACAATTAAAGACCATTTTCACACTGTACATAAACCTGGTCAAACGTAGCTATTTCATGAAATCAGTATAAATTTCAATTGATTGACGCTATTTATGACATCAATAAAATCTGTAGAGCGAAGCTGTCAGAGCAGTCACCGCAAAAGTGCATGACAGTTACATAGCCTGACTGATAACCGGACGCGTATTAATCGACGAGCAGGATTTTTTTTAACCAGAGTCGAGTCTCAACTTTTGAACTAAAGCAGGGTAAAATTTTCGCACAGCCGCATACTACATTATGCATTCAATTCTCGGATAGAGAAAACAATGAAAAAAATAATGCATTGCCATTGAGAAAACAGATTTGTTTTACAATAGTATGGGGCTGTGCGGAAATTTTACCCTAAAGCAGCGCAGAGCAACTTTTGATGTAAACACGACAGTCGCCAAGAACAGGTACTTCGTTGCCGCTTTACCGGCTGTAGTTCAATACAGCATTTCATGAAACGTGTGAAGATCTCTGAATTACTGGCAGATTAAGATGCTCGCTAAATGTTACATCGGTAGGTGACATTTCTGACATTATTTTGACGAAGCCTAAACAATACGTCGAGATAAGTAAACCACTTATACACAAAAACACAGTGGATAATCAAGAATTAACGAGTGCAATTGAATAAGAAGTCTAAAGAGACCCATGGATAAGTGGTTCAACTTATCGCTGCAGATAAGAGAACCTACATCGCCCTTTATCTCTAGGATAGCGATGACACACTAAGCACTCATAAACATTGTTTTCACATTGCCCAGGAAGAAATCACAAGACAATACCACAAACGCCAAATCTACCCCGCTTTCCCTAAGGATATATCTAGATATGCACGCTGAAATTGCTAGAACTTTCAGACGAGGCGTGGATGTGAAAGTAAATACTTCGCAAGCGGATGGAAAGTAAAAACAACAAAATCTCGTTTTCCTTTTTTAATGAACTTTGTTTTAAGAATGAAAAGACGCATAGTTTTAGGTAAGAAAAATGTAAAAATGTTTGGTCAGTAATTGAAAGCATTACATACAGTCTCAGGCAACTCCCATTGTGGAATCATTTTTGTACAAGTGTTTGTTTCTTCGTTGAAAATTAATAGATATGGGCTTTGAATATTTGGGTGCAATTTCATTAAAAAAAAGGCACAGCTCTACCGCCGATTTTAAATGTCACTACTAGTTAGATATAAGGACTGGAATACTGAGTGTGTCTTCGGGTGTACTGGGAAAGCTCTATAACCCAAACTAGAGTTAAACTATATAATGCCTTGTCCCTGTTCTTTTACGTTTTCCAATCCAATGCAGTTACTGAAGTTTTTGTCACACCTATACTAAAGATACACCTCTATCACATTTAGAGTCGTCACTGTACATGTGGATCGACTGTTTTACTACATGAAATCGTTCCGCTGTCGTGCATATTCAACCGTGCTTTGGGAAATCGCGGCGACAGATCACGTAATGATACTACTTGCTGACGTTTTTTCCATTGAGAAAGTTTTTCAACCATTTATTCACTGCAGGTCCGTGGTCTTTCATCCATTTTATATTTCCTTCTATACTTTCCAGACTTTGACGAACAGCCCTCTCCCCAGATCCTTGGTTAACCTTCGCGAAAAACTGGCTAACCTACAAATACAAACATAAAATAGGTGAAATAACATGGCATTAAACTGTGGCGCGAGTTTAGTTTGAAATTAAACAGTTGATTTTAACCCAAACTTGTGCTATGTGTTCGCTCGAATTCAAATCAACTGCGTGGTTTCCAAAACCGTGAAACACTCGACTCGAAGCAAATTACAATTGAAGTCTGTAGTGGAGCCGAGCGGCCCCTAATAACGAGTCGGAGCTTATCTCGGTTTGTATAGCATGACTAAAGCGACTAAAAGTACTACCATCCCCCCCTGGATGGGATGCCAGCCCAGAATTTCATCAGGCTTCACTCATTTATACTCCTAGGTGGAGAGAGAGAGAGAGGAACTGTGAGAATAAAGGGTTTTGCCCAACAACACGAGACAATCATTCGGCCAGGTCCCGAACCATGAACACTCGCCCCGTAGTCTAGCGCACTTGCACACTGAACATTAGGCCACTACATCCCTTATAATTGCGAATTGGATGCAACGTGACTCTCTAAGGTTAAGAATATTACCAAAGGATCTTACAATCTTTATTCCATATAGTAGAATGAATGGACACATCTGATGGCAACTATCCATAGAAGTGGTAATGTTTCTCACCTGGGTTTTCATTTCCTCTGTGTTAAAGTGAGCGGTGTTCGACGTGATCAAGCGACTAAAATCAAAAGAGCCGACCCCATATCTGCCGAGGGAGGTAAATGAAAGTGAAAGGTGAAACAATTTTATTAAGTAACCAAAGATACTGTAAGGGGAAAATTCAATAGAGAAAAATGAGCAATGATTAAAAAATCAAAGCGGAATCGACCTGAGCAGTTGTTTTTTGCTCTGAAACAATTTTGTTGGTATACAGATCGTACACAAATCGTGCTCAGTTATTACTAGAAAAAAAAACTCGAGCTTGCTTTGAGATTTCACCAAAAAAGTTACTGTCAACTTTGTTGGTCTGGAATCTCGGCTTTCATTTGTGTGCCTGCGTGTGTGTACAAATACCTGGACCAGAAAACCACTGACACCCCTAAAACGTTATTTCCATCATCCCCCTCCCCTCAAAGTTTCTCGAGCGGAGAGACTTAAACTTACTCAGATTAGGAAACTATTTGTTTGAACGGTCTTCCGATTCTTGAAAAGAAAATCACATTTATTTCCATATGCCTAACTTCACCGTATCAATCAAAATGAGGTCGACGAGTAAGAAAATGGGTGCCTCAGTTGCTTTTTATACTCACAATTCAAACAGTTACAGGTTACCTTTGGTACAATTCATGGTAATTATCCTGTACAAACTGCCACGCTAATAAACTCCCCTGAGGATTGCGGGCTATTGAATCTATGACAGACACGGAGTCCTGGGAACGAATCTTAGTTTCATCCAATGAATACTTCAACAATCTGAAATAAAGAAAAGTTTATTAGTTCATGAGATTCAACAGCTGCTTGCTGTAATTTCTTTAAAGTTGTCCTCATAATCATCACCGTCTTCACCATCGTCATCGCTAAACTCACATTTAAATAAAATTCTTTGATGGCTCCAGACCCTCACACAGATAGTTTTCCATCTCTTAAGCGCGCCTACTTACCAATAGCCGCCATAAAAAAACAAACAAACAAACAACCAATCAAATAACAAAGACACGAAAAATGATGAAAACAAAAAACAAAGAAAAACACTCAAAATTAGGATATGGATTTTATTTGAAATTCTCTGAACACAAATCGAGGTATTTTTTCACCACTTACCTTTTTAAAATGACTTCGTTCTGACTAGTTGTGAGCGCGTACATCAACTTTTTCTTTTCCGATGGGACTGTTTCAGTCTGGTATCTATAAAAAACTTTCGTCCACACAGAGTCATTTGCTACTCTTAATCCAATCGTGTAGATGGCGTAACGAACATTCGGTGAAATCCTATAGTGAAAGTAAAGTAGAAAAGAAAGATGTTCAGGTCATTTGTAACGAGTGTGCATATAAACTGAGTAGCCAGCGGTTTCGAGTTCTCTTTTAAGGGTTGATCGTCGGAGCTGCGAAAACTGAAGAACGCTGAAGCCATGAGAGGTCTGGAACGTGAAAATATAGAGCTTATCTGTTGTTCTTGGCGGCTCCACCGGCTGAATTCTCATTGAGCGCCCAACAAACAGCCAGTTACGCTGGCTATAACTGGAGAAAAATTGAACCCAGGGTCTTCATGTTTGTTGGTGACAAGCCCCTTCACTAAGCTATTGGAAAGTGGACAGTTGGTCAACGATGTATACACGGTTACTGGTCATCTCGTACCCACGGTCGTTTCGTACCAGTCGTTTTGTACCCAGTCAGTTGAGTCGTTTCGTACCCAAACTAATAAAGTTAACAATTGGAGAAAAGATCTCACATCTACACGAGCTGTTACATTGCAAAAAGAGTCACATGTATGAGCAATAGACTCTCTATTAAAAATATCACACTTGTCTTGCGCTGGGCAGTAATCAAGTTTTTTTTGTTAAGAAGGTCGCAAGTCTACACAAAATATATTTTTTGTTTATATGTCACTCGCTTGATTCTACGAACTTGTCGTAGACAACGATGATATCTGTTCACGCGCTGGCGACTGAGGTAATTGGAACAAGTGTATCGAGCGTTAGCCCTTCGTAAGAGCTCTGACGAAGGGCTAACGCTCGAAACGTCAGCTTTTTTACTCTTTGGCCAATTTACGTTTTCAACTCAGTTGTTAACACTAAATTACCTGCTATACTCCGCCACCGACGTATCACCACAGTTTCTTAAGAAACTTACCCCCTTTATTCATTTATCAATCGATCAGCGGTTTGGATGCGATTCTATTGCATTTGGGCACAAAACGATGAGGTACGGAACAATCGTGGGTACGGAACGACCGTATACCGTATATACGTATAACAATAAGTTGTATATACCATATACAACCTAGGTAACAATTTCATGGAATACGCTGCACGAGTTTTGCCAAAGGTAAGTAAAGCACATTACGTCGTTAAATTTAATGAACATATCATCCGGTTTGTTTTGTAATTTTATTCTATTACAAGAGATACTCACGGTTTGCCTTTATCAAGCCAGTCGTTGAAATACTTCTTAGCTTTGGCTGTGTAACGCTGTTTACTTTCCGGAAGAACATCTTCATAAATGGCGGCCATTTTCAACAGAGCAGGTCGAAGATATCTAAGATAAAAACGGTACCACAAAAAATTCTTTTCGACTCCCTTATTTTATTGAGCCATTTATTCTCGTGTTACTGTAAGCATGTTTATCATAGCTTTGCACGATTTCTGTAAATGGAGGAGAAAAACGGATTGAGGACAATACAGCAAATAAGTACAGCGTAACACACCTCCTCAAATGTGGATCATCGTCCTTTTCTTCCCAGCTCAATTCAGCAGCAATATCATGAAGCAGGTACGAGACATATTTCTAAAAAGTGACAGAACAATCCAATAATAAACGTCTGCTGACATAGTGGAGAGGTTATAGTTCTAAAAGTACAGCGCGGTTAGGGAACTGGAACTAACATCTAAATCTGATGATCAAGTCCTCTCCATTAAGTCAATCAGTGGATTTGTTCTTGATTTTCCCGAGTCCAACTTCTCTTCTGCACTCAATAGATTTTCCCGAGTCCAACTTCTCTTCTGCACTCAATAGATAGCCGACTGGTCTGCCCCCCCCGCCGCCAGCTGATTTTTAATCACGTCATTTGAAGTATTGGAATCACTGATTTTTGAGGTGTGGTAAGTCCAAGATAACTCTCCTATTAGCGTTTTGGTTACAAACTGTGTTTTCACTCATTAATTAGCATAGGTTTTGGAGATAACCCTTCAGAAATGATATTATTACTAAACATCAAAACTCACATATGATTGTTGTCTAAAAATACATTGTAAATATATAATTATTTCTATTACCTTATACGTGGGATAATAATCACTTGATCCTTTCAGAGAGTCGTAAGTGGAAAATTGTATGGCAAAGTAACCCATGTTATCAAGCGCCGACATCCACGGGACATATTCTTTTTCTTTTGTAAGGTACGAAGTGAGATTTAGGGCCACTTCATAATCCAACATGCCGCTCCTAGCAGTGAACATGAAAAAAAGGGGGAAAGTAGAACTTTCACACTCTGTGAAATCATTGCGTAACATCATGCTTCACTTTATATCCATATGGTGGCTGCATTAGCGGCAGATGCCGGTTTATTAAATATCCTTATAACTTTGCCGTTTCCTTCCCTTTACCCATCTATTTCCTAAATTTGTATTCTTGGCCTCAAAGTATTTATTCTTCACACAAGTGTCTTTGTGTTCTTGAAGTCAGCCATGGCTAGGTTACCATAGCAACTGATCTCCTCATTTCTGATTGAAAGACTGCTTTCTCTTCTCCTAACTTATCGACAATCACTTAAAAATACAAACCAAAAGCAATTAAAAAAGGGTTACTTACCGAGCAAGATTCAAAGCATCGTCTAACAGACCTGAGCGGTCCACGGTACTCAATACCTGAGCAAAATACAATAGCAGTACCTCAATAAAGAACAACCGAAATAGGAACAGGAGTTAACTCACATCACTATGGAGGGACAGGTTCCTTCAAGGAAAAAACTGGGTTAGCCCCGACTTTGTGTAAAACCTGTTCTTTTTTTTCGAAGGTAGCATTTTTCATTTCATTTTCCATCACCGTTTTTAATCAATCTCCCTCAAATTAAATAAATCTCGGAAGTAACGATTAGTACCTTGGCTTCAGTATGAAGATGACGAACTAGTTTGTCCCAGTTTTCTTTTTCATAATTCACACGGTAGAATCCAGTTTGTCCAGCATTCATTTTTATCCACGATTTATCACTCAAGTCTGGACTTAATTTAACTGCAAGAAAACAAACCGAAAACTAAAATATCAATTGGTAATGTGCATTGGTTGAAGATACATTCTACCTTTCCCATTTCACAGGAAAAGTATAACACTACTTTACAAGTTAAATTGAACAAGCCTCTATGTAAATGTATTGTAGGTTCCCAGAAACTTGAACTAAATAAGGAGACTGGTAACTGAGTTTGGAGAGCATGCGGTAAAAGATATTTCATCAGTTTTCATATCAATAGTTAGGTTGCTGACTGTGATAAAAAGCCCTGTTTCCAGCGATGCAAACGGTCAAATGAGTTTCACGGTTCACTGTACTCTTATGACACCGCTCTCCACCCTGTAGTATACCACCTAATGGTAAATGAGCTAAGAGATTTGTGAATATCAGTCGACAGGTTGATTACCTTCTATCGTTCTCTTCTTCATCAAAACCGAACTCCTGTTTTTAGATTGCTGCGTTACGAAAGTTAATGGAACTACCCACATTGGTCTGTAAAAACAGAAGACAACTGGTCGTGAGGAAAAGAAACCATCCACAGCCTGAACTCGAGGGAAGAAAACGTAAGAAGGCGAGGAAACTTTTTATACCAAGGACGAGAGAAAACTTTCAATTAACTAAACTTAAATGCAAAGGCAACTCCAGGAATCTAACGCAGGCTCCGCCACTTCACCAACTGGGCCCCTCCTTACTTTGTTTGTGGCAGCAACCAAAACTTAACAAGTGGTCACACCTACCGACTGTCAGACGAAGACGCTGTTAGCTGTTTATCGTTACTATGGACAAGAAAGTGTTGCTGTTCTATGTGCAGTATCTTGTTTTCTCTCTTGACGGAAATAACAGGGAACCCCATTTGACTTGTCCACGATGTCATCATTTCTGTGACGTTAATTTCACCCTGTCCAAAGAATTTCACATTTAATATCTACTACTTGTTAGCTTACTTTTCTCCTTTGTTACTTTTATTCGCAAGATTCCTGATGAAAAGAATGCAAATTCTTTACACTGGATTGGCAGCGAGCAAGGCCAAAAGTCTACGAAATGTATTGGTTTCTATCTGTAACACATGGAATGAATGTCCTCACGTTATCCTTAGTTCAATCCTTCAAAACATGTCTGAAAGCTCTTAATCAAAAGGTCTGGCTGTTTCCATATAATAATCGTTGCAATCCCCAGGATGCATGTTAAATTCAGTGACCAGAAGCGTAGAAACCAGCCTTAAAAAGAAACACTTATATCCCACATCATGAGCGTCGGGCTTGGGAGATTGGGAGACCACTCCCCGTGTATTTGACTTTCGAAAACATTATCTTATCTTATCTCATCCCTCTTAAAACTAACGTGTTTTTTATCGTATTTATCAGTGTCTCTACGATTTTGCGGTTGAAGTATTTTAAGCTTGCTAGTGATTTTGGAAATCAATGTAACAGGGAAATCACATCTATTGAGAAAATCGGTGCTGCCTTGTCACCCGAGCTCTATAATCAACGCTAACAATACTCGCACCGAATTAACTGGTTAAAAACCACAAGTCGGTTAGTTGCCCCTCTAGCAGTTAAACGGTATTAATACTTTTTTTCATTAGAAGAGAAATTACCGACGATTCTATTCACTGCAATGATTAAGTAATGGGGGGGGTCCTTTTCCTCTCAAATGCTGAGATATATATTGCACTAAGCAATGAGCTAAAATTCTCAGTTTCAGAACGAAAATTACTACATACAAAGTATGGCTATTTCCACGTATGGACGCAGGCTTCAACCTTACAATGCTTTCCTTTTCAATTAATAAAGATATAATATTAAGGAGTGACTGCAACAGTTCGTTCGAAAGATAAATTCACCTCACTGCTGATACTTTCCTGAGTAAGACTCTGCCAAAGATCATTCGTCTGTGCGTTGCTATAGCTGTATTTCTTCAGATATTTTTGTAATCCTTGGAAAAAAACTTCGCTTCCCAGAACATCTTCTAACATTCTGATTATGGCTGCGCCCTGAAAAACCAACAAGTTCCAAATAAAATGTTTGCACACGCTTAAGTAACTGCCCCTGATTTTCTTGTGACAGCTTAATGACGGAACAATCAACTGAAATGATTTATCACCGAGGAATTAGATCGATTCGTTTCACACACTGCTGAAAAACGAACTTTTAAACATCCAATTAAATTAATTCTCATTCCCTGAAAACAGGAGAGACCGTTTTAGTGATGCTGAACACGCGACAGCTACGCAAGCTTCTGTATGTAAGTTCTAGAGTTCCACCTATGTAATTACCGTAATAAGATTTTAATATCTCAATTTTAAAGCGTATGTCTTACCTTATCGTAAGAAATTGAATCAAAGAGAGCATTAATTTGCGCTGGGTCTTTCACTTCAGCCATGATTGGGTGAGAGTTACTGAGCTGGTCTTCACTCATTGCTCCCTGGAAGTTCTCATAAATGGATAGTTCCATCATTTTCCAGTCTGGTTGGGTATGGTTTACTCCCATAAATTCCATGAAACTGGCAAATCCTTCGTTAAGCCATAGGTCATTCCACCATTCCATAGTTACCAAATTACCAAACCACTGTAAGTTGAAAAAGAATGTGTTACATGTGTTAAAAACAGTAATCAGTATCTCCGTATGAGCTAAAAACAAACATATTAACCCCGTTGATATTTTAGGTATAAACAAACAACCGAACCAAGAAGACATCACATGCGATAAAGAAGTTTGATGAATAATGGTAATAGGAATGAGTGGAGTCCAATTCGGTCTGTAATCATAAGAACGATTAACAAAATCGGACGACCGCGAAGCTGGAGTCCGATTTGTTAATTACGAGTATGATTATAGACAGAATTGGACTCCACTCAGTCCTGTTTCCAATTAATCATAACTATTACAATTTCCGGAAAAATAAACACACCTAGAACTAGTATCTCCTATGGAGACAATGTCTAAAGTTAAAAATTTCTCCATTTTGGAAATTCCCCAGTTATTCTTAGGATAACTGATTGCTGCTATGGTCATTGTGATCAATTCTGTGTTTATTGGATTTGGCTGAATGGACTTAGTGTGACTGAAGGAGGTAAGTTTCTGAAGAAGCTGTGGTGCTGCGACGGTGAGAGAGTATAACAGGGTAATTTAGTGTTATCAACGATTTGATAACGTAAATTGGCTACCGTTAAGAATTTCAAAGCTCTTAACGGTGGCCAATTTTACGTTATCAACTCGTTGGTAATACTAAATTACCTCAGAATGATTGGCTGCTTCAACTGCCGTATTACAGGTGACCGATTATAGCCAACTGTCCGATTACACCGTACGATTACACTGTCCAATTACAACTATAAAAAATAATCAGTGAAAAATAAAGTAGTTAGTGCACCAATCACATTTGAGGAAACTGTACTGGTTATGATTTATCTCAAAAGACATATTTTCCCAGTACACGAACCTGATGAGCCAGTTCGTGTGCAACAACCACAGCTACTCTTTCCTTGTTTGAGTCAGAAGATTTTTTCTTGTTATAAAGCAGAGACGTCAATCGATATGTGATCAAACCCCAGTTCTCCATGGCACCAGCGGCAAAGTCAGGAATAGCCACAAGATCTGTTGCGCAAGAAAAAACAACAATCTTTTCTCATTTAACATTTAAATACTTCAGTTAAAAATATAAAAAGCTTTTAGAGCGTAAGGGTAACGGCAGATTTTAGTACACTCCCTGAAGACTCGCTTTGCCTTTATTACAGGGTAGGAAAACCACAATCAAAATTATTACATACTCAATTCTAAAGCGGGTTATGTATGTCGCTATAATTGCAATAACTGCAATGAGTGGTAAATACCTTGCTTTGGAAGTGGATATTTCACCTTAAAAAGGTCTTCGTAGTACTCCAGAACCTTTACAGCAACTTCCAAAGCAAATTGACCTTGATCAATCTGCTCTGGTGGGGCCCACACACTGACCTAAATAAAACATGTTCATCAATAAGATACGCGTGTTCGAACAATCATGTAAGAGATTATTCATTCCTGTCTTAATGTGTTATATCTCACTTATTGTTGTGGACACATCTAAAATAAACGTAGACTGAGTTGTAACTTACAGTAACTCCTTTTGAAGTTTTGCTCGTGATGCTTTTAAAATCGCAAACGATAAACGCCACCAGATACGTGCTCATCTTCACGCTTTGTTGAAAGTGATCCGTGCAAAGTTTGACCGTGTCATTGCACTGAAACAGACAGCAAAGTCAAATCTAAATATCACACCACAACTTCACATCAAAGACGTCACCCAGACCAAAGGAGGGAAGTTCGACTCACGAACCAAATGCTCCACGTTACCTGACGGGGCTTATCCCCAGGGAGGGGGGAGGCGGGAGGGTACTTCTATAGACCAAAACAGATCAAAACCCACACTGGTAAAGTAAGTGGTATATTCCCCCTTGATGTTAATTCCGGTGTCACAGCGGATTTGGATCCCCCCGCGGATTTGGACCCCCGGTCCATATCTGCTGGCGGATTTGGACCCCCCCGGTCCAAATCCGCTAGCGGATATGGACCCCCCTTCGCAGATTTGGACCCCCCTACCAAACTTTTCTTTTAAGCATCCTTTGTATCATATTTGGTAACTAATTCTATTTGCAAGCTTTTTGTCGATGTTCTTTTCAATCGCAACACAACATTCCTCAATAAAGGTAAAAGAAAAAAACAGTCATTTCGTTCCAATTCTACCGCATTTATTTGAGCGAGTCGTACAGTAAACGTTAGAATCAGATGTGAACAAACTACTGCATTCGAACTATTGAAATTGTTACGATAAATCCTTGCTTCTTCTGATGCGAATCAACATTGGTACGAAACGTCATAACAATAGTGGAGACTATTGCGTTCAGTCAGAAAAATAACTCAGTCTGATTTTCTAAAATAATAACAATAAACAGTTTCTGAACAAGAACGAAGAAACTACTCCTACTACAAGTCGTTCGTAAAGCCTATGATAAGTAAAAATGTTTCTATTCTGAACTATTGGAACTCTCAGCGTATTTTCAGATGCAAATCAACATTAATCAACATTAATGTCAACGTCTTAACAAAAATGGAGACTATTACATCGAACTCAATCTTATTTTCTAATTTTAATGATTATTAACTGTTGAGGGATCCAAAATAACACCTTAACAATTACGAAGACGTCAGAGTCTGGCGATCTGCAGACAATGCAGAGCCACTCGCCCTCCGGGGTAGTCTTAAATCATGTGAAACCATTCCTCGCACAACTCGCACAGAACCATGTCGTCCCAACACTCGGGCATTGAATAATGACAAAATAAATTAGTGTCACAAGTTTGTCTCCTATTGAATCTAGTGGTGTTCGACTATCGCGGAAAAGGTTCAAAAACGACCTCTCTCCAGACATCAAATTAACTCTTGTGCATTTTCCCTTGGTCAAAAGAAACATCCGACGGGATGCCAGTTCGTATGCATTAACGATACGCATGTTTTGAATGAAAAACATACTTTAGTACGCACTGGAACGTAAAGTATCATCCATTTTTACTAGAACGTTGAGGACGATGTTTTCACTCAGTTTTGTTGGGGGGTCCAAATCCGCGGAGGGGGTCCAAATCCGCTAACGTATTTGGACCGGGGGGGGGGTCCAAATCTAGGGGGGTCCAAATCCGCTGGGACACCGGCTTATATCGCATGGAGGGGCTAAGGGTATTTCTACAGAACCCCTCCTTTTCCACTGATTGTTACCCCTAACAGTTCTTACAGTATCCGTGTTCTTACAGTATTCGTGTCTAACAGTTCGTCGGGATCCACACTTCTGGGAGGAGAAACACACTGTGAGAGTACAGCGTCTTCTTACTTAACAGCACTGCAACACAATAACTCAGACCAAACCAGACGTTATGTTACACAATTAGTCAGGGTCGATAACCTCACAGCACGCCACTAACTGGTGTCTTACGGTATAAAATATTTTAATGGTGAATCAAAGAGCTAAACTTACCCCTTCAGTGTGATCCAGCGGCATGTTTGCCAAGGCCACATGGCGTTTTTCTCGCGTCATGACAATGGTGAAATTTGCTTTCATGTTAGGTTCATCAAAACAAGGGAAGGCATTTCTTGCGTCGGTTGCTTCGAACTGAGTCGTGGCAAGATATCTAAATGCAGTAAAATAGATCAGTAATAGAAGGTTATTTTTCGTAGCTATCATTATCACCTTTTCGTTGTTTACCGTGCAGAATAAGAGCGTGGGAAACTTGGTGAAAACAGCTGTTCCTCATGACTCCGTAGACAGGATACATTCTCTTCGCTTTGGGAGGGATCTGTGATTCTCAAAACTGAGAGCATCAGAAACTAAGGGGCATTTCCATGTAATCACAGTTACTTCGACCAAGTAAACTTCTCATCAGTGACTGTGTCCGCATTTCGTTATTCAATCTCTTATTTACGAGGATAAGTAATTTTGCAGCCGAGGCAGATACAAAAGTGAATGTTAAGATCATTTGATTTATTGTGCCTGGTACGTTCCTATTTGTTTCCTGAAGAAATGTTTTTTGCCAGAAAAGCAGATTTACAAGAGGAAAAAAGTTATGTTTAGTGTTAAAACGAATCTCTGTACATATTTTTTTCACCAAATTTTGGCCTTGAGTCGTTTGGAGGGCAAACGCTTTAAAGCTCGAAACGACGTATTAGTCCGCCCCTCTCCGCTTGGAAAACGGCCTTAAACCGAACGAGATTTACACCTATCACGGAAACAATCATATCACACTCAGTACTGTGTCACCCGCACAGTTTGGGACTGACCAAATGTGCCCCAAGTTCTGAGACAAAAGATTGCGTGACAAACTATTTCATAAGTGGACACAGAAAAACATCCTGTATGCAAATTTCTTTACGGCATGGAGCCGAACTACATGCGTACTTTACCTGCCAAAAGGGCATTTCAAAACTGACTGAGTGCATGAACAAAAGACTGTTCCCGATTCAAAATTAAGATTAATTCTAAATGAATTGAGATAGAATTAGTAGATATTTCTCACCTTACTTCGCCCAATGAGGAATTATATGTGCTCAGGTAAAACCCAGACAGACCTCTATTCAACTCAGAGTGGAATTCGATGGACAGATAGTAATTCTTGCCTCGTTCAACTTTGCTGTTCAGTTTAATGTAGATCATTTCACCTGAAAGTCGAGAGATTTTCGAAATTCCCATAAGTTTTGAATTTTCCTTGTCATCCCCGTCTGGAACAAACGATACTTGAACATTAGAATAATGAAGTTTCTCTCCAGCGTGAAGTGTAATATTGTTAGCGGCTTCATTGCAGTACAGAGAAATATCAACTTTCCCAGAGAATTTAAAAGTTGTCAGATTAGGATGTAAATACACATGATATTCTATCGGCAATAGATGTCTTGGCAGCCTCAATGAAATAGTGCTCTTCTGGCGATCAAGCGCCTTGTTGGTTGAACTCGACCGAACGTAAACAGCGAGAAGCACAATAACAAGAAGCAACACAAATGAAACAGCAACAATGATGGCTGCCCTTCTTGGGTTAAGTTTGGAGTACCGGAGTATTCCTTTCCTCTCAGGTTCGTCACCTTCCCTGGGCAAAAGTGAAACTGCAATGTCGTCTTTAAATTCGTCATCAAATTCTGAGGAGTAAAGGCCGTCTTCCTGGTCTGCCATCTTGCATATCTGTGTAGCCGACATAATTAATGCAAGCAAGGATGGCAAGTTGTCCCCAGACTCAACTCCTACTGTTGAGTTTCTTCGAGGCCGGTCTACTTCCGGCGTGGCAAATATTTCATTTCAAAATCATTTCTACAGAGTAGCCAACACCCACAGCGTTAACTTCAAGTTCAGTGTCAATATTTCTTAATCAAAACAAACAAGATTTGTCGTTCTTCCATCCGGGCAGATATCGAGATGGGAGCAAATCGATTTTCGGGTAAGAGAATCTCATTCAACAGATTCGATTCAAAATATCATACACCATACGTACAAAAATATTTAACGTTACTATATTATACACCATGCGTTCAAAAATATTTAACGGTAGATTTTCTTTGAACTAAATGAATTAACTCTGACTGTCAAAATGATGCGCTGATCTGAAGTTTACTGTAGGATGGGAGCTCACGGAGGGTATGGCAAGGACCCCTATGCACAGGACCTCGAGGTCGAAAAGATATGATTACATCAGAATTACAAGAACCCACTTGGTTCAAGTCACTAGGTTACGTTGCTAAAAATTGAACAAACCAGCCCAGCTGAATCGTCATGTGGGGGTGGCCTGCCTGCCTGAGGAAGGATCGACACCAAACTTGCCGATGGATGACGTGAACAAGAAATGTTGGATGACAGGCCGGCAGATGAGCGCAGAGTAAAACTTAGCTTATACATTCGCTTTAACTTTGATTTCGATATCATTCTACATTTGCTATTCGCCCTAGTTTCGTATTTTTTGCTCAAAGTTAAACGACGAGTTGAAGCTGTCAACACTTTTGACAGAATACGAGAGTTGATCAAACCAGATAATGAATATTTCACAATACCAAGATGACTCTTCTAATGTTACTTTTTTTTACCAATATCTTTTAAGAAGGACTTCTATTAAGTGTTAACACACCTTTAGTAATATTATATCACCTCCAAAGTACACAAGTTAACGGGATAATCTGCCTGTAAAATACAATTGATTAAAAACTGCAATGGATCCTCTCGAAAAATGTCGTTATTAAAATTATTGAATTTTTAATGAAACAAAAACGAAAAGTCAAACTCTTCTAAAAACGCACAGTTACAACATGTTTATCATTTTCGTTGTTGTTTCAGTAAAAATTCGATAAGCTTGGAATCGAAACAGACCTAAAATAATTATTAGTAACAAATGATAGCGTGTAGGCTATCGGCGTGTAGGAAAAAAAGATGATTTTACTGAGCCAGTTTTATACAGTAAGAAGCAACTTTCATCTCAATAATGCCGTAATTACGATGTTTTCGAACCATTGAAATATTACGCGTCTTTTCACTAACAAGTTAGGGTCGCCTTCAGTCTTACTGTTCTCTCACGCAAGTACAATACAAAAGTATCTATATCTGTGGTCTCCTGGCAACAGTGAGATTGTAGTCGCTAAGGACTAATCCATGATTGTATGCTGTGTTCTGGCTTTGATCAGGGAGGGGGGAGAGAAGATAGCCCTTGGTTTGTCTTTGTGGAGGACAGTGGTACTTGGAGGAAGCTACAAGTCGGGGGAAAGGATCTGCCTATCGAATGAAAGTTTATGCCAAATTAAGATAGTGATAAAATGGGGCAAATCGAGCTAATATGCCAACCAACTGACTAAGAAGTAACGAAAATAATGATTTGGAAGGAGAGTCAAGTCTCGTTCGTAAATCTGTTTTGTTTTGTTCTTGACCGATTTGTGGTTTCAATTGATAACCTGGTCTATAGTTAAGATCAAGACTGACCCGAGTTCGAGCTCTGGCCGGGAACATTCTGTTGTGTTTCGTCGGCCAATTCACTCTTACAGTGCATTTCTCCGGCCCAAGGTTGTAAACAGATACTATTGTTCTAGGTTACAGTAAGTTTTTCAGTGGAGATATAGACCGGTTGATGGTCGGTTTTTTTCCTCTTTTTTTTTTTCTCCTTACAAAAATACCAAAATTACAACTGCAGGTTCATTCAGTACAGTTTCCTCAGCTGTTAATACTCTGTTTGTACAAAGATTTATGGAGCTGATACAGCTAAAGATTGACACAGCTTTCCTAAAAACAGCTGCATTGCCGAGATTATTCTCGTTATACGAGACATTGCTGACAGTGTCGACAACTTGCGATTTTTTTACGCACATCTGCCAAGCTGTTCAGCCAAGATAACTTTGAAAACTTCATACACTTTGAAACTTGTATAACCAACTTTTTTCTTTACCAAAAAAGTCCTTTTTCTGCTATGAATAAATGCAAACAAGTCTTTATTGCCAAAAATGATTTTTTAACAGGGTCTCAAATTTAGCTACAAATATTTTCTCAGTTGTCCGCCATTCATCTGAAAACTTAAAAGTTCACCTCTTACTTTCCTAATTTCCATATGTAGTTGTTTCCGTGAACTCAGTATCATGAAGTTCTTCGTTGTTCTCGTGATTTTGTCGGCTGAAATAAATGGTAGGAAGTTCTTAAGTGAATTGAATTGATGAAATTTGATGCCACAGAGACAAACAATGTTCATCAGTTTTAAATAGAGGATGAACTATAAAAGTTTTAGGTGTGGTATCTTAACTCATGTTTAAGGATATAATCACCCTTAGCTCTGTTGTTTGAGATTGTCTAATCCTCGGCAAATTGTTTAATTTCTTAATGTTGGAGGCATACAGAGGATTTCGAAACTAAGCTCGAATTTACTTACTATTAGTTTGTAAGATATTAATTGTATTCAAGTTACGGTTTGAACTAGTTTATAGAGTCTAAAATTTTAATCTGACGTGGTAAATTTAGCAAGCTTTATAGGAATATAAATTACGTTTCATGTATCAATTTATCTTCTTTTTTGTATTATCCATACTGTTAAGTTCGCCAATTCTATTACCTGTAAACATGTGTACTACTGAAGCCATTATTATGATAGGAATTTGACGCAGGAATTTGAATCAACTGAAACGTGCTCTGAACTTACGTACGTCAAAAAAAAGTTAACAGATTACTTTTGACTGCAAGTAACCTTTGAGTGATATCTCACTCTCTTTGACAGGTTTGTGTTACGACCACTGGCCAAACTGCAAAGACTACATGAACAGACCAGGCAATCTGTGTGAAACAAATAGCTTCGTAAAATACAAATGTAAGAAGAGTTGCGGTTCGTGCGGAGGTAAGAAGAAATATCAGCTTTTAATCACTCTCTTTTGACATTCCTGCCAGTAGTGGCATCCAACTCTATCGTTTCCTACATTTTGCGAGGAGTTCGCGCTGAAAAAGAGTTCATCAAGAATCGTAAGCAAGAGCCGCTGAGATGGGTCTGGGAACATCACGCCGCAGGAGCCGCTAAGATGGGTCCGGGAACATCACACCCCTTGCATTTATGTAGCTCAGAGGTAGAGCACTAGAGCGAGAGATCCGAAAGTTGGCAGGTCTATTCCTTGAATAGGACTCAAAGTAGCATCTTCCGCGATTCTGTTGTATGTCTATCAGCGTTTCTGTAATCTTAAACACTGTTTGATTAAACATGCCTTTTACTGATCTTTTTTCTCTGATCGTTAGGTCCCAGGCCTCCTGTGACACAAAGGCCACCTGAGCCTCCAAAGCCATCAAGACCACCCGCACCTCCCCCTTCCCCAGGTGAGTGGAGTTCATATCAAGGCCTCTCTGAAGAAGTTTATCTGTGCTTGTCTTGCTTGAAAAACTGAATATTGACAGAATTACCAGTAACTATACTAATCGATGGCGTGAATTATATGATCAAAAATCGTTTTAGGGAAATTAATTGGAGAACGTTATTGCGTATTAGTATACTTACAGGTCCTTACACAAAGGTGATTACAGAGATATATGTGACCTGATTGGTCGATTATGTCAAGTCTTACGTTAACCCGGCCATGGCTAAGATTGTTACAAAGCAGCGTTTGTTATAGACAGCCGCAGCGGACGTAAGTCGATTCCTGATAGGTTCTCTGACAATCACCTGACTAATAATTACAGTCTGTTTAGACTTAGTGCCTCTTCTTGAATAATCACCGAGAAGTTGAGTGATTATCTTTGAGTTGGTTCACAAATATTCATTTCTCCTCCCTTGAATACTGATCTTAAAATAATCTTTCGACGTTCAGGTTCATGCGGCATGAAACCAGAGTCACGAATTGTTGGTGGTACCCAGGCCCGTGCGGGCGACTGGCCATGGCAAGCAATGCTCAAATATCGTCCATCATATAACAAAGGAGCAAGTTTTTGTGGAGGAACCTTGATAGCTCCACAATGGGTTCTTACCGCCGCACACTGTGTAAAAAGGAAGAGAGCTGTGGATCTCAGGATCAGGTAATCTGAATCTTCTCAGTCATTATCCAAGATAGATGGCCCTGCAATTTGGAACAAGAAGTCTGAGAGATTACGATAGACTGATTCTTTCAATTTGTTTTTTGATCTAAAGCTGAACATTAAAGCTCATTATAGGCTCAGGCTGCTCAGGCTGCTCAGGCTGCTCAGGCTGCTCAGGCTGCTCAGGCTGCTCAGGCTGCTCAGGCTGCTCAGGCTGCTCAGGCTGCTCAGGCTGCTCAGGCTGCTCAGGCTGCTCAGGCTGCTCAGGCTGCTCAGGCTGCTCAGGCTGCTCAGGCTGCTCAGGCTGCTCAGGCTGCTCAGGCTGCTCAGGCTGCTCAGGCTGCTCAGGCTGCTCAGGCTGCTCAGGCTGCTCAGGCTGCTCAGGCTGCTCAGGCTGCTCAGGCTGCTCAGGCTGCTCAGGCTGCTCAGGCTGCTCAGGCTGCTCAGGCTGCTCAGGCTGCTCAGGCTGCTCAGGCTGCTCAGGCTGCTCAGGCTAGATCTGGTCAAGGACCTGATATAGTATCTCTATTCTCAACATAAAAAGAGAATGAAGATTTCCGTTCCTCCTGGTGTTTAACTTTATTTATTCACACGCCAAGAAATAAACCAAGTTCCCAATTGTTTAACCTAACAGATTGGGAGCTCATAACAAAAAGGGAAATGATGCAACAGCTCAAGACATTGAGATTGAAAGGATTATAATGCATCGCTTGTACAAGAAACCATTCGGTATGAGTCATGATATCGCGTTAGTGAAGCTTAGCAGACCGGCGGAGATCAACAGGGCTGTGAGACTCGCTTGTCTACCAGACGCATCAGTTGATCTACCAATTGATGACGGTAGCAAGACATGCTGGATCACAGGTATTTCACTATAAACATTTTGGGGTCAAATTTGTGGGAATTTTTATTCACAGCAACACCTGTCGGAAACTTTGGAACAATTCCATTTTAGTGCGCAATCTTTATCATTTTAGTAAGGGAAATGCTGTTTTTCATATATTCTTTCAGTTACATGCTATTTAACTTTTATCAACCACAGGCTGGGGTTCCCTGTCTTCTGGAGGACCTAGTGCCAGTCAACTCATGCAAGCTGAAGTACCACTAGTTTCCAAAGAGCGCTGTGTCAAAAGTTATCCAAGGCAGATCCACGACTCCATGCTGTGCGCAGGTCATGATGAAGGTGGGATAGACACGTGCCAAGGTGACAGTGGAGGTCCACTGGTATGCAAATATGGCGGTAAATGGCACTTGGAGGGTGCCACAAGCTGGGGGCACAAATGTGCACAGCCAGGGTACTTTGGTGTGTACGCCAATATAAGATACCTATTAGATTGGGTCTATGACACAATGGCTTCGTATTGATTAAATCTTTACTTTGATGACATTGAAACAAGGTTTTAAGTAAAGCAATAGATAAATAAATCTGGATACAAATGAAGTATTTCATGGATGGTTTGTTGTTTAATGAAGGAAATGGCGCCCACAAACCTCATTCATAGTCCTGTCAAATCCCACTAAAAACATCAGCCCTCTTCCCGGCCTTCTCACATGACGAAGACAAAAAGTATGCCAATTGTATTTCTTGGTGTTCTCCTACATATTAACGATTTATGGTACTGATACTATTAGCGTACTTAAACTCTAATATCAAAATATTTATGAGGTGATCACATTTGGTTTGCATTGTGACGAAACACTCCACTTTTTTTTCATTCAGTGATATTATTATCTTACGGGCTTTTACGGTAGTCTCATGAGAATTTTCGATAGGGCACTGCAATTATTTTTTTTCCCGTTCATAAGGAGAGATGTTTATCTCAGAGCGCCTAAAGATTTGGACGTCCCTTACATTTCAGTAAGTTTTTGACTCGGTGCCACTTCTACTGTAGTACTGTAAGATATTCACTGTAAGATAATCACTGTAAGATATTCACTGTATGATATTCACTGTAAGATATTCAGAGCGTTACTTCACCGCAAGTTTGACATTTCTAAAAAAAGGAAACAGTTTGTGAGCACGTGCATACAAACCTGAAAAGCTGAACTGCTACATAAACTTGGATCAAACGTTCCCCTTTCCTTTACGTGACAGTTTTGCGTTGACACACAAACAAGTCCATCTTGTCACAAGGTATGGCAAGGTTGAAATATCCCAAAAGTGATTTCAAGCCACTGTTTGGAAATATTTTCATCGGTAATACATGTAATAAGTTTCTGTGGGTCGGTGATTAATACCTTTGTTATCTACAACATCTACAGACATCTTGCTTTTCATCAAACTAATATTAACTGAACAATTCGATGACATTTCAGACGTGAATATGATTGATGTGTTTCTTCTGTGTTAGCCACAACAGCTGACTCCTTGCTGAACAAAATCTTACATCAAGTAATTTGTTATCCTTCAAGGTTCACCGTCTAGTAAACGATTCCCATAGACAAATTGTCTTATTCTCAAACGATGCTCTTTCTACAAACCGGAGAGGTCGTAAATAGTTCTTTACATATCTGACAAAGAACCAACGGCACAGTTTTGTGTTTTGACGTTCGATATTGGATGCACGACAGCTCATCACCCGGGGCAATAAAGCATTATGCTTGCGGTATCCTTATATCTCCTCTGATGTTCCTCATACAAATTGTTGTCACGTGACATCGTACATCTGATGAGCTGATTGTACTGACGCGTTTGTTGCACATCCGGTTTCTTGGAGGACTTTCTCCACACATTCTTCAACTTCTTTGTGTCCCACGCCTTGCAGCTCTTTCAATTGGTCCTAAAGAAAATCAACCATCCTGCTCTCACTTTGGTATGAAGACACAACAAATAATTATTAAGTAACGATGTCGACAGGAACAAATCTTAATATGTGAATAATCTCGAACAGCTTTTTGTTCACACAGACATACCTCGACCTGTTTTCCACAACACCTCAAAAGTACCACCAAGCACTCAGCTGTTTTCTGGTTCAGCAGCTCAAAAGCTGAAATAAAAGATATTAAACGCAAATATTACGCTTTATTCGAAAAAAAAACCCACGTACATAGTTGAGAAGGTTCCACAAGATCTGAACAACTCTCTTCCCAACCATACAAGTAAATTACTCCATTCCTGCTGAAACCTCTGGTTGTGTTCCTTCCTACGAAAAGGGAAGCGCTTAAAGAAACAAACGTGTCTCCATGTATTTTTTTTGACACCCATTCTTACTTAAAGGATAAGTATTGACAAAATCTATCAAGAAAACAAACGGTTACCCTGAACTGCTATGTAAGCAGAAGAGTCAGTTGCATCAACCAACAGCTTCAAAAGACTCTTCAGGATTGTAGAACTGTGATTAGGAATCCTAAAAATATAGAAAGCATGAAAAGGAGTAAGAAAGAGCATACTACGCATGACCAGTGACCCTAAGCAAAATATCTACAAACGCCCGCGATACTAAGCGTTTGCATCGCGGAACGTTGATCACAAAAATTAACTTCCTTGGAGATGATAGTTTTCTGACAAACCCCTGTGCCGATTGATTCAAAAACCTATTAACGCTGGTCGTACATTGAGTTTCATGAATACAGAACGTTCATGATGTTACAAAGTGAGTGGAGCCAATTGTGACTCGAATATCTCCGCCCTGGCACATGTAGCAGTGGAATCAGGAGCAGGCACCTTCTCTCACCTGGGCCAGGCCTGTAACATTGCGACTTTCAATGCATCCAAAACAGCCAACCGTGTCTCTTCCTCTGGATAATCACTAACTTCCAAATATGAGACTATAACTTTTAAAAGCCGCTGAAAAAAATTTAAATCACCTCTTTTGAATATTGCCAAGTCATGTTATGTAGCGAACAAGGTGACTCAACTCAGCGTAGAAAGAGTCAACAAAACTGAGATCAACTGAATAAATGGGTGACTGTAAACTGTCATACTGGAACTTCATGTATTGAGACCTAATCAGCGGTAGATAGACAGATAGAAAAGACAGATAGACTAACGTGCGGACGTACATAGAGACACATTTTTCACCACGTGCCAAGAGCAGTTTCAGACGTAATTTGTATCCATTAACTTAGTCACTAATACCAAATTAAGTTAGTACCAACGGCTATATTTAGTGCGTTTGCCTCTCATGTTTTAAATGTCAAATGTCACACTGAAATTTGCCTGAAAACGGCAACAAACTCCCGTTAATTATCTAGACAAATACTTATCTTACTATAGACATATTTCAGATATTACTTTTATATTAAATACACATAAGAAAGTTAGGAACTTGAGGATAGGATTGTCCCAAATATGTTACCTTAAAGTGCCTTAGTATTGTTATTCCCATGTGTTCAATAAAATGCTTCAAGTGACTTGCATACGCCTGGAAACAAATCAAATAATTATTATTAAGTAAACGCAGTTTCAACTTTTTTTACTGCGGCATTACCGCCACAATTTAATATTCAAGTTGTTCCCAAAAATGGATGATCAGGCAAGCACACCAGCTCATTAACAAAATCTGATGAAAGGAGAAATAACAGATTGAAGTTCTTTCCTGGATTGCTTTTGGAGCAATCTGCAAACTGGTCACCCATAAGATGCTTGAATCGTTTCTGTAGAAACAACTATGTCTTTCAGATTAAACTCAAGGCCATGGATAGTTAAAAGCTGTGATCAGTTGAGGTACATGTACAATACAGTCCATATACAGTTAAAAAAATGTATATCTAATTATCTGAGAGTGAATCATGTGTGGCCATCCATAGTAATAGAGCACTAGAAGAGCTAACCATATTTACGGTAATTTTTGGGTTACACTGGAATTCTTCTGCCACCCACATTTCTTAGATAGAAAATTTTAACAGCAGATGTATTGCAACTAGGAGATTCCTCCAATGCCTATTCCAAAAACTGACCTTTCTTACAGCAATTTTACTTTCAAACTCCATGGAGGAGAGGATAATCTGAAACAAACCATCACACTTGGTTGTCTGCAAAAAAAAAAAAAAAAAGTAGAGGTCAGGGAATCAAACAATACACACCAAAATAAGATCAGCCTGTTTATCTGACACCACTCCTCAAAAGAGATCCTCTTAGCACTTTGGTTTATGTCCCTTTTGTTCAGGGTACGCAGTCCTGCCACCTACATAGGTCTACTGCCTAGATCTTTTACTTAGATTTTCTTTTAATTATTATATTATTGAGAAAAGAAAGAAAGAAAAAAAGAAAGAAAAACCTCTAAGCCATGAAAGCCATCAGAAAAGACAACATGCTCCTGTTCACAGATGGATGTCAAAATAAATTCCCATCCTCTTGATAAACAATGTCAACAGGAAAGTGTAATTGGTTTCAACCTAAAAGTAAAACTTTACTGTGCTTGTGACCAGTAGAATGAGAGTTTTCCAGACAAGGACTATTTTTTTAATTTGACTGATGTCTTTTATAACCCAAATGGAAGTTATCATCACACTCACATATTAAGGAGTTATTTGTCTTTCAAGTTTTGTAAGGCTGGTATATGAAAACTGATTGGTCAGTCTTCATTCATGATGTTATTGGTTGTAAGACTCAGTAAAGGGGTGTAAGTCAATCAACCACACACCAACAATGACCCTTTTCAACCCTACACACCCTTCCCTGCCAGACAATCGTATGATATCATGATGATAAAAGAAGCAAATAAAAGAAGTAAAGAAAATGTGAACATCACCTTACGGCCAAACTTGGCTTTCTTTGGAGATGGTTCAACAACTGCTAGGATGCTTAGCAGGCACGGATGAAGAGAACGCATCAGGGAGGGGTCATTGCTATATATGTGACGCTGGGATGCCTACAGGTAATTCATGCCATAAATATCATGTTACTAAATAGTGTTGATTCCCTTTACCATGCAAGTTTATTGCCCTAAACAAACATGAAAAAAGTTGTGGGGATGCTCTACTATTGACTAGCTGCTGATGTGATTTTTATAAATATTGTCCTCAAGACTCTGTAAAAACTAAGAACTGAGTACTCATACCATTTCCATCAAAACCAAAAGATCTAAGTTCAATGTGCTGGATTTAGGAGTTTTAGGAATTACCTCAAAAAGAACATCAGCTCTTCCATACCACTGCAATTCAGCTGAATTCTGAAATTGAAAAGAATAAGAAATATTCAGAGTATAATAGAATTTAACTATCTGTAGCCTTTGACAGAGAAACTGATACATATGCACAATATTTGTAGATACAAGGTATCATAACAGTTATAAAGTGAAAACAATCAGCTCCACATACCACATTATCAATGACATGTTTTAAGCACTTAAACCCCAGTGTTTTGTTCTCAGTCTGTTTGATAGTGGAAGAATAAACAAGTAGTTCATTAGGTACATTCCATTAGTAAATTTTAAACCTGACTGTGGTGACTATTTCATAACCTCTGGCATTCATGCCAATTGACAAAGATCCACAACTTCCAACAAGCATTAAACTGTCCACCATGGACACTATAGTAATCTAATTCCAAAATGAAGATCACAAGTAATCAATTGAAAAAAGACAAAATCCTAAAATACTTCATTAAAATCTAGTTTCATCAAATGCTAGAGAATTTCACCAATGAAAAAACCTATACCTCATAATCATCTATGAGAAGTAATAGAGGAGACATCAGCTTGGCAAAGTGTTCCCCCACATAAGGATGCTACAGACAATGAAGAGTGAGAAGGTTAGAAGGAAAATGTCTGATGCTTAGCCTCACCTGTGTGATTCTCAAGAGTGATTATTGTAAAAGTTCTCTCTATTCTTTTTATACACTAAAATCAAATAGGAGATCCAAACCTAAGAATTGTTTAAATAAAGCCCCAAATCCTCACCAATAACCAGCATTGAAATTATGGTAATCAGTTATAAGAATTTGCTTCTGAATCATCAGAGTTGGAGGGTTTAAATCCACTGCATTTTAGCCAAAACTTTAGTTAGTTTTCAAAACTTTTCTAGTCAGAGTTGTTTACTTACTTCTCTCAACCTTAATTATTTACATGTACATTAAAAAAAATTTGGTTCTATCCCTTAAATTTTCAAAAGTCCCCAAATCATTCTTAGAATGTTGTTCGTATCAATCGGAATAGAAATGTTGTTCATATCAATAGGAAAGACAAATAATCCACAGACTCAATTGCTGTGCTGGCAAAGGCTTGGACTTAAAATAACCAATGAGCTGATATACTGGGACAGCACCATCTTTTAAATGAAATGCCACAGTCAGGTGTCTAAGTACATAATTTGTCAACAACATTATTCTCATTAATACCTGTATCCTTGATTTTTTTGGTCAGTTTGCTTTTCAGTTTGTTTCTAGGATATTGCCCTCGTCTGGTAACTGTTAGTTACTTTCTTGTGACAATTTACTTGAGTTACAAACAAAGTGTATCTAAACAATAATCAATAGGATACTTGAAATTATTTTGACTACCTGATAGTCAAAATAATTTCAAGTCCTCCTATTCAGTAAATTGAAATCAACAACATGTAGAGAGATGTTTATTGAAAAAGAGGTATTGCTCTACTAAGTATCCTATAATTATAGGCAGTTCACCTTAATTTGCAGAGTGCACCACACAAGCCCATGGCAAGCAAGCGGAAATTTCTTCCAGTTATCTTTAAGGAGGTGAGGTCTCAAATAATCAAGGATATGTCTGAACAGCCCTGAAGGGAACAAACTGTTTGGTGACTGACTCTCCTCTACCATGTTGAACACAACAGACTCAACCTCAACACAGCCACAGAGAAGCTCCTGTACTGATGGACACTGGCAATTGGTATATATCAAGGAAACCAGCTCTGCAACACATTGGCCATTTACAATATCTCATTGAAACATTCTGAGTAAACCTTTCAAGCTTCAAAAGTTGGTACAATTTTAAAAAAAGAACAAAGTAAGACATTTTTCAGTTGATAATGACAAAATAAGCAGACCTGTGATCATCAACTATCCAAAGAAAGCCATGAAATGGTAACTCAAATGCATACACAAAAACAAAGTTTCCAAACAAAATGTACAGTATCTGCATTATACTTTATAAATTTCAGTGGTAGAAATTTTGTAGAATGAAGATAATCCTATAAAATGAGCATGCAAAAATCCAGGAAACTGGATGTTCCTAATGCATAATATTAGTGCTCATACCATGAGCAAGGGCCATTGATGCTGTGCTTGTCCAAAGATGTGACTCCATGTGTACAGCACATAAAGCCACCAAGCAACTGCAGGTCTTTTTTAAAATAAACTTCTTAAACACCTGCAATTTCAAGGTACAAATAAGTATATGGAACACTTTGGTTAATGATGTTAAGAACCTACCTCCTTGAAATCTTTTAAGATTGCTATGAGGGAGTATCTCCACACAGTATATTAGCATGAACCTTCAGAGCGTGTTTAGCTGTAAATAATTACTATATTTTATCTTTATAAGTATTATCGTTATTTTCTATCTTTATTATCATAAATAGATTTTAAAAAACCTTTTGAGGAACATCTGTTAAAGTCTATTGTTTATTAAATTAATTTTCAGCTACTACATGTATGTAAGTGCTAAAAAAAAATAAATGCTAGTGACTCAGTTCTAATAAAATTTAACAACTCACTGCATCCACTGGGAACTCTTTCTCTGCTAGCAGTTGATTATCCCTGTTCAACAGTGAAGATAAAAGTAACTGGCAAATCTTCAAAACAGCAGAGGCTTGGGTCTCATGCTTCAACATCTCTTCTTTATCCCAGCCTTAATGAAAGAATTCAGGGTCAGACATGTGTTGTTCTGTCAATTTGGTGATTGTTCAAACCATTTTGACCATCAAATAACAAACTCATTTATTTAAAGTTCACCTGAGTAACAAACTAGAACTTTGTTACTAGGGTGATACCCTAGAAACAAACTAAAAAGCAAACAGACCAAAAAAATCAAGGATACAGGTATTAATTAGAATAACGTTGTTATCAAATTATGTACTTAGACATCTGACTGTAGAATTTCATTTAAAAGATGGTGCCGTCCCAAACCTAATTCTTCAATCTGACAATCAGGCTATTGATTACTGTTTTTGAGATAAACAGCTATTTTTTGTAGTTGTGAAAAACTCACCCCCCTCATCTTCGATAAATGGCTCTGCACACTGAACCAAATTCTCGATAACTGCAGCAATTTTCTCTCTGTCTTGAGATTTTTCATCCAGATTTTCACACGACTTCGAATATCCCTGACCATTCAACCAGTCACTGTACCTTCTTTCCAAAGGTACCTTCAAATTAACCTGCAAACAAGGTGAATTTTGACTGGTTTCAATCCTTGCATAACTGGTCGCCCTGATAAATATCAATAAATAAACAAAACCTTGATGATAAATCCGATATTTATCCACGGAATGGCTCTTTGTCTGGTGCGTTGTTTTCAAATAATCATTTAAGATTCAGAATTAAGGGAGTAATTACCTAATGATTATATTAAAATCAAAATTGCGATATCTACCTTCTTCAGCAGTGTTATGATTTCCATGAATGCGTTTTCTGGCAAAAATGTTTGTAAGGTTTGAGAAACCTGTATCATTTCGTCCGCCATGTTGTTGATCGTAAGGCTTGGCTGCCAAGCAGTTAATTCAACCCGTGTAGGGAGAGGAAGAGATCGGATATAAGATACTGCAAAATTTTCAGTTTAATGGACAAATAAGCCTGAAAAACAACAAACCCATTATTCAAAATAAACTTGAAACAAAGAAAATGTTTAAAAGTATCAAATGTATTCTTTAAATAAAGTTTTTGGTTCATGAATAGTCAACCCTACCCCCTCCCTCTCAAATCATTACCCGAGAAGAAAGCAAAGATGGCGGTAACTTTAGTGAAGGTTGCTGGTAAGTTTATTATTGGCGGCCTTGCATTGTATGGATTGTCAGAAGTGTTAAGTTCACAAGACGACACAATAAAACAGCTCTCGATGATTGACAGTAAAACTCGTCAAAACATTCCCGTTAATTTACCTGAGGTAAGTTCCCGAAACAAATAATTCTATTTAGTGGGGCTATGATTACAACATGCACTCACTGCTACAAAATTTTTTTTTCAGCAAGTGCATATTGTAGGCAAACGTGATGCTGAAAGCGTTGACTCATATCTCTCTCTTGTATCATTGTTCGCTTACATCTCTATTTGAAGCGGTCGTTCAAATACCATGGGCACTTCCTTATGGAACAGTCTACTTAAGTATATTCGGGATCTTAGCTCTTTAGATTCCCCTGGTGAACGAATCACGAGCTATGCTTTTCATCATTACTGATAAAGATAAGCTTACTGAACATTATCTTTTATTTATGATATACATCATAGTACTTATGTTGCCGTCGATGTGTACATCTCATTGTGATGGTTTCTGAAAAACCATTAATAGTCTGAACCAATTATTGTTTGGGAAAAATAACCTTCGTGAGTTTACATTATATACATCATATGTATGGAATTAGATCTGGTAATGAAGAATTCAAATTACACCAATATAAAACTATTATTACTATTAAAGAGTTCACGCATCAGAAGCTTGTTGATTGAAATTGGGAAAGGTTGTTTGAGTGTCTACAGACTGGGTCTGCTGTTGAAAAACCTCGAAATTTTCTCATGGAATCCTTTTCTTTTAACTGCTGTGTGAAAGTTATTTCCTGTATGCTGGTATTCATGTGCAGTTTTACCACTGTAAAGCCATAGGAAATCACCCAATAATTTTGTAGTCATTTACTGGTTCATTTTAGGAATTATCCTTTAATTCATCTTAAATTAATGTAACATGTAGATATCTGGTAATTTTTTCTGGTATTTTTACAGCTTCCAACAACTACAAAAATTAGGCAGTCTTGGAATAGTGGAGTGCAGAGAGTTTTTGGGGGACTGGAGCAAGTACCAGTAGCAGCATGGGAGTTGGGCAAAAAGGGAGCTTCTAATGCAAAAGAATTCATCAAAGAACAAATGAAATAAGGGTTAAATACCTGCCATTTGTTGTCATAAGTTATGACACTCACATTAGCTAAATGAAAGAGAGTGATCAACTTAAAAGACCTTGGAGATGTTGATTGAGAGTTGCCTAAGTCCAGCTGCTATCACAAAATTCTCAACTCTCGTTTATGTATTAAACTGAAGTTTGTTAAGTGTGTCCTATGTAAACTTTTGTAGTTACTGGTGTTAAAGTGTTTTGTTTTGCGATAAAAAGTGAGGTTTGATTTTTTCACTATGAAAAGACTTAAGTGCAGAGTACTCCATATTTTTAACTTGAATGGAGAATATGTGACTGCTCTGCTTCTTGTTGGAAGTTTAAGTGCACAAAAATCAATTTTTCATGTCTTCCAGATTTTGTTTGTATTTCAAACTCTTCTCTGCAGACATTTTTAAGCTTGGGTCCAGGACTTGATCTGATGAGGAATGTTGCTCCTTTAGGGATAATGAACCACACCCGATGGACACCCCACCCCCCCCTCTCCCATCCTCTTGAAAAGTACAAGATGCCATACATTTACATTATTTCAGAGATATGTTGACCTGTTTCACTGCCTTGAGTCAATGCACATCTCTTGCCATAGCATTGTTTTAGGTTTAAATTCAATTGCTGATTAGGAAGAAGTGTGTTGGTAGTTTTGGGGTCATGTTGCTAGTTTCTTTCCTTTAAGATCACTTAGTTGCTTGTCACTGGTTTGATTACTTGGAATCATTTTGTACTTTACACAAAGCTCATAAAAGAAAATGTAATGATAAGGCAGAAAGATTGCGGAGGTGTTAGTGATCGGAGGGAAGAAATACTTCCAAAGGCAGGAAAGGAGGCGCGGAACCCTAAGAAGATTGCAAACTAAGGAAGCAGTATTAACATTTGCAACGGATAAACTCATGTTCAGCAGGGCAGCTTACAAATCTCAACAGTACCATTTGTAAGAAAACTTCCCTGAAAGTTCCACTGAAACTCCGATGGCAAAATAAGCTTCCATGGTATGAAAACTTATTTTGCCATCGGGGTTTGAAATCATGCAAATTTTGGTAATTTCACGTTTTTTTCCGATGGCAAAATAAGCTTCCATGGTATGAAAACTTATTTTGCCATCGGGGTTTGAAATCATGCAAATTTTGGTAATTTCACGTTTTTTTCGGAGGGCGGCAAACCAAATGGGAATATTCTAAAAACCCGAGACAGCAAGTGAAACAAGCAAAACGATCAAAACGAAACGACCGTAATGATCAAAACAAAACCATTACAACGATCGAGAAGAGTGGAGGATGAAATGAAGCGGAAAATATTGATGAAAAACTTCAGATGTTCTCTCACATTCGAGGCTGTTAATTATGAAGGCCGCCTCAAGAATACGATCATTCAAAATATGCTGAGAAAGCAGAAATGGACTTACGAACATCGAGTACGAAGTTTTCACACGTTGCAACAAAAATACTACTCTGAGGAAAACATAAGAGAGAATTTCTGTCTCCGAAAGCCAACAGTCTGTAAACTTTTCTCCGGGACACTATGTGCTATCCGCCAAAGCCTGTAGCAAACGCAATTGAATTCGGATAATTGAATCAGAATAGATAACCGAAAAGTCTGTAGGATTAGGCCAGACATGGCTGAAAAGAGCAAAAAAATCAGAAGAATGAAATCGTTTCTGTGCACGACGGCAGAAAAAGCGAGAAAACAGAAAAATGAACACATAAAGTAACACTGGCAGTCTTCTTGCATTATGCATAACGATAATTTTCTGACTGACTTATTCAAACAGTGGAATGGTGATATATCGACTGGTACCAGTGAAACAATATCCTGCTAATTAAGAGCCATACAAGGAATACCATAGAATAAGTTCAAGAAGTCTGAACTTGAAATTGAATTTCTCCTCCGTGATACTCTCTCTAAACCAAAGGTGTAGTGTTGATTGTAAATAGAACACGAACTTGGTGTTGGTTGTATATTCTTGTTCATACTATTCATTTGTGTTGCATTTAGTATTATCACTTTTCATTACTTAATGTTACCTATACAGATATTCGGTTGACCTTGTAATTTGTGCAGTTGTGTGTTCAACGATTAAAGGTTTGTTTACGCTTTTAAAATGTCTCCCTTTTCTAAAACACAACAAAAGGGACGGCTCGTTATACATGCCCTTAGTAATAGAAGTAAAGTGATCAGGCCACCCAATTCGACATCAATCACTTTCGCACAAGGGAGATGGTTTTCGGATTGCACTCTTGTGGTATATATCTGAAGAAAGAGGATGTTTAGTTCACAAAGAACATCTTTCCTTTGGAAGATGCAGTTATAGCCATTTTTTCGGTACCTCAGTCTTTTTTTTTTAAGTGACAGCCTAGTAATTGTTTGGGGAAGTTGCGGTCTGTTGACAAATTCTAAGCTATATTTGTTTTCTGAGTCAATTCCCGTAGAATCTCTGTCTTGAGTCCTGATCTTGATAGGTGGAATGATCATGATTATAATAATAATATTATTATTGTTATTGTTGGAGGGAAACGCCGGGTGGCAGTTGTATGCTTTCTCAATCGTGTAAAGCTGCTTGCCCAACTCTCCCTGTAACGATTTCTTTACATTGTTTAAGTTCAGTCTATGCCCATCCGGAACAAGTGGTGAAGCTCGACAAGATTCTGACTTCCTCGCTCTCTCTCATGTTATTCAGTTGAGTTGTCTTGGTGACCTCATCATGCCATTTTCACCTTCAAAATGACAACCATCTTAACGGTGAAATGTATTATAGTCAATTTGGATTGACACACATCAACTACAAAGACATCGCCATGTATTTCTCTCCTCAAATTCCTGAAAATATCTAAGAAAGCATTTCATGACATTTGCTCATGCGACGCGGAGCAAGCAATAGGCAGCTCGTATCACTAAGCCCCTTACATTACTTTTCTCCCTTAAACAGTAGATTTGGAGAGGATATCTTCACATTTTGTGAAAACAATCAACCCTTTTGGCAAACATTCAATTGTTCACATTTCTTACCAAAGATTTGTTTGTAGTATTGTTTAGGTATTCAGTTGAAAATAAATTATGATCAGCTCATTTGTTCCAGCGCTTGACTGATTAAACCAAGACGAAAAAAGAAAGTCATGGCGTTAAATTAGATAATAGATAAATAAAATTGACGTGTGATGATAGAGACGAAAAAAGGATAGAACTAACAGTAACTCACTTGTATTATTTCACTTAAAAATAATGAAGAATAGAGAGCTTTTACAGGATTTGATTTTTTCAACATGCCATTCTGGTGCAGTGCTCTAGGATATGGTCAATGGTAGGTGAAGATATTCCTTTTCAAGAGATGAAATGACTGAAGAATTTCGACCACAGTAATCTTATTCATAAGCAGCATATGGGCGCACTGGTTTGCAAGAGAATAGTTAAATGGGAATGAAAGGTGTGGTTCATGGAAAAAAGAGTTAAGACAATGTAAGAAAGGGAACTTCGAAATACGAAGAAAGAAAGACGTTACTGACACAAGATGGCACGCTCTATCGTGATTTTCCTTCATGTTGGTTTAGACAATTTACAGTTATATAGATTGTTCTGTGCAATAAATACATTTAGCATTCGCATTTCTGTCATCCCTGGTTCCACTCAGCGTTACACGAATGAAGTTAATCCCCGTAAGGAGTTGATGAGTACCCCAAGGGTTTAGATCTACCCACGACTTGAGTGAACCTTGGTCTCTTCTTCAGTTTGTCTTCTGCACTTAGGAATTTTTGAGCATCAGGCGACCTGAAATGAAGATATTTGCACGTATTCAACCACTAAGATTTTAGGCATTTCCTTGTTCCACAATTACTTAACCTAAAGCTCTTTGCAACGGGAGGAACGACTAACCCTTAGTGTTGGCTGATGTCAACTGACAATGAGGGACTGCACGTGCTCCTGTTAGAAATGGAAACTTTCTGAGTTCGAAACTTTCATTACCCTCAAATGGAAGGGTGGATATATTCAATTTGTTCTAAGAATGGTGGTTATATTCTTCAGTACGAAAAGAGATTCAGAATCTATTTCTTTACAGGGAAAAAAGTCATTTCTTATGAAGCTCTTTCGATACTTTACCGAACAAGAAAAGTTTTTGGTAGTGCCTTTTATCTAAAAAGAACTTCTTGTGGTTTCCTTGGATCCTTTATCTCATGAAAGAAAAATATTTATGAACATACGAATCTCCAAACAAGTCTCTAATACTCCACACAACTTACATCTTTATGCGGCTAATGGTGTCTGCCATCTCTTTTGTTCTCTTGTGACTCTTTCCTAATGTTGCACTCAGCATATTGTGCGCCTAACAGGTAAACACACAAAACAAATTATATTAAATAATGAGGAATACAATGTCCATGGCTATAATATCTGAAAAAGTTTGAAAAACTGGTAAATTATGGTAACCAATCCTAGAGCTCCAATAAACAAAGAAGAACATAGATTAAAACTTGGTGTTACCTTGGTGAGCCATTTCAAAGCCTGCTGTGTTCGTCCTTGTTTCAGTCTTATACTACCCATCAACTGGTATGAAGCAGCAGCCTGCTCACTTGGGTCACCATACACCACTGTCTTAGCTTCTGCCACTGACTTCTGAAGCGACACTGCCTCCTCCAGACTGCCATCACGAATTAACAAACGACTGAGCTCATCCTAATTAAAAAAAACGCAAACTTACAATAAAAGTGGAAAAATTTCCCAGAAGTCAGTTGTTGCAAAAAGTTTTACTTTTGTACATCTGTTTACATACAAGAACAATCAAGTTACTGATTTATTACAATAATATTACCAACCTTCTATCTGCTGGCTAAACAAATAATAACCATATTAAGCTGTTGGTATTAACAATATTATTGTTACCTATGCTCACTTCCCTTTTAAGAAAATAAAGATTTTCTCCAAGTAAAAATTTGATAATGATTTTTATGAAATAACAAGTTTATTTGTCCTCTAATTGGTCAACAGGCACTGTTACAATAGCTAAAAGACATGAATAACAATCATGAAGTTGCTGAAAACCCTTGAAATATTTTGGATCAAAGACAACATAAAATTTTTAAGTGAAACTTAAAATGAGCGAGAAAAGACCAGAGATTTTATTTCAAACTGCAACTTGATAAAAGAATTTCTGCAGTGAAAGATCTCAGTTATGTGTCTAGGTTACCTTTACAAGAGATACAACAAAATACAACAATATGTACTGAGATGACTTTAAACTGTACCTGGGCCTTTATAGTTGAGTTATTATATGGACCTCTATGCTTCATGTATAAAGTTATGGCATCCTTCAAGTATTTCTTGGCTTTATCTAGGCTTTCATCATCATCAGTGTAACTTATGGCCATAACAAATGAAGAGTCTGCAACTTCCATTGAATCTTCCCCAAATCTATAAATATGAATAAAAACATTTTTTTTTACAGAAGATGATAAAACTAAACAAACTTGCCTCATGATTGGCAACAATATTTGTGTTCAGACATTACTTTGATTTGCTGATATCATGAGCTTGCATTAACAACTTTGATGCCCTTTCTCTGCTGGCTGTGTCACCATGACTTCCTTCCGCACGTGCCAGGCTTTGGTAAATTGGAATCAACTCTTTGCTTTCAGCTCCATAATATTTCTGAGCAACCTCTAATGCCTGTAATGTGAAACATACAGAATTGTGTATTGGCTTATTGAGACCAAGAGTAAAAATTAGGTTCTTATATCGAGGCTTCTCATAATTTTATTCATTTACTGTTTAAGTAAGACCATAAATTGAAACTGCTACCTTTTCAAAGCATTCCAGGGCATGTCCTGTTTTGTGAGTCTTAAGACTGACGCGACCAAGGACTATCAATATTTGAAGCCGTCTGTTAGGGTCCTGATGTTTTGGCCCTAGTTCTTCTCTTTCTCGTGATACTAACTCTGCTTTCTTAAAGCTGTTCTCAGCCTTCTGTGTGCTGTAAAGAAGCAAATGCACTATTCTTTTCTCCTACATCTTAATGCTACATTACCTTTAAATGCTTCTTGCAAGTTTCACACAAACAAAATATTACACTGTCTGCTGTATGCTAATTGTGAGTTAGAAGCATAACAGGTCATTTAATTGCAATCACTGCTAAGTAAGTTCAATCAAAATTTAATTTCTACTTCAATACAGTTCTACTGTGCAAGTCATTTGATGATAATTTGCCATTTCAGTGGAAGGAAATCCCTCTTTATTTTTGCTTTTCCAACCTTGATAAAATCTAAAATTCAACCCTGTCAGCTTCAGAAAGTGGAACAAGTTGCAGTTTCAGCTGGAATACCTCAACCACACTTTAAGAAAACAAAACAGACTGCAAATAATTTTTCTGTGGGAAAATCAGGTGGTGCAAGAGGCTAGGGAAAGCAATGCAGCAAACTCACCTACTGCATGTACATTGCACTTACTTCTTCAAGGCAATCTGAGCTTGTCCCATCACAAGATATATCAATTCCATAACAGGAAGCACATCAGATCTGTCATAAATCTGTCTTCCTTGATGTTTTACTGCATCTGCTGCCAGTAACACATCACGAGCATTTCCAGCATGAATCAGGGCTTGCTGGGCCATTCCTGACAACAAGTAGACAATGACTAAGTGGATAAAATCTCTCTTCAAAATATTAAAAACAAATTTAGGTTTACCTTATATGTTCAAAATTAGATCTCAAAATTGATGTGTTAGTAGAGGATAGTTTATCCTAAACATTACTGATCAGAAAAATTTCACAGAACCTACCCTTCTGCTCTAGATATGCCTGTGAAAGCTTTGAGTAAGCTTTAGCCAGTTTCCAGTGATTATCCCCATAAATTATTCTGGTTAAAGCTACACATCGGATTCGATCATGTACAGCTCTATCATCTCCATTGTTGGCAAATTCCCGTGCTTGCCTTCTGTAGCTTTTAAGCAAAACCTGGGGTGGGGCCAAACCTAATCAAATGCAACAAATCATATCAAAAAATAAAATCTGAAGGATTGCTCTAAATTATAATGATTGGTTTTGTCTACTGTTAACATAAATCAGTTGAGCTGGTTCCTTGAATCAACAGTTTGTGTAGAGAGATATTATTTTGACTGTTGATGTTTCCACGGCAACAGAATTGTGGGTACATTACAACTCCTCAACAATGAACGTTGTATCTTGCCTTACTCTGCAATATAACTTAGTTTACCTGGCAAATGTATCAAGCAAATAAATGCTTGCTAACAAAAAAAGCTTTCAGCAATATCTCTCAAGAATTAAGAGGATGTCAAATTTAGTGACTAAAAGCTTTATTTCTATTCAATTCAATTGAATCCCTTTTTGAAAAAAAAAAACAGGTCACAAATCCCTTTTCGAAGGCAATCTAACAAACTTTTGTCTTGGTTCTTAGTTAACATTATCATCTATTATAAATGTTGTGGCCATATTTTTTTCCTTGATGTCAAAACTTTTAAACAAGTGTTCCTTTCATTCATCTATTTCCTTACTTTGTTTTCACTCATTATCTTAATCTTTAATAGAAAAGAAAATAGAATTTAAAAAGTTTTGAAATGTTTGAATGGTGTACACTCACATAACACAGTGCGTAATATACCTCTAACATATCCTGAAGGATAATTTCCCTCTTCATTGCATTCTTCATGATCAGATTCCTCAGAGGAGGAATATTTATACACGGCAATTCCTGAACTCTTTGGGCTGTTATCAGATGCAGATGGAATGTGGATCACCTCTGGGATGACATATTTCTGTTGATCTGGCAATTGTTCAAGCTCTCACTACATTTTTCAGCTTTGATTAAAGAATATGAGGATCTACTAGTGAACTACAGGTAATTTTACAGATTACGCTTCAAACCGCTGACCATTACGTACAGTATGTTCTAGGATAGAAGAGTGGAAACAACACGAAATATTTTGGGTTACAAAGAGAAGAGGGAGGGATTAATGAAGTGTTACAGTGGAGATAGGAGCAAAAACTACCATCACACCTGTCTGATAAGATTCCTCATCATCGCTTGCCGTGTCTGTTCTGCTAACACTTGCATCACTTGCAGTTTTACTTGCGACCGACGACACTTCTAATTCCATCGAATTTTACGCCTTGTCAAACTTAGAATGCATTTTCAAGCGTAAACAAGCTCAAAGAGAGACAAAGACAGTATAGTTAAATATCGTCTGAGATAACCTACCCTGGGATCAGAGTTTCCGAAGTCACTCCTGTTAACCCTGTTGACATTAACCACCATGTTTTCCAAGTCTGAATTTTTTCCACGCTAAGCATAATGGGAGTTAGGCTTGTCGTCGTCATAGCAACTAACACCCGCCATCTTGAACTGCAAGGACAGAGGAAAGACTCGTTTGAAATACAAGAGTTATGCCTCAAAAGGAGGAGCCGATCTATTGCTCACAACAAATCAACATTCCTCCAGAGTTGCCAGATATCCTAAAGCAGTTTACTAAGGCTGCTATTCGTACACAACCGAAGGATGTTTTACAGTGGGCTTACGCGTAAGTTTTGTTTCTTCTTTCCGAGATAAACTTACTTCTTATTTTGAGTTTTAATTGGTAGACTGTTGTCACCAGCCTTTTGAAAGAGTCTTGAATACCGTAACGATATTTTAACGCGATAAACTATCACACCAACATTTTGGTAAGGAGGGTTGATGGAGGTAGCCCAAAACTTAGTTTACTTGTCGAATTTTTGACTCAAATGAATACGTTACGAAAATAAACATTTGGCAGTTTCTCCACTAGCGTAGTAATACCATTGATCCCTGCATCTTAAAATATGTAACAGGATATTTGAATGGTCTTTGGGAATTAATTGTGTTTAAGTGTCCTCGGAAAAAAGTCAGGCAGCAGAACTCTCCCATTTCCTTTCGACAGTAGTTACGGACTTCATTTGAACTGAGACATATTGTAATACTGATGAAGGGAAACATTCAATGATACTTACAAGTAAGGATATCTTTTATTGATAATGAACTACTCATCATCAGCTTCGTATAACCTTTAAAAGAAAGTGTACGTCATAACATTTGCACCACATACACGTGCATTTAGCCATCTTGATTTAAATAAAACTTGATATTGATAAACTTTTAGGTACTTTGATGCCTTGTCTAAAGGAGAGACACCCCCAGTTAAAGAACGTCTCGAGTTCCAGTTAGGGCAGCCTCTGGAAAAACCCCTTACTCAAGGCTTACTTGCAGTTTTACACAAACAGGTATCTTACACCATTTGTATTAAGCTTGATGTCATCGATTCATTTTGCCAAACTTGATTCTTAGATGACAATGGAGTAACTTTAATTAAGGATATTTGAAATCATTTTTGATAAGTTATGAGCTTAAGTTATGAGCTTTCATGAACTCCAGAAAAAAGACAAAATGTGATGTTAAGTCAGGTGAATTCTTCTTCCACAGGTAATTTTCCTGTTTCCACAGGAAATTTACCTTACTAAGTGCAAGGATCTTACTTGTGGAAGTATCCTTTGTGCCTCTCAGCTAAGATGGTCTCTACACAAGAGAGATCCTAGTTCTACTGCTAGGGCCAACTATAAGCATTTTTTGGTAAGCTGACAAACAAAAAAACATGTCGTGAGGATGTTTTTCCTCCTGGGATCTTCCAAAAACTCAAATCTTCCCCTTGATAAAATGGCACCTTAATCTGTGGGATGGTTGAGTCTGAATTTGACAGACCCTGCATACATGAAATGGATACAGTATCCATGACTCTACTCTTCAGAGAATGAACATAGGTACTTCCTCAATGAATTATGTTACTACTGTAGACTAAAATGTTAGAAATACACATCAACTCACCATAACATACTTTTTCTAGATTATCTGTTAAATTGTATCATCCACTTCTAATTACTCACCATAATTTGTGTATCAGAGAACACAATGTTATCCTCATTTATTTATTTTTTCCCAACAGCTAGGTGGAAAGCCTGTTATAGAGTTGTCATCCTTGGAAGAAAAGTGGAAACATTTGTCACTTCCTAAAGACACTCTGGATGAGCTACTGAGGTAATATAAGCCTCTCTATGTTACTCAGTGTATTTTAAAAAAAAGTGGCCTTAACATTTAGAAATGATATAGTTTGTCTCTGAGCTGTAGAGTTTGGCAGTCAGCAATTGAACTAACTGTGTCACAAAAGAAAGGATGATACATTGTTCTTCACTGTGATGAATGACCACAGGTTTTTTGTAATATTAGTTAACCCTTTCCACCCTAACATCAGTATTCATATTCTCCATACTGTTGTCTGTAAATTTACTAAGGTGCTGGCAAGGAGAATTTTCTAACAATCAAGAGTTTCTGTAGTTGGTAATCATTTCCTTTATTTTCATGACATTAATGTGTGATTCAGTGGTGACATTGTAAGGAGAAATTACCGTAGATGCTAGTCACACTAAGAGGTTAAGGGGTTAAGAAACTGATGGTGTACATATATAGAGTGTGCATGGATCAAGCAAATTAATTTAGAGGTGTCCATTCCTTTTCAGGTTGGGAAGTTTTGCTGAAGAACTGAAGTGGCTTCATTTTCTGGCTCTTGCTTGCAGTGCAATTAGTGAGGTAATTATTGTAGTCAAGTTATATTATGCCAAATATATGTCTGTATTGTCAAGAATTAAAGCTATTTTTAAGTATTAAGCTTACAAATAAAACACACTTTTATCTGACAGCTTGTTGTTAAGTAAGTTTGCTTTTTACCAGAAAAGGATTTGTTTCTTGAAATCAGTAATTGTTAGTCAAGAATAAATGCCTTTCAAGTGATTGAGACTAATCTACAACAAGCCATGGTGCTGATAATTGACTCATTTTGCAAGAATCAAATTGAGCTCCAAACAGCATTAGATAACCATTTTGCTTGAATTCATCCAAGTTCGAACTTTGTGTTTGTGAAGTGAAAGCAAAAAATGGCATTTTATGAAGCAAAAGAGCCGGCTGAGGAGATTTTACCTGCGTACCCTCTATAAGTCAGTGTAAGTGGATGTAAACAAGGTGTTGGAGCTTGGAGAGGTGATTTCCCTCTCCCAATTCTCCTTCTCCAATTGCATGTCAATTAATGTGCTAGATTTGTTCCATACAAACCAACAAAAAAGGAATGGATACAGAGTTATAAGATCAGCAATATTTCCATAACTGTAAATTGTTTTATGTCCTAGAATCTTACATTGGCTATGAAAACAGTTTGTGAGATTTTGACAACTGATCTAGAAGGGGGCCCTGCAAGAATACCATTCTCACTGTTTAAGGAATTGTTCACATACCTAGCAGAGACTGATGGAGAAATTCCCAAGGAACATGTTGATGCTGTCATTGAGCACCTAAGCTATGACGTGTGAGTAGCATTCATACTTATTTCAGTAGTAATAAATGCACATCCTGCAAATTTCTAGTAAATGTATGATAGTGGTTGGGAAGTTAAGAGTTAGAAATGTGTGACTTGGAAATACACCAGAGGAGTAAAAGGTTTTTCAATGATCTCTTTTTGGAATGACAGTTTTCTTGGAAAATACTTTTTAAGCCTTGGTAACTAATTGTCCCTTGGAGTTCTTTTGATCTTTTCATCACTGTAAATATTAATCTTTATTCAAAATAGAATAGTTCTATGGCTCAACTATGATCTGGATCATTGACCATTCTAAGATCTACTTCCAATTGCGATAAGGACTACCTAAATCTTTCCTCCAAGAAAGAAAGGAGTACATAAGGCTCAGTATATAATATTCCCCCAAAAGTTTACCATATCTCTCAACAAATTGAATTGAACCAGATTTATGTTAGCTAATGGTGAGAAATTTTTTTTTTTCAGGGACAAACAAGAAGGACAAGTCTCTCCACGCAACTTTATGAGTGACAGTTGTCCTCCACTTTCACCTAATGAAAACTCATGAAAACAATCATGACATAAAAACTGAAGTACAAACTGTTTTTGTAATATTGGTTCATTTTATTCCAGCCTCAAGCTGTCAAAAATATGCGTTTTCAACATATTACAGGCCGTGCTAATCAACATGTACATGTCATAGATACTATCATACACATCCATCTCTGGAAAAATCCTACATATATATATAATTTATATATGAGGCCAGATTAATGTAGTAAACAAGTTGCTTATGGCTAGATCCTTACAGTAATGATAGCAGAATGCTTTCAAGGAGCAGTGTTAGTGAAATGTATATACATGTACTATTGTGATCAAGAAGTAAACTTTCACTCAACTTATGCCCTGTTGGCTCTGAATTACTGCATTCAAGGGCTAGCCATACACGAGTATCATTATAAGGAGGAAAATGTGAGATTTTGACTTCTTTTCAAACAGTACATATTTATCTAGTTTGTGACTTGATGAAGCCAACTGGCAGATACCAAATTACAGTACAAATTACTGATCAGACCTGACCCTTTACTGGCCATCTCATGTTCCAAACACTCATGTAGAATACAGGAGGCCCAAAAAAGGCTTTTTCAGTCCCGTATCCCTCTGCCATATTAAACTTTTGGATACGCGAAGTGTAGAAAAAAGTTTTTATGGGACTCAGATATGCAAATGAGTCACTCACATATTCTCTCACTCAATTAGATATAGACACAGTTGATTTACACTGTGGTAATTCCTTGCCCCAAATTCCCCCGGGCCTGACGCCATCATCATAGAATTATCTCGTGTTATTGGCAGCACTTTTATAGCGGACAAAAGTAATTCTGTGCTTTTCTGGCTAAAGAAAACTTGTCAAATTCGCTGTCACACATTTTTAATTTAAATCAATGAAAAAAATTTAGGGGTTTGTTATTAGATGCGAGCGGGAGAAAACCTCAAAAACAATGATCATCGCGTTACAATGGAAATATTTATCGAGCGACTTTACGTGAGGCGAAACGTGACATAGGAATAATTTAATTTGGCTTGTGCAGGCGAGGAAAGATTTGGATCAAAATTCGATGAACGCAGTCTACTATTTTTTTATTATTTTTTACTATTATTATCATTACTACTTTTTTTTTGAGACCGCCTGAGCTGAGGTTACCAGGAAGAGTTAATCTTTACAAAACAAGTTTTGGAACGGTATCCGGTCAACTCGCCATCAGTGGCAAATTCACTCAGAAGCTGTGTGTGGTGTCTTGATTATGGAACAATAACCATTCAAAGGTCTAAAAGCAAGAAGATATTTCGAAGATTTTAATCAGTTTAGGTGCAGCAAAACCAGAATGAATTTCGGCGGGTGATTTTTGCCGATGGTTATGAACTCGTCTAAAACTTACAAGTTATGATCTAGTAGTATGTTGCAAAGTTAGGCGCGTACAAGTACGGCGAAATTTTTCAGACGTGGCTTTCCGTCCTTTCTTTGTGTCATGCACAAGGAGTGCCGAAGTGACCTTTAACGCGAGTTTCATTCTTATCAACGCAATTCGAAACCAAGTCTAACGGAACTTACGTCATAGTAAAGCTACGACCTTCTACATTATTGTTTTTTTTTCTTTTTTAATTTTAGTGATGCAAAATTAAAAGTGCACGCAAACACGGTGAAATCCAATAAATTTGCCACCGATGGCGATTTGACTCTAAATGGTGGTGGCGAGTTGTTGTGACTGGCTAATTGACCGTAAAAATTTGCCATAAGACTTCGAAGTTCACCGACATGTTTCATTTCTAGATAATACTATGGGGCACCCTATATAATATACTTCTACCCTACTGAAACCACATATATTCAACTCAACACTATTTTCCAACTACTAAAACGATGTTTAAGGCATGGATGTTATTGATAGTGTTCTGCTGTTGACCATTGACGTCATCACTTGTGGAAGACGTAGAAATTGATAGCATTCAATTCGACACGAATAGATGATTGTTATGTGCATACTTTTTACTTTCACTGGAAAAGGTCCATTTCAATTTTTATTAGTTTCCGGGGATCATTTTGGTCTATATTTCAAATTTTTCATACTCTAAGGAAATTGAATTTTTTCAAATTATGACTTGAGGTAACTCACCACTTGGCACATAACCTTCCCATCTCTAGACAGTGAGAAATTTTCGTGCGCTTCACTCCCAGAGTTCTTCAAGGCGCACTCATACCAATTTTTTCAATTTCACTTATTTAGTTATTTCTTTTTTTCCACTTGCGCGACGTACTTGGCCCTACGAAAACAGAGCATATCCAGCTCTAGGCATCGTACTTTAATCCCATTTCGTACCTTTCAGAATGTTTAAAGGACGGGATGTTTTTTAAAAAGCCCGCCTGCAATGACAATCAACTTTAGACTCGTTGAAAGGTAATCAGCCAATCAACGCTTGACAAATATTCGGAGAAGTTGCCGGATATCCCAAGATGCAACGTACGCCGAATTTTTAGTGTTCTCTCAAAATGGCTTCCGTCGAAGCTTTGACCAGTGTAGGTTTCTTATTGTTTTTATTTCGTTTATCCGTCGCTTCAGTACCTGGTGAACGACACGTCAAATTCCAATATAAGCATAGTTTTAAAGGACCGCATTTAGTGAATAAAGATGGAGCAATTCCTTTTTGGAATCACGGAGGAAGTAAGTTGCCATTGTTTTGATAAGTGACTAGTGAATATTCAATCTACACGTGTACAAAGTCACCTTAGCGCACGTTTTGTAAATTTTTGGCTGATTTTATTCTCCAATTTAGGTGCTATCCCCAGCGATGACCAGATTAGATTGACTCCTTCAATGACTAATAAAAAAGGTTAGTTTCCTGCCATATGATTTCTTTTAAACTGAACAAGCAATCCATCGGCCGGGTTTTATACTTAAAAAAAGGTCTGTAAGGTAAATACTTCTCCAGTTGTCACAGCTGATTTCAACAACGGCGTATGCACTCCGTGTGTAACCTAACTTAGGCCGAACTTTTTGAAAATGTTGAATGTGAATGTATCAAAACATTTACTTTTCATCCTATAAACAATAGTTAGGAGGACATGAAGGACATCATTGAGGTCGCGTTTAACTTTAAAACTTTGTGTTCCGGAAGTATAATTTAAACTTTAGATCACAACTTAGACGCTCTTCATTGAAAAATATTATTATACTTTGTCTTAGACTGATTTCTTCAGGTTTCTTTGCCCTTGATATTTCTGTGATGTTTTTCTTGTCTTTTGACTCGAATTCAACAAAAAGTTTTAAGTATATCTAGTTTCAAAGGGTATTTTATGTAAATTAGCAGAATATATAGGAGTTATCAACTATTTGAAGAGATAATAATCAGTTGTTTGAAATTGTTTTCTGAATTGTGTTTTTTATTAGCAACAAGTCAAAATTTATCTGTTGTCTTAGTTTGGGTTGTCTCCCATTGACACAAAATATTTTTTATTAACAAGATCAGATAGAATTGCCTTAGAATTTTCAAATCATTTTTATTGTGTTAACATGTTTGTTCTGATCAGGAGTTTTGTTAAAAAAATTAAAAATACTACCCACATCCTCACCGACTCCAAGAAAGTTGGTAAAATCCAACATGAAGATGATTGACCTCCTTTCCCTTTGCTGGGCTATTTTTTGGCAAAGAAAGAAAGTGAGGCCAAAATAGTATAATATGTGGCATATCCTTTTCAAACAGGTTATGCCTGGACAAAAAGCACCTTTCCTCATGAGTGGTGGGAAATAGAAGTAGCCTTGAAAGTAACTGGAAGAGGGAGGCTTGGTGGAGATGGTGTGGTGAGATACATATAAGAGATTTTATCAATCAACAGTTGAATAGCTACTGTGATCCATACGATACAGACACTTATGGAGTACACAAAATAATTCAATGGTTTCATCTTATTATTACTTTATTATTTCATGTGTACATGTGAATAACAGTGAGAGGAATAATATTTAAGTCCCTCCAGCCTAGTGTCTATAATTTGTGGAGCATGGAGAGAGATCTTTTCAGTACCACTCCCTATTCTGAACAAGATAAAACTCTGTTAAAGGTGATCCCTCCCTTCATCACCACTCCTCTGCAATTCATCAAGTATTTTAATGTCTTGAAAAAGATTTAATGGTAATCAATTCAGTGTGTTTTGCAAATTTGTCACTTTGATCAAATTATTACTAATATGAGGAAGTCAGAACAGTGTAGTCTTTCAGACAGGACTTATTATTAATCTTTTCACTCCTAAGATCTCATTAGTAGTTCTCCTTAAATTGTTTATCATATAACTCTTAGGATGTCGGTTCAGATAACTTGGTCTTGAATCTACTAAGGATTAATTTTCTCACTCATGGGTTAACAATGATGTACTGATCTTTTACCCAGGCCATTTGGTTTACAGAAACTGCAGGCATTGAAGGTCCTGCATTTGGAAATACTAACACATGGAAAGGTCTTGGTGTTTTCCTTGATTCATTTGACAATGATCAGCAGGTATGTTGAGTTACATCTTGTGATTCTTATACAAATGATAATATCATTATAAACATATTATGTAAGTATTGAAATTAATTCATTCTCAGTGGAGAGTTATCTGACATGGAGGCTATTGATTATTCTCTACTCTATCATTGTACTGGAAAAGATCTTACTTTTGGTAAACTCTTTTTGTGTAAGATTCTAATATTTTAAAGTATACAGGTCTGAAATACAAACTTGCTTTTTTTTGTTACTGGTTCATAGCTATATGTCCTGTGTCCCTTTTCTGTTTTATTCACTGATGTTTTATTGTTTTTTAGGGAAATAATCCATTCATTTCAGTAATGTTAAATGATGGAAATCAGATTTATGATCATAACAAGTACGTTGTGACTAGTAAATACATTATTTTCATGATTCATGTACCCATAATCTAAAAATAGTTTACTTATTAATGTTTTTTGTTGATAATGAGCATTGTTAATGTACACATATTAGATCAGTAAACAAAGGGAAATTTGGAGAAACTTTAGGCCTCTGCTGAAAAGTTTCGTTTCATTTCATACATACTGAGATTTAGTCTGTGAACTACTATCATTTGTATCATATTGGTTGAATGATGTATTTTCACAGTTGTTAGCTTCTAATCTTTGTTGGTCAATAAGAAAAAATCTTAGTATGTATAAAACAAAAACATTGTTGTGATGCATGAAAAAAACTCACTTTTTTGCTGTCCTCACTTGTTTGTTTTTCAATACATCACAACTTGTGAATAAAAATTGTTTGTGCTCAGTTTTCATGGAATAATCTCTATTTCTTAATTAACAAATGAATGCATATCTAAAATACTTTGGAGCCTTTTGACTAAGTTATTTTTGTTTTGTCGTAAATTTGAACAGTATGTTGTTACAGTACAAAGATGGGAATATGAATACTGTGGTGGATCTATGATAAATGAATAGAATTAGATTTGGAATAGATTGACCGCAGATGTAATGACTATGCAAAGTTTCTACTTGTAAAATCCAGCAATCAACCAAATTTCTCGGTTGCTTCCATTTACACTTGATATCTATTAGGCAGATGAAATCAAATTTCAAAGGACATTGATTTTAGACTAGTTTGATTTGGGTTCTCCTTAATGCTAGGTACTTTACCATATCCCTTAAATTAGTGAAATACTCATTAAACTTGTTTTAACCTTAGAAAATTACATCATCATGCTATATGTTGTCTTCTTTCAATTTAAATTATGTGACTTTTGATTCAATTTGTCCTGATGGTCTGTTAGTTGTCAATGGTTTAAGTATAATGTGACAAAAGGATAGTAAATCTGTAAAATCTAGTCATGTTCAGTTGTAACATCAATTTTCTTTCTTCATTTTGTTGCAGAGATGGACAGGATCTTCAACGAGGTGGCTGCTTACGAGATTTTCGTAATCGACCAAACCCAGTTAGACTTAGAATACGCTATTATGAGAATGTGCTCACGGTTAGTGCAGAAAATTCTTAGATAAGATACTCTTAAAAGCTTGTGTTATTATTAATAATTCAAGGTCCAGTTTTTCAAAGGGCAGATAAGGCTATCCAATAGATAAATTGCAATCCAATGGAAAAGTATTAACAAAACATACTGCACTAACCATGGTATGGAGATTTATCTAGCTTACAGCCTTATTCACCCTTCATAATAGACTTTCTATTCATCAACAAATATTTCATTTCACCTGAACTCTTTACCATAGTGGTGTATGTAGCATATTGTCTACAATTGTTCCATTTTGAAGAGTGTAATGTTTGTTCTCCCATTCAGGTGTGGGTACATATGGGAATGACCCCTAAACCTGAAGACTTTGAGCTCTGCACTCGTCTTGAAAACATAAGCCTGGCCAAAAATGGCTTCTTTGGTGTATCTGCAGCTACAGGTGGCTTAGCAGGTCAGTAAAAGCAGTATCAAACATTGCAAAATTTGCGAGGCAGTGGGAAACTGGTGATATTTGTTAAAAAAAAAAAAGAACATGATCAGTGGTCAACTCAAAATGTCCAGCCACCTTTATGCACTATTAAATTATACCGTCAGTCATATTGTTTTGTATATATATCATGATCATGGTATTTTTTGTTCTTAGATGACCATGATGTTCTTTCTTTTATTACCCACTCACTCACTCCACCTAAGGACACACAGGTAACTGTTACTTAGAAACTCCTGTGGTGTTCATTTGTTTGAGTCGCTAAGATAATCTAGTACTTAACTCTAACTTTAAAGTTTTTATGACTTACAAACAAGTGGTGTTTAAAATCTGTGGAAAATTCTTGTTTCTAATCTGAAAGGCCTTAAATGTCTTGTTAGGTCCGCTGAATTGTTGCATGAGTCTCAGTATAGAGTGTAACTTATTATTTTAATAGTTACTGTTGTTAGTAGTAATTCTAAAAGGACACGAGTATGAGAAGATGTAAAACAGCATCTTTTATTTTACTTTTTCTAGGGTGAAACAGGAATGAGTGAAGAAGAGCAAAAGAAGCTTGCAGAGCAGTATGAAGAATACCAAAAGAAACTGGAGCAACAAAGAGAGGAGTAGGGAAATACTTACTATATACATAAAGCTGTTTATTCCTACTGTAAATGAGTTGAGAAATATTGCCTGCATTCATCTCTTGACCTCTGCTCTACATTTATTTCTACAGGTACAAGACAGCTCACCCTGACAAAGTCAAGAAATCTGAAGCAGAGGTAACAAGTCTTGCTGATATCACCAACAAATTTGATATTGGAGAATTATTTGCCTTTGATGTGAGAAGAACCTAACCATAGAAACTTCATAATGATTTGCTTCTTACTTGTCACAAGTAACAGCTCAGAAAAACTCACTATTCAGTTGTAGTAATCAAACTGAGAAATTTTCAATTGAGTTATGTCTGTCTGTAGCTGGTAAATGATTTTTTTTAGTTGATGCCTAGTTGATTTTTTGTTACTTTTTGTTTATCTCTTTTGTGGCCTAACTGTTAGTTTTGGGTTTTAGTATGAGAGTGCTTATGAAAGAGATGTTCGTTTGGTATATGAAGGACAAAATGCTCTTCATCAAATGATCAGGTACTAGTAAATACTTCTTGCCAATAAAAATCAGTTAGTATACATATTTGTTTGTAATGAAAGGAAAAATGAAAATCCTTTTCAAACAGGGATGATGGTGTTATGATCCATTGAAAAGAGATGATTGTCATCTTTAAGACAAAAGGGTTCCATTCTTGTATTCAGTTTTATGATATGATTACCACTGATGAAGAATACCATACCATGGTATGTTAACTATGGCATGGTTAGAATATCAGCACTTGCATATACCACCTACACAAATCTTAAAATTTTATGTATTTGAATGATTAAACTCTGGACACAAAACTAAACATTTAACACATTTGAAGCTTGTTCTAATTCAATATTTGGTGAATTGCAGATAGTTTGTAAAGCCACAGAAAACGGTTTATCATGATCTATCAAAATGCGTAGTTCAACCTTACTAGCATGAAACAAAATGCTTACTAACAATACTTTACAATGTTCTTGGGTTACTTAGTTTCTTATATTCTTACAATAACTGGAAATCATATGCGTTTTTCATGTTCCTTCCACAGCAACCTTCACTCTAAAGTTGGTGAATTAACAGTACAAGTAAATACACTATACACTTTGGTAACAACAGATCATAACCAGATTGGACAAGTGGTTAGACATGACCAAACCATCAATAGACAAGAAGTGAACACACTAATAAATATGCAACAGCAACTCAGTTCTAAGCTGCAAGAAATCAGGTAAGTGTAGTTCAAATAGCAATTTAGACATTTGTGTGTGAAATTTGAACAATTCTGGCTGACAAAAGTAATTCAAGATTGCTTTGCTTTTGCTCTTTGTTGAGCTTTGATTGGTCTTGTAAAAATGTGAGCCACCCTCTCATTCAATCAGTTTCAAGACTTCAACAAAGTGTGACTGGGTTACTCAAACACGTTTTTCCATGTTTCAAGCAGTTTCCTTGTTTTTTTTTTTTTACTTTGTGCACTCTAGCTCATTGATGCTCACCTCCGCATGTAGTGATTGGTCATATTGATTCCTTGGGTTTTGATCTTATCACACCTAATATCAAAATACCCTCCAATGGCAGCAAGCAAATGATGATCATATTCCGTAATGTAAATTAATCTAGTTTACCAAATAATTTTATATATTTGACAGTGTAGTCTGATTGTCCAGGTGAAGGAAGTCCTGAGAAGGACTTTTGTCAGTAACTGCCACTGACTTTTTGACAACCTTAGCAGAAGTCATTATCAGAGTCAAGACTGAAGATTTTCTTAGGTTTCCCAAGGACTCTCTGCAAGGGTTGTTAATACATAATTATAGTCCTCAACAGAGGCTGAATCACATCTAATAATTCTATTTCAGTTTTTAAAGTTTTCAAAGAGGTTTTAATGTGCATGACTTAAATTAGGAACAGCAAATTTTCAAGTGATTTGTGATCTCTTTGTTTACAGCAACTTAATGAGTCAAGGAGGTAATATGGAGAGAAGAGATGTTGGTGACTCAGCTGGCGTTAATTCTAAACTTAGTGACATGCAGAATGCAATTGAATCACTAACACACTCAGTCAATAGTGTGGCAACTAAACAACAAGTAAGAGTTCCAACTGCTGATTGTTTACACAACCTCACTAAAGTAATTTTTGTTTGGGGAGCATTGTTTGATTTGCCCTTTTCACTGCCCTCTTGATTCAAAAATATGATGTTAATTTCATTGTTTAAAAGTCAGGGTACAACAATCTACTTGACCATGAGGTTCTGTGGAAAAAGCTCCACAACCTTTTTCAATTGTAAATTGCAGAGGTCAGTTGCTCACAAGATTAATTAAGATAATTTCATATTTAGATTCTGAAATTGAACTATCCATGACACTAAGAGCAAACAAGTTAAGGTCTCAGTCTCAGCCAGCAAGCATATTTAAAAAAAGTTTTCTTGAGATTACATCATTTTCCTTGGAGAAAGAAAATTCTGTAGCACTAATACTTATTATGCTGACTCACTCCTGACCAATGTTTCTTTTTCAGATGATGAGTGGTCAAGAGAAAAAAGAATGCCCCCCTCCCTCACCCATGCCACAGTGTATAGGTCCAGGATACTTTGTGGTTTTAATTGTGGCCCAGTTAATTATGCTGATTGGTTACATTGGATACAAAAATCAAAAGGAGGCGGCTGCCAAGAAATTCTTTTAGGAATTTTTGTTAAATTATCTTTGACATGTTAGTCTGTATTACAGGCTTGGGCGGGATGTTTGGAATGAAATGAAAATATTACTGTGTGACCTTTTACTGTACTAGCACTAAACTGCAGCACAGTGTCCACGAATTCAACATACTAGGAGATAAAGTTCCAATTGATAGGAGATTTTTTAACTTTTGTGCCACAGAAAGAATTTAAAAGTTGGCTACCTCATTTTTTTTTAATACAAGTTATTGGCATGTTACTGAAGATTATTGGCTCTTTTGTTAGAGCCTTTCCCCAAGAAAAGTAATAATGACATCTAGAAGGCAACAGTGTGAGGTCTGTCAACATAAGTTTTCATTTGTCGTCTGTGTAAAATTACATGACAGAAAACTTTAAAATGTTATTTGTCATTTGTAAAATCTATAAAGTTGTGTTTGTTAAATATGAATTAAAAAACCTTTTAGGAACAAATTTAAAAGCACTTGTTTCAAAAATGATGTACTCAAGCTGAATTGTATTTATCATCTCTAAATTGTCACTTATGGATCTTGAAATTTGTGGGGAAAAAAGCTAGAACCCTTAAATGAACTTTGCTGTTTCTGATGCAATACATAACCCAAGTTAAATTTGAGGTAGAGAGTTTTCTTGAGGCATTTTGGTGGTGTTACTCAATATAATGTATTTGGAATAGATGGAGATTGTCCATAGACTTTATGTCATATTAAAAAAGTAAACTGGTATAATTAAAAAAAAATTAAGGATGTGCTAGGTGTGATGTAAAATACACAGCAATGTTAGTGAACATCTCTCCTGTACATCAAGTTTTAAAGTTTGAACATCGCAAGTGTTGCCATACGTACTACTCTCTGCATTTCCAGTATCAACATATGGTTCTCAAACTTTCATCAATAAAAAATTATGTTTCAGATCTGTTTTCTCTTCAAATTATTTAGTTGGTTATTCATCTCTTCACTTTGTGTCATTCTCTTTCGGACATTCTATTCCCCGACTCTAGAAAGTACTCCCTAGATTCAGCACATCATTTTCAGAGAAATAATGTTTAGTAGTGATAAATTAGTTAAACTATTTCTTTTTCACTGATATATTATTTTAAAATTACAATGTTGTTAAATAGCAACAAGAATTTCTAAATAATATTATTATGCTATTGTGCTACTCATAAAAAACTACGCATATCATTTGTGAGTTCTTGAAATTTAAACTTCTTTGTGAAACCAGTACATGTATATTGTAAATGGAATCTTAGTACATGGGTTGCCTTTTTCCTTAAAATGCATTTTCATGAGCTCATCAAAAAACTCTTTAAAAGCCTTCTTTTTAATTTCACTGTTTCCAGCAATAACAGAATAGGAAGCAAAATGTTGATAAGCTTGATTACAAGAACTTACTTCTAAACTGTGCTCAAACCCTATGTACTCTTGTGGAAAACTGAATAAACTCTTTACAAGCATGCCAACAACTTCTTTCCATTCTTCTTGATGTGGAAAAACTAATGAACTTTCCTTGTCTAAAACGTCCAAATGATGGCCAAGTTGTTTGGCCCATGGAATAGAGAGGTCTAACAGTTTCCATAGGGTACCAAAAGCCCCATTTGGAACTAGAACTCGGTGAATCTCCTCCAAAGCTGCACGGTTTGTGAACCAGTGAAAACTTTGAGCAGCAACAACTACATCCACACTGGCATCAGGGAGGGCTGTTAACATTCAAGCATAAGAAAGTAAGTTCACTGTAGTAGTAACAGGTCTGACTATAACCATCCTTTGCGTTCAGTTTCCAAAAAGCTATTTTGCAATTAATTAAAACGGAACAGCCACTTTTTCCCAATGGCATGCATCTGAACGGGTCAGGAGTGAGGGTGGGAGGTTTGTGGGGAGGTGAAAGTAAATCTTTATTCCATTCGTTACTTTTGTTCTGAATTATACATTTTGTTCTCATTTTTCTCATATGCCCTTTTTTCAGTTTGTTTGTTTGTTTGTTTTTTTGGCCTTTGATACTTTCTTCTTCTGTCGTAATATTTCCTAATTCAGGCCTTATTTTCATTACTGCTCAAGTAGTGTTCATTACCGCGAAGATTGCTTTCATATTCAAATACACTAATATAAATTAAATTAACAAAATGATAAAATTTTGCGCTTTAACTCACGTATACATTCGGCAGCACATTGGATGATATCCATTCTAGGTACCATTACTTTAAACTGCTCACACATGCTCTCCAAAGGCTCGCTCGCAATTACCCTGACATTCTTATCTGACAACACTTTCACCATCACCCGAGTGAATTTTCCTGTCCCACTACCTACTTCCAAGATTGTGAAGGGGCGAGCTTCCTTCGAACTGACTGTGCGGTCATTAACTTTTATACCAAGTTTGTGTAAAAAGTACTTGACCGCTTCTTCAGGGTAGTCTGATCTAACGTTCTCGTAGTTTTCGGCTGATGCAAAAGCTATCCTTGCGAAATCGTAAGCCATAATTACTGAAACATTTCCGTTTACCTTACACAACGTATCTCATAAAGACTTGATTCCAATCTTCTTTACCAAGCCAAGCGACGCTGTGTTTGTTCTGGGGCAGTTTTCAGGGTCAGGAAAGAAGCGTCAGCAATCAGTTACCATCCGACGTAGTTTCCTTGGATTTGAACATCAGACGTAACTATGATCTTGTTTTACTTTCAAATATTGCGTCGCATGTTGAATTTTATGAGGAGAATGCTCCATACATCATTTTTTTTTGTAGACAACATTAAAGACGGCTCTTCGAAGCTCAATGCAATTTTTGTAGTAGTAAGTGAGTAAGCTATTTCTCGCTAAACATGTGATGTATGGGTTAAGAAAAAGCTGTAAGATTTCAGTCAATCGAGGAACAATCATTCTTACGTCCCAGCTGTTACATGCTCAGCAGTGAGCTACCTACAATTTCAATCATCAAAACAAAACAATTATTAGTTTATACCTTGTCTCACATAAATTTCTGTTCGTATTATTGTGTCCTGCTATCATGAAAATAGTCCCTTCTACATTAATTAGTAGAATCTTTGGTAAAATTTCCGCACAGCCCCATACTGTTGTAAAACAAATCTGTTTTCCTAATGGCAATTTATTGTTTTTGTCATTTTTTTCTCTATCCAAGAACTGAATGCATGATGTAGTATGGGGTTGTGCGGAAATTTTACCGAATCTTTTAGGCGTCATTCATGTACGATTTAATGACAGTAACAATCTTAAGAAAAAAATTGAATTAAAAAAAAGGGATTGTCGTGATTTTTTTAAAAAGAGAGCTAGTTTGAGAAACAACCTTCTTGTTTGCCCAATCAAATATTTGTACTTAGCTAAATCAACCAATTTCAGCCAACACAAATTATAACACGTAGACACAAAAACAGACTCAAATTACATCCATCCATGTTCATAAGAAAACTCAATCACTGTTTATAATGCAGTTGAAACTTGCTAGCTTTCCTCTCTTTGAAGAAAAGAACAAATCCACAATTAATGTTGTTTAAGAGATTTTGCTAACTGCAGGAATGTTGTTTTGCACTGCACCTGGGAAACTGGGAGAGTGTGACATTGTCTTGTGACCCCAGTAGCCACTCAAAATGTTTCCTCAATTTACTGATTGAGATTTTTAAAATGTTTAAGAAAAAATTTCAGCTTGCCCACTGACTCAGAGAATATCAGTTTATCCCAAACAATCCAGAAAGTCCAAATTGAGGGCTAAAAAATTTATATTTAGTGAGGAAAGTGGAAAGTAAGTGTGTATTAGTAGAAAAGTATGAAATGATATGACACATAATTGTAATAAATAATAAGTACACAAAAATTTTACTAACACTGTAAACTTTTCTTGACCCACAACTCGGTGCAATTTGTCCTAACTGTGCTTACAGTGAGAATTGGCTAACTTGCATACCTCCTTGTTGCTATCTTAATTTTATTTTATGATGATTCATTTGAGAGGTTACAGTTGTATAATTTGTAAGTGTGTAGGAACAAAGCAATGAGTCACCTCTCAAATAAATCATCACATTTCAATCAGTTGGAAACGAGAATGTCAATCAGTCATCAGAATCTGTCAAGCATTTCAAAATGCACCTGAAATAGTTTGTGAACCCCAGCAAATGATAATAAGTATGTTATAACATATGTGATTATTAAAGTTGCAGGATATCATCATGTCTCATGTGCCAGCCAAGATAGTACTCAAGAGCACAACCACCAAGTCACTAAATGATCGGTGAGCAATGCACCTTGTATCTTGCTGTACATGGCATTATTGTACCTTTGAGCTGGCTTCCTGTTGCAATTTTGTCCTAAGAACTTTAGGAGCTTTGAAAGGGTCATCACTGACCACCAATCACAAGCCATATGGGAAGTGGCAAAAATTTATACCATGCAGTTAATATTGTTAAGGCTTGATGAAAAGGCTTTAAGAAAGTCATGGCCTGGTTGTAATTTGCTTTTTGAGTGAAAGTGAAATGCATACAAGCACATTGAGTGCATGGTTACATTGAAGCCAGTAATATATACAAGGTACAAATTCCTGCTCTCCATCCATCTTCTGAAGCTTCACTGAAATGGCCAAAACTCAAGTCAGATCACCCCCTCAAGTAACTGTCACTGGAGTGCGGAGCAATCAGTTCCAGGTGGCTCAAGCTAGCATGAAGAATCGTCGCCTTGCTGCCCAGATGGCCAACAGACCAGGTGTCCAAGCAGCCCTTGGAGGAAACACATCGGACCTTAAAAGTCGACTTGGCTCACCAACAAGAGGAAGAGGTGCAAATAGAGGGTTATTAAAAAACCGATTGGGTAGTCCAGCTGTTGGTGGAAGAATTCATAGTGGGGGTCAAGTTGGTTTAGGTGGTGGATTAAGGCGGTCTAGTAATGTTCTTGGTGTGAGCCGAGCAAGAAGAGGTGGTGGTCTAGTTGGCCGTGGTGGTCGTGGTGTTGTGAAAGCCATCACTCGTGGTGGGCGTGGTGGGCGTGGTGGTAGAGGAGCAAAAAATGTAACCAGGGGACGTGGACGGGGTCATGGCCGAGGTGACAAGTCTGTGTCAAAGGATAGGTTGGATGAGGAACTTGACAAGTACATGTCTAAAACCAAAAGCCATCTGGATGCAGAATTAGATGCATACATGCAGAATGTAGTTGGAGATGAAAATTAATCTGAAGATAAGACAAAGATTGGTATGGCTGCTCTAAAGTGGATGATAAATTTATCAACCTGTTAAAACTGCATAGCTACAACAATTGTTATGGGGATCATTTGTTTAACAACAGATGGTAAAGAACTTGTTTTCATGGATTTTGTCATTTACAACTACAGATATTTTGGAAGAGTGGAAACTTTATCATCATGTCTTCTATAATCAGTAGACTGAACATTCATTACATCAGTGACATATTTAAGTTTTCTTTGTTTACTTCAATTTGTAAATATGCATTGTAGCCACTTTTTGTTGTACTCTCATCAACTGCTGTTATAATACATAGTTGATGTCATATTCTATAACAGTAAGCAGTTGAGATATTTTTTACATGTTTTGTCAAGCTTACGGTGTTTGATGCAGCAAGACTGTTAATTTTACTTTGAAACTTGAACAGCTAAGATCTCATAGGCCTTCCTTGTTAATTAAGTTTTCTTGGTTTCCATTTTAATAACAATACTTAACATTTGAATGAGAAAGAAGTAGAAGTAATACAGCTGAAAAAGTTTTTAGAGTTCCTACCATCCATGATAGGTCATCCTGTTCAGTTTATTATATTGGCATTACTTTTGTTATAGGGCTTTTTTTTTTAGCCCTGTCATGGCAAGTGCATCTTAAGAAGAATTGGCCCAAATTGGCAAGTGCCTGGTTTGTTATCCATTTTGATTGCTTGCATTCTTAGCCACATTAGGTCCATTTTGGTCAATTTTTCCCACACAAGCAGTATTAAGTTAAAGATTTCTTGTTTTTAAAGGAAATTCTCCTTGATGCAAACATATCATGATGCAGCTTTTACAATTTATCTCTATGCCTTTTAAATAAAACAATGCAATGTCACTTCACAATTATGAATGTTTTGTACATGGCTCATCCAGTATGAATGGTGTTGGAATAAGCTTTACCCCATTGTTCTTTACATCAATAATAATTGCTCTCTTTGTGTCAGCTGCTCAGACTAGTTTTGCTCTTCTTGATTGGAGGTTAGTTTTATTACTTCACAAGGTTATTTGTTCCAGTGTTCATAGAATGAATGTGCCCTAATACCCTGAAAGCAAATTTTTCCTCTTTCTAAACAAAGCATCTCAGAGGGCAGAAATCTTAAATCCACCAATTTGATTAGCTAATTGACCACCATCCGGATATTTTTTTTCTTTTCTTTTGAAAGTTTGAAAACAAGATGCACTTGTTTAAAACCTTGAGGAAATAAGTTGGGAAAATTTAAATTTTTAAGAAAATTGATTCAAATGAGAGTAGCCAGCAAAAGTGAATTTTACTATCTAGATAGAACCTCCCATGAAATGAAAGTCGGGCAGCTGGATAAAGTCTAAAAACAGAAAAAAAAAAAAAAAAAAAAGCTATTTACCAGTCTAGGTCAGTCCATATGGGCAAAAATGTACCTTTGGTCTTGAAACCAGTCTTTCCATGCCATATGGACCATGCTCACAAAAGAAGAAAGTACATCTATACTTTCATTTGGATGTGAAAGGAAATCTTAAAATATTGGGGATGATCATTTCCTTTCAGTTCATGACTTTTTGCCATGTTTGTAAATGTTAGATAACCCCCAATTAATTTGGTTCAGCTAGAATGGTGTTGGTCTCAGAAATTAATTCCTGGCCAAAACTTAGTTAACAATTTGGACCATTAATTTCCCCCAGAAGTTCAGCCATACCACAATCTCTCCAACTAACCTCACCAGCTTATGTCAAATGTTGGGCTTGGTAGTGAGTAAAATGAAAGATGTGAGAAGTGCAAGACATGAGGAAAAAATAGGGGTCCTTGTGCTTTTCCCATTTCATAGAAGTTGCGTGTCTGAGATCAAAGTCTAAGTTTACAGAAGGTAAGTCGAATGAGTGGGTCATGGTCCTTAAAGTTTCTTCTCTAATTGCTACTTTTAGTGGTTCCAAGACAGTTTCCATTGACTGCTCACCAGTAATTTTATTAATGTTTAAATCCTCTTTGCTAAGGAGAGGCAGTCCTTGCCAGCCACTTTTTGTTTCTTTTTTTTTCTTTTTTGCGAGCTAGTGAAGCGTCCTAGAAATTATTAACTGTCTCCTCTTTGTCTACTTGCTGATAAGAAAGTGAAAGCGAGGCACACGACAAATAATTTTCATGCGATTACTTGACAACAGTGTTGCTTGAGGATGGAGGAATAAGCTTTGCTTTGTGATCTTTGTTTGTACCTATGGCCAAATGTAACATGGAATGGTAAGGGTTAAGTTCTGCATCTAGAGATTCTTGAGTTACAATTAGGAGAGCGAACTTTAAACAGACATTAGATGAGGCAGGGAATATTGCGCAACAAAGAAACCAAATATATGAATTAAAATAAGTTTTTCCACTTTAATGTGACAAAGGTAACCTACAATTGCCATCTGTGTCTTTCTATTGGAACACGCTAAGCACTGCCTGTTTGGTACAGTAACATGAGCAAGGAGCTTATCAATACAACCATAACGTGCAAAATTAATTAAATTTACCAATAAGAACTTATGACAAGTTTTGTCAGTGGAAATAAACATTATAAATAAGTAATTACAATAATTATAATAACTCTTACTGCAAAATTAGCTTCCTTGTGTCCTGCAAACAATAAAAATTGACTTACTTTTTTTTAGAACTAAATTTAAATAAATGTGTCATGCACCCTCTAAATAGTTTTTTCCAGTATTTTGGTTTTTGAGTTAAAAACAATTTTATCATTCCATCACTAGCAATGATTAACTGTTTAGGCTCTTCCTCAGTGTTACCTAAATAAATTAGAGATAATGAAAAGTTATTTTTTCTGTCTTATGTGGTCAGCTCTTAACATGTCACAACTAAACACTTTTCAAACTATGGTTAAATAATGGACACATTTGGGTTGAGAAAGTAATTAGTCGCATTCAATTACCTGAAAAAAACACTAGAACACTGAGTTACACCAAAAATATATACAAAACTGTAATACAAAAATACTCTGTAACATGAGTATTAAAAAGACACATCAACAATGTTTCTGATGTACATGTCTTCCTGTGTAAATAACAATAAGGATTTTTTTCCAAACATCGCTCTGAATTACTAGTAGATTGGAAAAGTTAAAAAGAGTCTTGCTCCTACAAAACTGTACAAGGCCCAGCCTTGAGACAAAAAGTTCTTCTCTAGAGAAAACAGAGTCCAGCGTAATTTAAGTTTTCTGTTTTATCAAACTATTAATGCAATAAATCCTTGCACAGAGAACATTAACATCTAATGGTTATAAAAAAATCCTTAAACACGCTAAGATACACAAAAATAAACAACTAAAATAATTCAAAACAAACATATCTAATTAAGAGAAATTCAAAATCAAGTAGTTTGGTCAATCCAAGGTAGGGTTGGTCATTAGAAAAAGTCCAACACTCGTGTACACTGAAGAACTAAACATTCAATGTCAAGGTTTTGTGAAGAGTGAAAACAAAAAGAACTTGACACACCATGGGAAAATAATCCCAGTCACCTTAACAATAAATTCTGATGATAAGATTATTACTAGAGGAGCAATCAAGAATTTAAAATATTTAGGGAGTTTCTCATTCTAATGACCACTCAGCCATGGATGCTTAAACTTGCAAATCTTGTGAACTTGCTGTAAGTATTAAGCAGAAAATGCTAAAATTGAAAGGTGACAATGAAAGCAAACAAAACACGATTTTCCCCTGTACTATAATAAGAAATATCAAATTGAAACCTGTGTTGAGAAATGTTTGCACAATCTCCAGCTCAACAAATTACTAGCACTTAACCAGCTTGTGATGTAAACACAGAACAGAAACAATTTCACTGCATGTTTTCATCTAAAAGTGAAACCTAAGTAAATGATTAATAAACTGAACCATTTGAAAACAATCTACACCTGTAAGGTTAACAACAAATTACCAAATTTAAGACACAATGATGACAGCATCCTTACATGTCCTGAATAGCAAATTTTACACTCAGGTCTGTGGGGTAGGATGTTATACAGCCTGCCATTCACAACCTGCATCAGGATTAGCTACAAGGACTTCAAATTACTGAGAAGTACCACTTTTGCTTGTGCGGGTCAGTGGTCTAAAAATTAAAAAAGATTAGAGAATTATAAGCTGACAACTTCCTTACTATGTGTTTGGTGTGGCTTTAGGTACACAATGATGTAAATTTAAGGCAGTCATTTTCTTAACTATAATACACCATATCACCTGTGCTGACGATATCCTTCAATTGAATGATGCCACAACCAACATGAATGACAGTAATACTTGAAACAAGATTCTTCACGGCAGAAGAATGGACCAGTGGTTGTGTGACAAATGTCACACATTGAATCCTCTAAATATGGATCAACCTGCACCTGATTAACAACAAATAAACAATTAAAGTTTAAATCAGTAATAATAACGATGGCTGACTAATGAGAGTTGATAAATACAATTTTGTTGATAGCCGACAGACAGAGAAGAACAACAAGTAACCTTTAGAGCTGTTATTATTGAAGTGTGACTTGCAATTTTCATTTTCATATAAAGAAGGACTTGTATTTTGCACCAAAAATAAAAATATGTAATATTTTTTGGGAGATCCAGTGATTGGGACATTTAAGGAATTAAGTTATGAAAGGAAACTTGGTTGGTACTTCTCACTACTAACAAGTCTTGTTGACAAATATTTTCAGATCAGAGTTTTTATGTTCATAACTAACAAAGTTCTTTAAGTGTAGATAACAATGTAATTATTGCTAATTATTGTGGAAGTTGTGTACCAAGGAACAGCAAATAAATGTTTGATGATTTTGGCACATCAGTGAACATGAGACATTAATTTGCATCACAATAAACATATTTTTTGATCATGGAATCCAAGAGTCCTTTGAGGTTAGAAAGCAAATCTGTGATATGAGTACATTGGATTAATTTGCAATTTCCATTTAACATAACTGACAACTGGTTCATGAGAAAATCCATATTAATGTAAAGATTTACTAAAACTTAGTTTGAATAATAAATTTCATAATATCTAAGTTATAAACATATACATGTATGTATATCTCTTGGTAAGTTTTGTATAGCATACCTTTTATTGAGCCAAAGTTTAAGCCTCTGAAATTACTCCTTTTCTTAAAACCTTTCAAGGTATTGAGAATTTCTTAGAATTTATGTGGACCTCAGGGTATTAAAATTGCCTCAAATTCAATTCCCAGAAATTCCCAAGAGTTCCACACTTCTTAAATTATAGGTAGTTTGTAAAGCTGAGAATTCCTAGGAATTCCTAGGGATTCCAAGTCCTCACAAAACTGGAGTCTTCCTTTCCCAGAAATTCCCAGTAATTCCAAGCTTTTTAAATCAGAGTTAATTTGCATAAATGGGAATTTTTGAGAATTCCTAGGAATTCCTAGAAATTCCCAGGAATTCCTAGGAATTCCCAGAAAACTGGGAATTCAGTTTGCAAGGGTCATTTGCATAATTGGGAATTTTTGAGAATTCCTAGGAATTCCCAGAAAACTGGGAATTCAGTTCGCAAGGGTAACACTTTTCATTAAAACTGAGTACCTTTTTCACAAATTTTGGCGTCTCTATTTCAACAAATCCTGACCGCACAGCTTCCAGAAAGCTCTTCTGATTGTTGAAGGTAATGCGACCAGAACCTAGGATGTCAAAAAATTTCAATTCAGTTAATAAAGATGAACTTAACTGCATGTACCTAATGATAAATTGTGTTTGACCTAGCCAATTCATGGAGCTTTGTAATTTTCTGCCGTGGGGATAAATAAGGGCATTTTTCCTGCCAAGGTTCCTTCTAATCAGTAACTTCTTTTAGAGGCAGTCTCTAACTTTCTTGTCCAGTAAGC